TTTACGTTCATGTTTGACAAAACATTTACGATGAGGTCATACAAACATTTACGATGAAATCATGACAAACATTTACGAAGAAGTTTATTTCTGGACTGTTGTCTAAATGTCATGTTGTCAGTAATTTTAAGAGAAGTTAATTAACCTGGTAGCAACATGGTAACATGGTAACATGGTAACAGTGAAAAACATTATGTAAACATTATTTTTGCTGAATTCAACAACAAAATTGAACGAGGTCAGGATGTATGCAAATACTTTGAATTCATTCATAAATGCCTTAGTAAGATCATAAAATGTTGTTTTGAGGTGAGCCACTTTTGGCTCCACCGTATTCTTTCAACCAAAACTCAAGAATTTTCCTGTGTGAATTTTGTATAAAAAGCAACGTCTGAATTCATGCTTGCTATTTCTTCACAAAATGCCTTATAATACTCTTCGTTCTACAAAGCAAGCATATCATTGGTTTGAAAACCAACAGATAAAGAAATTTTAGAGAATTTCCTCATATGATTGTTCCCTCGGAAAACCGAGGGAAGAGATTCCGTACGAAATTCAAAGAGGGTAGAAATGAGGTTAGATCTACCCTTCTACCCTAATATATTTTGGGTCATTTACACTCATTCGATGAAGAAATCATGACAAAACATATACGATGAATGATCATGACAAAACATTTATGTTATACAGTAATGTTAGTCATGAATGTTTGTCCTACGTGTTGGCGTTAGTGTTGAAAATAATGTTTGTCCTACATGAAGCCGTACAAGCGTTTGAATTTGTTTATGCATAAGATTACTCTCTTGTTTTCTGTATCTATCATAGAAACATAAGCAGCACCTGTTTTTTGTAAAGTTTATATGAAGTTTTCGATAGTTAGACCTGTATAATAATAGAATGCGTCCTCATTCTCAACATAATAGTAGAACTCAAACGAATGCTTACCATAAGCTGTTATTTCAACAGCTTCGTCAGATATTTCATCAACGAACTCATAAACTATATCGCCAACTTGTTTTTTATTTCTATTGTTTTTCAGATTTAGAACAAACAAGGTTTGAGATTCTGTTGTCCGTTCTATATGATTTATATGGTCTATTTCTTTCAAATTGTTTGGATTTTCAATCCACTGTTCTGCAAATAATTCTATGCTTTAAATGTGTTTTGTTGTTTAAACTGTTATTTACGAAACGATAAAAAACAGTTTGACAGAAAAGTGACAACTTTACGTGTCAAAAAATATAAAAAGTATTTTATTCATCATTATCTTCTTCATAATTTATTTCATATTCTTCGTCTTACCAACAAAAGATGGGAATGTGAACATTTGCGGGCAATTTTTAGCCATTTTGGCTTGGAACTAGAGCTGCGAGGTACATGGATAGTATCAGTACTCACAGGCTCTAGTTCTCTATATGGCGCCGAGAAATTTTGGTGAAATTGGTCGCATTTCACCAAAATTTTTTCGGCGCCATAGGATGAATTGGAGGGTGAAGAGTATTATTTTCATACAATACTACTCTCACCTCCAATTCCCAGCCAATGGCTAAAAATTGCCGCATGTGAACAATTGCGGGCAATTTTTAGCCATTTTGGTTGGAACTAGAGCCTGCGAGGTACATGGATGTATCAGTACCTCACGGCTCTAGTTCTCTATATGGCGCCGAGAAATTTTGGTGAAATGTGGTCGCATTTCACCAAAATTTTTTCGGGCGCCATAGGATGAATTGGGGTGAGAGATATTATTTCATACAATACTACTCTCACCTCCAATTCCCAGCCAAAATGGTAAAAATTGCCGCAATGTGAACAATTGCGGGATTTTTAGCCATTTTGGCTTGGAACTAGAGTCTGCGAGGTACATGGATAGTATCAGTACCTCACAGGCTCTAGTTCTCTATATGGCGCGAGAATTTTGGTGAATGTGGTCGCTTTCACCAAAATTTTTTCGGCGCCATAGGATGAATTGGAGGGTGAGAGATATTATTTCATACAATACTACTCTCACCCTCCAATTCCAGCCAAAATGGCTAAAAATTGCCGCAATGTGAACAATTGCGGGCAATTTTTAGCCATTTTGGCTTGGAACTAGAGCCTGCGAGGTACATGGATAGTATCAGTACCTCACAGGCTCTTAGTTTCTCTATATGGCGCGAGAATTTTGGTGAAATGTGGTCGCATTTCACCAAAATTTTTTTCGGCGCCATAGGATGAATTGGAGGTGTGAGATTATATTATTATACAATAACTACTCTCACCTCCAATTCCCAGCCAAAATGGCTAAAAATTGCCCGCAATGTGAACAATTGCGGGCAATTTTTAGCCATTTTGGCTTGGAATAGAGCCTGCGAGGTACATGGATAGTATCAGTACCTCAGGCTCTAGTTCTCTATATGGCGCGAGAAATTTTTGGTGAATGTGGTCGCATTTCACAAAATTTTTTCGGCGCCATAGGATGAATTGGAGGGTGAGAGATATTATTTCATACAATACTCTCTACCACTCAATTTTAATTATTTAAACTCATTCTATTTTTTTGACATGTAAATGTCACTTTTACTGAGATCTGACACAATGTCAGATCTCTTTTTTTCGTATATAGAAACTAAGCTCAATATAACCATGATTATTTAAGCATTCACTCTTAATATGTTTGTTTTTCTTTCGACGAATAGTAAAAGGATATGTCGTACAAATCTCATAATCTTCATGATTTCTCAATGTTTCCATTGAGTTTGTTCCCCACTAACGTTCTCATTGACGTCCTCAATATCTTCTTCCTCACTGAACTCGTCAATATTTTCACTACTCCTTCTGTAATGTTTTCATCGGCCTTGTCATTGATTTTCTGTAATGTTAGATGTTGTTGTTTCGCTCATGTTCTTTCACTAATGTTAAAAATGTTGTACGAATTTTGAACAGAATTAGAGCAGTTATGAAACATGAAGTACTTTTACGCTATTGAAAGGAACTATGAGAGTGAAGTACATGATAACAATGACAAAAGGAACTAATATCAAACTAATGAAATCGCTCACGAGGATAGAGCTTAACAAGTACTTTGTGGAGTATCTTTAAGTGAAGAGTATGTAAGACCTTACTTCATATTTGATAAATGAATGAGGATGTTATTTCATGGTTAGAATATAAGCAATGTTTTCGGTAGTACGTCATAGATGACAAAGGTCTTGTTGTATTTTATGAGACAGCATACGAACACAGGAACTAATGGATATTATGCATTCAACAGCAAAGAAAGGATTTAGTACTATTGATGAATGAACATTGCAGGAATGATATACAACCTATGCTCACGAAAGCCTTACACAAAAGCAATACAAATGATAGAAATAAGTGTCTAAGGTCAGCAATGAAATCATTACTGTCAGTGGTTTGAAAGAACTGTTAGCAAAGATGAGTGGAAACAGCTATTCATATTTAAGGAAGGACGTTGCTGAACTAGTTAAACCTGTTGCACAAACATTGTTTCAGATAAGACCAGCAATGCTAAGAACCTTTGACCTTAGTCAATGAGACCATAGAGGTTGAAGATAATGACATGAAAGAACTAGGAATGAATGAAAGAAGTTGTGAAGGATGTTTGAGTCAAAACACATGGTTTTCAGAGCTGTTTAAAAACTTAGTAAAGAACGACAGAAATATTTTATAGAGAAGTATTGCAAAGGATGTGTAAATGAATTGCTTGAAATAGAACTTAGAGACACTTTCACACTAAAGGATTGAGGAAAAATAAGTACATGAGTGAGGACGGTATTGACATAGCTAGTGTTATAATGACTTAAGAAGATGTGTTGTTGTTATTGACGGAGCACGTATGACATATCTAGTGAAAGATTATGATGGAATACGAGACACAACAACACTTGTGTCAGTAGATAGCAAGGAATTCAATAAGCTCATGAAGAGTATTTATGTAGGACGTATTGAGGAGAAGGATGTGAACGCACTGATGATTTATGAAGCGGGTCAGAACAAGAACTTCTTATGAAGTCAGGCATGAGATTCTTTGACGAAAGAGATGACATTTACAGCTATTTCAGAGGATATGAGTATGAGGTACTGAATGAAGTAGATGAGAACGTTATTGAAGGATATTTGAAACATGTTCACGATGTCATATGTAATGAGGATGAAGAGCTTTATGAGTATGTTTTGAACTGGTTCGCCTACATCGTTCAAAATCCTTGTGGAAAGACTGGAACAGTTTTGTTAATAGGAAAGCAAGGACTGGTAAGAAATGTACTTTAGTAATGTTCTATGCGAGCTCATTAGCAAGTACGCCAACAATAATATAACGGCAATAGAGAATGTGGTTGGTAGATTCAATGCTGCTATTGAGAACATGAAGCTCATCGTATGCAATGAACTAAGCTCATGCGATACGTCTAAGGTCATGAACCACGACGCACTAAAGTCAATAGTAACAGAGACTCAGTTGGACTTAAATCAGAAGTGTCAGCCAGTAAGAAAGATAGAGAATGTTTGTAATATCATCATGATATCTAACAACTTCAACTCAGTAAAGATTGACAAAGACGACAGAAGATTTGTTGTCATTGAAGTAAGCAGCAGATACAAAGGAAATTACGAATATTTCTCAAATCTTATTGAAAGCTTTAATGAAGAGTTTTATTCAAACTTACTGACGTACTTCATGAAGAAAGATTTAAGTGAATTTGATGTAAGGAAGATACCATTCACCAGGGCTAAACAAGAACTCATCGAAATGAACAAAACACCTTACCAAATGTTTTACGAGGAGTTCTATGAAAAGTTTGTACGGATGGAATTGTACAGAGTGCTACAGAAGATATAAAGAATTTGCGAAGGGAATGAATTCTTTGCATGTAGTTCAAATGTATTTGGTGGCAAGATGAGAGAATTTGTGAAAGAAGTAGAAAGCGAGACGGTTCTGCAAGAAGTTATATTTACGAAGCAAGTATGATATTAGAAGGTCGTGGAAAGAAAGAAACAGTGAATTATGAGAAGTGCTTGAAAAATTCATGGAGTACATGGGAAGCAATATAACATACAACAAAGACATATACAGTGAGTTTAAGTACTATTGTGAACAGCATGAGATTGAAGTAATGAGTAAAGGAGACTTTGAAACGCTTATGAAAGACAGTGAGGAGGTCATACATGAATGCAATGATGAAATAGTTCATGAGAACAGTGAGGAGGTCATACATGAATGCAATGATGAAATAGTTCATGAGAACAGTGAGGAGGTCATACATGAATGCAATGATGAAATAGTTCATGAGAACAGTAAGGAGGTCATACATGAGAACAGTGTTGAAATAGTTCATGAGAACAGTAAGGAGGTCATACATGAGAACAGTGTTGAAATAGTTCATGAGAACAGTGAGGAGGTCATACATGAGAACAGTGTTGAAATAGTTCATGAGAACAGTGAGGAGGTCATACATGAGAACAGTGTTGAAATAGTTCATGAGAACAGTGAGGAGGTCGTTCATGAGAACAATAATGAAATAGTTCACGATGTCGTTCGTGAAGAAGCCATTGCAACAAAGAATGAGATAAAGGATTTCATAGAACTTAACAAGGAGGAGTTTAAAGAAGGCTATGAAGTGAAAAGATGTGAAGAAAATTTCTTGGCGTATTTGAAGAAAAAGAGACTAAAGCCAATGGCTCAAAATAAGTTTCAATCGATGTTTGAAAAGAAACGTTTGAGCTATGGTGGTGTAAGAAGCACATATTACTTTGTTAAGAAGTGAGGACATTTATTTTTGTCGTTAGTGTTGGAGTTTGTGTTTGTTGTTAGTGTTTGTCATTTGTGCTGAGGTTAGTACTTGTCGTTAGTGTTTGTCATTTGTGTTTGTTGTTAGTGAGAGAATAAATTAAATCATGAACTTTGCCATGGTCTCTGTCCCTAGTAGTTTTCATTAAGTTCTGGAAATAATGAAAGTCATACTTTCTATCAGATGAAGCATGCAGATGAACATAATGAAAGTTAGTGGGTTTGCCACGAGTTATGAATAAAATATTGGCATATTAGATGAGATAGCTGATGAAACAGATGAAGATAAATTAAATCTTGGACTTTGCCACACTCTGTCCCTAGTTCCTCAAAATCCTTGACAACGTTGCTTAGAAATTTTGGTTCAAAACCTCATCTGATTTTAATCTGTTATGCTACCTGTTAAGTTTCGCGAGATTATAAATGTCATGGAGTTATATAAAAAGGAGGGACAGCTAGGGACACTGGAAGTACTTGTAAGGCTATTTGTTAAGATTGCATGAAATACTAAAAGTCATGAAATCCATTATCGCTGTGCTAGTTTCACCTTAGAGTAAAATGACAAATAAAGTCACTGAAGCAATGAAACAAAAGTTTTTGGTAGAATACATTAAATCAGGAACTATTCCAGAAGGTTTTTACATTCATACTATGAAGGATGGTAGAGTTCAGTTTAGAAAGATAAAGCAACCATTAGATAAAGAAGGAATTTTAAGAAAGATTAAACTTCATGAGGACAACATTGCTGAACTTAAGAAGAAGTTAGAAGAGTTGGAGAAAGGAAGAGAGTTATAAAGCAATGAATTCAACAGGTTAGAAATGAGGGTAGAAATGAGGTTAGATCTAACCTTCTACCCTAAACATTATTTTTGTGCTATGTTTTCATACGTGTGAGGGTGGTGATATCATTAATTTTTAAGTTTATTTTTATATAAATGACAGAACAAAAATAAAGCATATCTACTCAGCAGGAATGAGACCCTTACTGACTATGTATTCGTTTAATGCTTGATGAAAACAATGGTACATATTATCGTATGGGTATACACAACGTCTGTTTCCATCGTCGTCGTATATGTAGAGCTCAAATCCAGTCCAACCTTCTTTTGTACAATATGTAGCTTTATTTAAGTATGCATTTGTGTAGATAAGGCAATTTTCTTCATCGCTCCAGAAATAATTTTTGTTCTTTGTTGAAATAGTTTTCGTTCCTCTGCGACCATAAGGAATGTATGCAATGAACTTTGCGTCATAAGGGATTGTAATATATTCAGGGTTTCTTTCATCGTCAATGGGTCTGTCTTTGTTAAAATGCATGTTTCTCAGTTTTACTTGAGTTTTGAATAGTTCACGAAAACGTTCTGGGAAAGAGTCATAGTAAATGTAGTCGGACATGTCTTTGTAATGAAATAAAAAATTTAAAAAAATAAAAATAAGGTTATTTTTATTTAGTGAGGACGGTAGGGAATTCGTTAGTGAAGTCGTTTATGTGTCAGACGGTTTTGTAAATATTTAAGGTTAAGTTGGGTAAGGTGGAACGCATTGCCGCCGTACCCAAGTTAACCATACTAACTGAAGTCGTTAGTGAAGTCGTTAGTGAAGTCATTTATGTGTCAGACGATTTTGTAAATATTTAAGGTTAAGTTGGGTAAGGTGGAACGCAGTGCCGCCGTACCCTTGATAATCATACTAACTTGAGAAAATTGCTCAAATTGCTCTCTTACAAAATTTTCAAGATCATCTGGACTCGCGAATTCGCGTCCTTCAGCTCTCTTTTTTAGCGTGCCGAATAAATAAAAGTCAGAGGGTGCAATATCAGGTGAATAAATTGGGTTTGGAACAACTTTGACATTGTTTTCCAACAAGTAATTCATTACCTTATGACTTTTGTAAACTCTTGAATTATCAAAATGAATTGCAAACTTTTGTTTTTGTTGTTTGGATTTCTCAAACTCATCAGAATTGATAATTTGAGTAAGAACATTGTCAATTAGATACTGAGCATTCATCGTATTAGGTTTTTGAAGAATATCAATTGCGATGATGCCATTCACGCCCCAAAAAACCGACAACATCATCATTGGTGTGTCAATTTTTTTCTTCGGGAATGTTTGCGGATTTTCATCCTTCGGGATCCACATGATTTTGACTTCTGTTGCATATTGAAACCAAGACTCGTCCCCTGTTACTAAAAAGCGAAACTTCTTGGATTGATACGCACCCAATATAGAGAGGAGCTCTTTCGAAGATTGGACTCTAGATTTTTTTTGAACTGAATTAAGGTTGTGCGGAACCCAACGTGTATACGCTAATTTGTAGTTCAAATAATTGTGCAGATAATAACTGACTGTTGTACGTGGTATCTTTGTCATCTCCTCTATCCTTCTGAGTGATGCTCTTGGGTCTTCATCTAGCGCTTGAAGAATTGCTTTGATTTTTCTTTGATCCGGCGATTTTTTGTCAATTTTTATGATGGGCGCCTTTTTGTTCATGAAGTGATACATCCTAACATGATACGTTACAGTGGAATAGATAGGAGCATCCATACCGAAGCATTTTACCAATGTCTCGTAGATTTTTTTACAGTCTTTGCATTTTTTTGCAAGAGCGAGGATGTTTTCTTTATGATTCATTAAAAAAATGAAAAAAATCCCGCCAAAATTTCCCGCGAAACCGCCTCTTGTCTCAAAATTCATTTTATATCCCGGCATGGCGCCAAAATACAACATACTCATCATATACATATATTCATATTTTTTATTATATATTTATAATCAGCATATATCTCCTTTAATAGTCTCATATAGAGCGCTGTGCTAAACGCACCTTTGGACACCCTATATTAGAATTTTATTGGAAAAATAAAAAACTTAATATTTTAAAGAAATACTTAAATACTTGAATGTTTTAACTTTTACATTATCATATAGACTCTCAAATTATTAGCCATTTTGGCTGAGAACTATGGTCTGCGAGGTACATAGATAGAATCAGTATCTCACACCCTCCAACTCCCAATCAAAATCGCATAAAATTTGCTACTTATCTTCAGATTACCTCCCATTATAAAATATATCATTGCTATCTCATTGTACTATATTTCCACCCTATTGTATTTAAAAATATAAAATTTTTTGATAATATATTTTTACCCAGATTTGCTTTACTTTTACCACTCCCCATGTAATTTCTGGGGAAAACGATAATTCATTTTTTTTATGGATGAATAGATCGTTTTCCTAGAAAGGACCTCATATCTCTGGCTAAAAAGAGTGTCAGATCCTAAATAGATTATTGATCTAGTGTACAAATCCAATAAAAAGCCTATTTTTTTGGCTTTTTTGGTGCTCATTTTTTCGAAGATCTACATGAATATGGGGAAACCATCGGATTTTTTTGGTTAACCCACATCTTCATGTAGTCTGGACTATCTTTCCTCGAAGGACCTCTTTACGGGTGTAAAAACTCATAAAGTTCTCAAAAGATTCATTCTCGATCTCCATGCTGAAAGAATTTACAATAAAAAAGAGATCTACGCATCAAACTACAGCCATAAATGAACTGAACCCCTAAAGCTCAGCTCTTAGTTTATCAAAAACGTCGAAATCCTTCTCATTGCAATCAAATTTTCTCAATAACTCATAAGAAAAATCGAATTTTGATTAAGCCGATGTTATAGGTATCACAAATACTACAAACTTGAGCAATATCGAAATTGCCAGCAAAAGTTTGAAATTGCATTGCTCATATTTGTTTTGTAAACTAAAAATCTGCTTATATTATTCATTAATTTTTTATATATTATTCATATACTTTAATAAAAACAATACTATTTCACCTTAAAAATGAATTTCATAAGTCAATATTATTTTTTTGAAAATGTATCAATTTTCGATTAAAACAACATGAGAATAAAATTTACGCAAAATTATTTTAAAAAATGGTTTTAAAAATTTACAATTGATTAAGAATAAGATTGGAAGAAGTTTTGAAGTTTAATTTTAAGAAAAAAAATTCGGATATTATTCATGGATCTAAGTAATCTGATATTTGAGTATCGGCACTATGCATAAAACATATATTTATAGTTTTTTTGGATTTTTATGATTTTAAATATATTCAAATTTGGCAATCCAATAGATTTTTAAAAAATAGGTAAATAAAAATAGATTACATATGCAGCAGATTTAGAACATGAAACAAATCTTATAGTGACCCAAAAAAAAATTCATGATCCAAAAAAGAAAAAAATTGGCTAAATGGGAATCAAACCTTGGCATAACGAATCATTATGTCAGATGTTTCCACTACACTACACCGGCAGTTCGAAAAATACCCTTGGTGATTCTATTTAATAGCTACTCCCAACGATAGGCGGTGTCCCCAGCTTTCGAGAGGTGGTAAAAGTAAAGCAAATCTGGGTATATCTTGAATTTTCAAACAATATATTCACAGATAATATAATGGGAAATCTATCTCAACCTAGCCTTAAAGTACCAATCTACTGCTTGCATTCTCACTCACAAATATTAAACATCCATCTCCAAAAAACTAAATTCTTCACAATTTTTTTAAAATTGAGAACATAAAAAACGTATGCATTCAATAATTTAAGATACTAACAAATATTAAAAACTTCAAAATATCAGATATTAACGTTTTTCAATTAAAAAATTATCATTTTGCTTTTCAATCTTAATTAATATCTGATTTACAGCATTATTATCCATTTATAAATCTGACAAATAAATGACAAAACCATCAGAAATAGCGCCACTTTTTGTCAAAAGTGAAGTCGCGCTATTTTTCATGCACAACACTTTTGATTTTATTTCATTTATAAGCAAATCAGATTTACCCAAAAACTCCACTCCATAAGCGTTCATTTGCTAAATTAAAAAGTGACAATGGGCTAGTCTGTCCCTTTCTCATCATCCATAAAGATTTGTATAATTTTTTCAATCTTCAATACAACAATGAAACTGCATTAATTAGTAACACCCGTTTGGTATGAACCACAATAATTTGTTGCGATTAGGGTTCCATTCCATCGACCACTCACTGTATTTGATGATGTATAGAGCTGTATTTTCCGATTAAATTAAAAAGTGACAATTTAATAATTGACAGATATTTTTTACCCATAAAAAGGTTTATATTCATTCCTTCTTAATAAAATATACAAAGCCAATACTATCCTTTTTGATACAGCAGTACGAACAACATTTCCATCTTTTTAAAAACAATCGAATAATAAACTACATGATATCAAAGCTCTACATATAAAATTGAGTCATTTTAGATCTAATAATCATTCTTATGTACATCGGATTTATATTGAAAAGTAATATATTTTGTATTTTCAAATGTTGTAGAAAACACATAAGTTAGAACACTTTTTATCTCAAAAAAGTATCTATTTGAGGAAATCATATATGGCGTTATCATATATTCAAACTTTCTATAATAATAAAATATTTTTTTTAATTTTTTTAGAAACATGTGATTTTCCTACGCAACTTTAACTACTGTGTTTGTTTGACAAATGTAATTATGTACCATTTGATAATCACATGTTCAATCCAAAAGATTGAAAAAAATTAAGAATAATTTTATGTTTTAAAATTCAAAACTTAAACAGATACGAATGGATAAAGAGAAAGCAAAAATTTGGGTACGGAATATCGAGAAGCACACGAAATTTGTTTGAATTGCATCTGATAATATCCAATATGACACAAGGTACTGACAATGAACTGATAAGTTCCATTATAGTCCTCTGAAGGGGGTAATGAACTAAAATAATTCTCATAAAATGAACATGAGGTAAATATTGCTTCCTTATTGAGAAGATTTGTGACTGTATTTTGAGCAAATGCACAATGGTCAATAGATGTTGTAGGTATTTCTATCATCAACAGATTTCCAGGACTAGATTTTACTGTATTTTTCAAAAAATTCGAATATTTTAAAAGACACTCAGTGTTCAAAAATGCTATTGAATGAGATGTAGCTGTACCATAAATAACATTTACATAGGAGGCATTAGCAGAGCCAAAAGAGTTTTCCAAGTAAAATGCTGGTGAAATTTTAACTTTATTGAGAGAAGAGTTGTAATATGAAATTGACATTTGTCCTCTACCAAGCCAAATCATATCAGTGATATCAGGCAATGAACTACAATCAGAAATTGAAATCATATTTATAAAATTGATGTTTTCTGATGATTTTTGGATGCTAGATAAGCAATATTTGGATTTTATAGTTGAATATACATTCTGTGCACAAATATCATGCTGAAATAGTGAGTGACCAGGACTGAAAAACACACAGCCACCATTTTGATTAGATAAAATAGATGTGAATGTGTCATGTTCAAGTATTAAATCCGATTTTGCATCTGAAATGCGAATAACACCATCATTTGTTACATTTTCGATTAGAACTCCAATGAATTTAAATACAAAAAGCCGAGTTTTATTAGGATTTGTTGGTAATCGAATGAATTCCCAATAATATTTATCTTGAATATAGTCATCCGATGAATAGTCAGACAAATGATATTAATCCGATTTTTGACACATTTCTCAAATTTGAATGCGACACTACATCATTTTGATTCTTCATTGAATAAGATGAAAATGCTACTTGATTATCATTCAGAAAATCTACACGAGTTGGATTCAAAGTCAGATTTCTTTTGTCGTTTTTTCAGATAAAAAGGACGAATAATTCTCCGATTTATCTCGAATATTTCAATGGAATTCATTGTTATTGCCACCTTACCAGACATTGTTGTCTTAATTGAGAAGATTATAACATATAAATAGTATTCGCCCTATCAAAGGAGTTACTTTTCAATAATCCCGAAGTTTTTTTTCCCAAGGAGTATAATCAAAATTGAATTGGATAAGAGTTATTTATAATGGTCACTTCCATCACAAAATATTTGGTCTTACCTCGATTTGTTTACTTCTTTTCCAGTTCATTTCTGAGATAAATGCCAAAAAAATTAATCATAATTTCTCATGGCGTTGCTGGCTCTGCAAACTCTTGCTGGATTCAATGGATTAAAAGTTTGTTAACTAGTGGAAACACTGAAGTTATAACTCCATCATATCCAAATGCATCAGATCCTGAATATCCTGTATGGAAAGATGTCTTTAATGAGATATTAGCAAATCATGAATATGATGAATTGCTTGTTATTGGACATTCTCTTGGTGGATTCTTCACGTTAAAAATCTTAGGTGATTTTCTATTTGAGAATCCAAAACTGAAAGGAGTAGTCCTTGTTGCCCCAACTTCTATCACAAATCCACAATGGAGAAGATTTTACGCTGAAGTCATCAATTGGGATAATATAAGAAAAGTACACAGTCCAATCAAGCTTTTATTCAGTAACGGTGATTCAAAAATATCAGTTGACCATATTAAACTTATTCAATCAGAGCTCAGAGATAATACCAATTTCGAATTCAGAAACTTTCAAAATCTTGATCATTTTATGGAAGAGGAGTCAAATGAGGTTCTTGATGCTGCAAAAAGCATTCTAAATTAATCACTTAACATAATAAAAAAACTTGTTATCTAACTGATTAATTAGAAATAACAGTAATTTGATAATCACATAGTCATACGATAGGTTCTTGAGCAATGCCTAAACATTATGAGAACCCCATTCTTATTATATCTAAACATTTTTTTAAATGAGTTATATATTTAATGTAATTAATCTTCCTGTAAAAGTTCATTCATGATGTTATTTTCGAAGTTGACTGCTTTGATGACAATGATTAAATCTCAATTTTGCTATGAATCTACAAAAAATTTATATAGGATGAGATGTCACATATACATGATATTGAGTGCCATCTAGATTGACAATACAATGAATAGATTCTTCACGTTCTAACAAAATTTCGAATCTGAAATTTGATATCAGGAAGGAATAATACAAATAAAAACATCCAACTACGTATAAGTAAGACATCTAAAATAATATTAAAAATGAAATAAGAGAAATTTGAGTATTTTTTTTTATGAGTTAAAATATTTATAAAAATAAAGGTAACTTTTACTTAAAAAATAATAAAATTTCCTAATATCTTAAATTTTTTTTTCTCTGAAAACAATTAAAATTAATTTTAAATATCTTCTTCAGCACCTGTATCAATACCAGCCAAGAGATCATCAACGTCGAGTTCCTCTTCCTCTTCTTCAACTTTTTCTTCTTTAGCTTCTTCTTTCTTTGAATCGACCTTTGGAATTTCGACTTTTTCCTCTTCTTCTTGTTGTTGTTCTTCCTCTTGTTGTTGATCTTCGATGCCGAATAGATTTGGATATTCCTTAGGCGATGCAATGGAATCAGCCAATCTGTGGTCACCTCTTTCTCTCAATTTCTTTTGCCACAATTCAACACATTCGTTGATTCTTCTTGGCAAATATGTCCTTGCCATAAGAGCTGCCTCTGGTTCTCTTCCTGTTTCCAAGAGAATGTCAATGCATTTAGAATATTCTCCGAGAGAGAAATAAGCGGCGAAAGAAACATTCTTTGCATTGGAAACACTCTCAGCGAGTTCTTTCATTTGTTTCTTCCTCTTGCAAGCAGAATGAAGAAGTAAAAGACCATTTTCGTCACCAGATACTTTCAAAGCTTCCTCAAGTAAATCGATTTGCCCTTCCTTCAAAGCGATTGTTGATATCTGATGCCACTGAACCAAACTCTTTGTTTTACGGGCAATGGAAATAGCCAAATTGAAATCAGGTATTTTGAGAGCAAGTTCGAATATCTTGTCATCTGTCTCCGCGAATTTCAAGGCGCGGCGGAATTGTCCCTTTTCTTCAAGAAGACTGGTAAATCTGAGCAACCAATTTGAAGGAATGGCGGTCTCATCGATGTCTAGATTTTCCTCTTCCTCTTCTTCGTTCTCTTCCTCTTCATCAAATCTGAGAACCTTCTTGTAGGCTTTGAGAAGAGAAATTGGAACAGAATAAGAAATGAAATTGACGTCTCTGTCGTAAAGGTAGATTCTCTCAGTGTTCTTGGCATATCCGCTAATCTGATATGGCTTATCAAAGCGGGCAATGACTTCAGAGCGATCTTCCATAATAAATGAAACTGAACGGCCATCTGAATAGAAGAAAGCATTTTCGTACCAGCATCCAGACTTTACTGAGACTTCGATTTGGGATTCTACAAAGAAAGCGTTCTCATAATCATCTTCTTTCTTTGGTTGGGTGTAGACAAGGACGTATAAGGTGTCATCTGTTGCAATTGCGACCTTATTAGCTCCACACCACCATACGTTTGTGGCTTTGACGTCGATTTGGCGGATTAAATTGAGAAACTGCCAATCGTAGAAGAAAATCGATTCATTTGAGGCCAAGCCAAGCAAGTGACCGCCGAATATTGATGTGACATTCACGCCATGGGTTAATTTTTGTGGATTACCCTTTAATTTATGAATTGTGACTTGTTTGCCTAATCTCGTGGCGAAGTAATCTCCGCTGCCCCAAGCAAACTCATTTGCGCTTCCTGACTCTTTAACTCTAAAACCGATCATGGAATAGATATAATAATTGCCTTCTCCGCAAAGAGCAACATTTTTTTCAGAAGGATTGATTGAAGTGTAAGCAGGATAGAAATCAACTGTTGCTCTATCTTCAATTTTGAGGTCAACGAGTTTTCCATCCTCGGGATTTTTACCTTGAGCCAAATTTGTATATTTTATTTCGTTGTTCAATGCCCAGTAGGTTCTGCCTTGAGTATCAGTTGATACAAGAGCTGTGGTGTTCTCAAATTGCATTATGGAAAGGCCTTCATCGCAGCCAAGAGCAATTGTTGTATCGTTAGAATCGATTGTCCATCCACGGCCTTTGTTGGTGTTGAAACTCATCTCTCGTTTATATGTTGTTGTGTTCCAGATGAAGAACTTGTTGTCTTCGCCAGTAGAAAATAATAATGGGAATTTTGGATGGAAACGAAGAGATGTAACATTTCCAGTGTGGAAATTGGTATCATTAGGATTATTTGATGCCAACCTGTGAATTTCTTTGTTATTTTGTAAATTCCAGAAACGAATTGTAAAATCATCAGAACCAGAGACAAGAATTGTCTTATCTGCGCTGGGACAAAACTCAATGCAGTTCACACCTGCAATATGGCCTGAAAGAGTAAAGCGAGGTGCTGATTCATTTATTCCCCAGAATTTAATGGTATTATCAAGAGAAGCAGAAGCAAATTGATTTGGATCTTTAGGATTAAATTTGACGTCCATAACAAAATGTTTGTGGCCTGTATATTCGTGTTCTTCTTTAAAAGAATTATTTTCTATCCTGAAAAGTTTAATTTTGGTATCATCTGAAGCTGAAAGAATGAGTGGCTGGGATGGGTGAACTGCAATTGATCTGATGTAGTCAGCATGAGCATCCTTTTGTGTTGCGATTAAAGTTCCTGTATTATAATCGTATGCACTAATAGAAAGATCATCGCCAGATGTAATAACTGCATTAATGCTTGTCATCCATCGTACACAACGTACAGGTTTTGTTGGACTAACATGAATTGTACGAAGAATTGTCCAATCGTTAGTATTGTAGATCTGTACATTGCCATCAAAGAGAGCCACAACAAGCATTGGCTCCGTAGGATGCAATTCAACGCATTTTACACGCTCTGATGGTGGTATGGCTATTGTTTTGAGGTGACGAAATGACATTATGATAAATAATCGTTCTGTACTTTTCCTTCTCCAAAAAAACATTCAGTTTTTTTTTTTAGAAATTTTAGTTAATTGTAAATGGATACACAAAGAGATATGACTGTTCTGATTTCTGATATATAAAATTTTAATCTGATTGATTTTTTGACAAATCAGCTGACATAATCGTTATTCTCAACGAATCATATACTGATATTGCCTACATTACTTCACTATATAACAAAAAAACACTTATTTTTCTAATATATTCATGAAATTAAATTAATTTTTTTCATGAGTAAAGCCACCAATAATCATAAAACTGCGCTAAATAAGCTTGTTTATGGTTTGGTGACATAATTATGTAACAATAGAAAAAAAAATATGTTGTAATTAGACATAATTCATGTTTTGGATAAAAATGAATACTGATCTCATATCAACCATTACTAGAAATGATTAATATATGTCGTATATATGAACATTCATAGATTTCATAACTGCTAATTATATTTTATAAGGTCTAATAGCTAAGTTTTGGGTTTTAAAGTAAAAATAAGAGAAATAACAAAAATATGACAATTTTTTTAACAAAATAATTTTTTTTTCTCATTAATTTCTATTTGCTCCTTCTTCTGCCATGAATTGCTGAAGATTCCAAAATGGAGTTAATGAGAGGAAGAAGTGCATTAGACACTTTGATACCATAGGGATTGTCCATCTAACGTTTCTGAACAAATAAGCGAAGAAAGCAACAACAATAACAAGAGTAATTACTGTCGAGACGGCATTATTCTTTGAAATGCTTAAAAATACGAATGTGAAAATAGCGAATATTACAATAATTGATAAAGCTAAGCCAAGAAGAGATGAATACTTTTCAAAGATATTACCTTGGCGTGGGGCATTGTTGTTCTGTTGAGCAAATAGATTTTGCTGAAATTGTGGGAGTGGATTTTGAGCAGGTTGAGGTTGCATCTGTGGTAAAGGCTGTGGAGGTGGAACTTCTGGTAAAACTGGCTTAGCTTGTGGTTCTTGTGGAGCTGCCGGCTTTGGTTGTGCGACAGGAGGCTTAATTCCTGTAACAAAAATTGTTGATGTTTGTCCTTCATCAACTGTTAAGTCGCCAACTGTATTATCATTTTGAAGAATACGTCCTTTATGAACAACTTTAATTGCATCTAAAGGAACATCTGATTTATTAATTTTTATAAGAACTTTTTTAAGTTTCTCAATTGTTGTACTATAATCTACATTTTTAAGATTCTGTGGAGTTGCAACTCCTGGATATTTAATAGTTAAAGTGACACTCATATTTGAAAAATGAAAAAAATGGTCGGAGGTTTTTTCCCCTCAAAATTTTTATGAATTCGTTTCGTCACTTGGTTGGATAACTTTGGTTGCTTCTTTCTTTAATGCTTAGTTATAAGAACAATAAGAACAGGGAAATAAACAAAAATTTACTTGAATAAGGGATCTTTCTAATATGCTGTGTTTCTGCTCCAAATTCTATGTATAGCACTCAGACAATTGCCAGTCTAGTTACCTAAGCCTTATATTAGTTTAACAAATATTTCAAATTAATTGCCATTATTGAATCTATACAGCCTTATAGATCAAAATCATATTAATGACACTCACCACAAGAGTAAAATGGATAGCTCTTCTTATTTGAGGAATTTTTGGTTATAAATTTCAAAAAAAATTAATTAAAGAGATTAAAAAATTAATAGTAATTTTGTAATTAATAATATTCATAGATCTCTGAACTCATTTACTTCTTGTTGTGGCCAAGCTTAGCAAGGATTTTCTCGCGACCAGCACGGCGGCGCTCGATAAGTTCCTTACGCTGCTTGTCCATCTTCAGCTTTGTGATGAGGCAGTTAGATGGGTGAACAGAAACATGGACTGTCTGGCCATTAAGCTTTTCGCGTGTGAATGAATCGACAACGATGCGGTTTTCAGAGAGCTTGACGGCGATAACCTTGCCTTCACGGCCAGCGAACTTGCCGGAGTTGATGGAAACTTCATCATCTCTGCGGATTGGGAGTTGCTTAACACCATGTGTTTCAGCCTGCTCCTTGTTGAGCTTGGCAGAAAGCTGGCGGTGCTTGTCATCCTTTGTAGCATTGAAGAAGGCCTTTCTTGTCTTCTTAGCCTGGGATGAGAGGAATGGATTTGTCTTCACCATTGAAAAGGCCAGACCAAAAGCGTCACTTTTTTAACAAGTTATTTAGAGTGAAATTCCGGCTTTGGCAATAATATAGTAAAAATATGAGAGATATATATGTTTTAATTTCAATAGATATATGATCAGAATCAAGAAATATGAATTGGTATATTTACTCTAGATTGGAATCAAGCATTTTGGATAAAACGATAAGCATTTAATATATGATTATATATCCGATTTGTAGTATTTGTAGGCAATCAAGGAAAATTACTTTGATATGATTAAAGTGATGATATTCTTTGTTTTTTATTGTTATGAGGTCCTCTATTTTTACGAAAAAGAGCATTTTAGAGTTAGTAATAGGTGATATACTTAAATATTGTAAAATTTTGAATTCAAAATCATAAAATAAGCTTTCAAGTCAGTTGTATTAATTCAAATATTTGTTCTGCAATCTAGTTTCATAAACAAGATACTCTCAAATGGCGTTTTTCCCTGTAAAATTTTTACATTATGATTAGTCACGTATGAAAAGTGACATTATTCAAAGATGAATGATAAAAATAATGCAGTCAGAAAGGTTTTAGGAGTCAGACACAAAGCAAATCAAGCACAAGTTCGCTTGAATAAAGATCTTGACGAAGCCGTTTCCGAAGGTATCAAGCTTTCTTTCCCAGAAGCAAATAACATTCAAAAATTTATTGTTCTTATTCAGCCAGCAACAGGCCATTGGAGAGCAGGCAAATTTGAGTTTGAATTTACAATCCCAGATGACTGGCCAATTACAAAACCAGATATCAAGATTTTGACTCGAGTATGGCATCCAAATATTGATGAAAATGGTGCAGTATGCTTGAGTATTTTGCGTGATAACTACCTGGCAACATTATCAATTTCCCAATTCGTTGCAGGTCTTCAATACTTGTTCATCGAACCAAATCCTAACTCTCCACTAAATACCGAGGCCGCTACAATGTTTAAGAATGAACCTGCCAAATTCCAAGAGACAGTTGACGATTATATTGAAAAATATTGTCCAAAATAAAAATCAATTGCTAGTAGCGTTATATTCATAATAGTAAGCAAAAATATAAATATGTCTTTTCCAAACAAACAATTACCTAAGTAAAAAGTAATCAATTTTTTTTTACATTTTTAATTTTTTCTTTAAAAATCATTTTGACCATATGCTAATTCATTTGAATATCACATGAGGAGTATTATTTCTTATAAATTTTAATTCCTGAAATATATTTGAAGTTAAAAGTTTGCTGAATAGGCATTTATATCCCCCAACAAATAAAGATTCACAAAAATATCTATACACATATGATCCAAATAAGTTATTTCATCTTCGAAATCATCAATAAAAACCCACTCCATAAAAATATACAGAGATACATAAATTAATTTTTTTCTACATCGAACATTTCCAGAAAATGCAGAAAAGTTTATTTCGATTAAAATATAATTGTAAATTTAAGAAAATAAAAAATTCCAAAATATTTTATGATGTAAGCATGAGGTGGACGAATTCACCGTAATCGATGATACCATCCTTGTTTGTATCGGCTTGAGCAATCATTTCATCGACTTCTTCTTGTGTGAGTGGTTCTCCGAGGTTCTTCATGATATGAGCAAGCTCTGCAGCTGTAATCTTGCCATCGCCATCCTTATCGAAAACACGGAATGCATCCTTAATTTCTTCTTCTGTATCGCCTTCCTTCATCTGACGGTTCATCATATAAAGGAATTCATCGAATTCAATTGTACCATTACCATCAAGATCGATTTCGTTAATCATATCTTGGAGCTCGGCTTCAGATGGATTCTGTCCAAGAGAACGCATAACTGTACCAAGTTCTTTAGCTGTGATACGGCCATCACCATCCTTATCGAAAATGTTGAAAGCTTCACGGAATTCAGCAATCTGTTCTGGGGTAAGATTAAGGTCTTCTGCTGAAGTCATTTAATCTAAAAGTGACAATCTTAATAAACGTTTTTTTTCCCTTTCTGTAGCGATAAAAGTTTATATGTATTTTCTAAGTTAGCAATTGTCGGAGTTTCTTCATTTTAACAAATGTGTGAAAAAGTTTTCAATTTTTACACTATTTTGGAATTCTTAATGAAGATTGATAGCTTCACAAAACATGTTCTTTTGAGGAGGAGAAATTATGAACATTTTGGTATCTTGAGCTTTCACAAGCTTTTCTATAAAGGATTTGAATATTTAGACTGATAGTATATGAAAGGTTTCGAAGTTAAGGACTGGATTAGTATTCATATAAATTTGAGTTTTTGTTTCATACGAAAAATATAATGCTAAGTGCATATTCGTCTAAATTCAAGAGATGAAGATCGAGAATCGTGATTAAAAATTATCAATTTATTGTTGGATGTTATTTCATCAAAACTCTCTTTCGCATACTTACAAAGTAATAGTTAACTATTTTAATATTCCTTTTACATATTGCCAAAAAAAAGGAAAACTATATTTTCTATATTTCTCATTGCGATGAGACTGAACTTCATCCATGACTATGTGATGCATATAAGAGTAGTATATTTTAAACCAAATTCTTTATTATTGCATTAATAATCAATATTAAAAAATGAATCATAATTAGGTTTAATTCACTTTGAATATGAATATCACATTCAAATGATATATCTATATTAAATATCTTCTATTAATGCTGGTGTTGCATATTTAGGATCTAGACATCCCTGTTTCGCACGATATTTCGATGGATCAATAGAGTAATATTTATGCGATTGGAATGTAATTCTTGTGGCTTTATATCCCCAAAAGAATTCTGCAATTCCATTGTATCCAAGGATACATAACAAATCATAAAAAATTTTGTATGGAATTGTGGTGCAGCATCGCAAAATACAAGAATTTCCGGCAACAGCATTTCTTGTGAAGCTTTTTTGAGTATTATATGTTAAAACAGAAGCATCAACAGTATAAAATGGCACGCATTTATATATAATCTTTTCACCTTCAATATCAGGTAAAATACCATCTTCTTGCCAACTTGCGTAGTCACTTCTTGGAATGCCTGGCTCAGCTGCATTAATCCTATTTCTTTCCATTAGTTCATTAATTGTCATATATCCTCCTTCTGATTCAAGTATAAACGGACAATTGCAACGAATAAAGCAATTAGAATTATTTATTTCATCAGTTGTACCATTGAAAAGGAGATACATTTCTCGTGGCCTATGCTTTAAATCTGATACTCTAATATAAATGAAACTTAGTATTAGAATCGAAAAGAATATACCAGAATACACTTTGAAAAAATTATTTGAACAGTATATTGATGTCATTGCTATACCAACATTTAAGTTGATCAAACAATTGTTGATTAAAATTTCAGCTTTCCGTGTTATTATCATAAATATTATTGTTGGAATGCATGGAATTATTGAGTACAATAAATATTTATCGCAAACTTTGCAACGAATTTTTGAGCAAGTTTCATTGCTAGAACAATTGCATTCTGAAGTTAATGACTTCATATTTGATGAGCTTGAAACAAAGCAAATGATTGAGAATAGTAGCATAAGCAGCTTTAAAAATTCTAATACCAACCAAAAAGTGGTTTCTGAATCAGAATATATTTTTAACTTCTCTAACACTTGTATAGCAACAAAAGATATAGATATATCATAGGTTTCAAATTTACAAAGAGTACATTAGTGGTTTTGATATTTGAGGGAAACGTTGATGCACCAGAATTCAAATTTTGAGATCAATTGAATATTTCAATACCTACGATAGGATTTTATAATGTTTATCATATATCAGTTAATATGTCATAATATTTATTTTATATTAATTTCAAGCAGAATTTTTTGTGATGTTGTTGTCGATATTTTAAATTCAGGAATTAGTGAATTGTATAAAGCAGCTAACTATTACGATCTTGTTAATGAAGAATTTCCACTAGTTTTCCTACTCTTTGGTCTTAAGACAACTCATATTATGCTTTCCAATAATTGACCATCAAAACAGAAGGCCAGATTTAATTGAATCAGATAAACAAAATCTCATTGGATTGCCAATGATTTTGAAGCTTATAGATCATCTCAAATCATCCACATGGTTTGAACCTCATCATATTATTTTCCGTGAGATTCAAATTAATCAAATCACAAGTTTCCTTGCTCTTTCAAAACCAACGTGCAATTATTGTTTTATAGTTGCTGATGTAGATGAGAAACCAGATCCTTTGAAATATAGGGGAAGATGGATCCAAATTCTTAAATCAATAGGAAAATTCATGGAAAATACATCACTTCTCAAGGAAGACTGGGCAAAACTATAGGATCATATTGGAGAACTCTCATAAATAGATCATGTAGAAATAACAATCGATTTTTGCAAGAAGCATGGAATAAGATCTTATATAAGATATAAGTAAAAATTTTTGTAGAATTGAGATCTTTTGTTTGGAAAATATGGGGCCATTTTGGCACAATTTTGAATACTCTGTGAATGTGAACATCTCAATTCTCCTCGATAATTGAACATTTAAGCCATTGTGATAAAAATATATCTTAAATCCGTTAAGTTAGTACCTAAGACCTTATAAACTAATACATGAATAGAAAAATTCACATTTAACTTTAACTTTATTATTTTCTTGGTAAAATCCCCCCAAAAATTATAATAAGCATTATTTTTTTTTATTTTAATATGAATGCTCTGGATTAAGTCAAACTCAAAAATATCATGCACCTATCCAAATGATGATATAAGTTTAAATCCAATCAATTAAATCATAAATTTTAAGCATCTAAATTGCGGGTTCAATTATCTTACAATCATATTAATTAAAAACAATTGTTTAAAATCAATATATATTGAGGTTATTTAATCTCATTTGGAAAACTTTAATTCACGAGTCCATTTTAATGAAAATATTATTAATTATATGTATATATAGTAATTCTCATAGCGATAAAAAATGATGATTAAAAATTTAAACAAATTATTAATTATTGATATTTTTAATACATTTTGATTAATTATTAATTAACAGAAGGATAATATCATTTCAATTAAAGTACGATAATTGAATTTTCTATAAATCATGGTGATCACAAATGATAAAATGTATTCAAAAAATTCAAAGCAAATCAAATTTTTTTGAATGAAAAATTTTGGTTAATAACATCAGTTCATTTTTAAACATGCTTGTCGGAAACAAAGCACCATCATTCAAGGCTGAAGCAGTCTTCCCAGATACAGACTTCAAGAAAGTTTCCCTTGATTCCTACAAAGGAAAATGGCTCGTTCTTTTCGCATGGCCACTTGACTTCACATTTGTCTGCCCAACAGAAATTATTGAGTTCTCAAACAAGTTTGAGGAGTTCAAGAAGCTTGGTTGTGAAGTCATCGGTATGTCTGTTGACTCCAACTTTACACATCTTGCATGGATCAACACCCCTCGCAAAGATGGAGGAATTGGATCTCTTCAGTATCCAATTATCGGCGATCTCGGCGCAAAGATCTCCAAAGCTTACGGGTTCTACATGGAAGAAGCAGGACATGATCTTCGTGGTACTGTTATCATTGATCCACAAGGAATTGTTCGTCATATTCAGATGAACCATCCAGATGTTGGCCGCAACGTTGATGAAATCATTCGTCTTGTTAAGGCTTACCAATTTGCTGCTAAGCATGGAGAAGTCTGTCCAGCACAGTGGCATGGTGAAGGCGATCTCACAATCAAGGCTGATCCAAAGGCTTCCAAGGAATATTTCAACAAGGCTAACAAATAAGAATAAAACATCTCAATTAACAACTTCTTTAATTTTTTCCTATACTGTATATATCGTTTTACATTAATTAAGCATCTAAAAGCAAATTTAAATTAACAAGCATGTCATGAAGCTCTTTGTCAGAATGAAATAAATAAAGTTTAATGATCTGTAGCGTGAATGTATATAATTGCAACAATTCTTTAGGTAAAAAAATCAAATATGATATAATATAATTTCGGGCTTCAGTTGGCTAGGCTTGCCCGAAGGGCAAGCCCAGCCAACTTCAGCAAAATAAATATATTATGATTATAGGAAATGAGTTTATACAATTAAATTTGAATTTGTGCGATTAATATTATATTTCAAAGATTATTATGTAAAACATACGAGAGATTTTTATATCCATCGAAGTGGTTTAGGGAATACTTTGAGATTTTAGAGATTTTTCGAAAGAAATATTGAAAGCAAAGCATTTATTAAGAATTTGTTGTGAAATGAATACACTTCGATGAGATATTACATCAGTTTGTTGCTTGGCAAAATTAGAGCTGAAGTCATGTTCATAAATGAAGAAAATGTCTTAGCTATAGTAAACGGTTGTAATGTATTTGAAACATTAATAGTCTTATTGTAATCTGATATCTATGCGATCATAGATATTTGTTGAGAAAGTATTTCGGAAATTATGTAATTTGTAAGGATATTGAGGAGCTCTAAAGTTAAAGATTAATTAGGCATGTGATGACAAAGAACTTGTTATAGACGAAAATCTAGAATTTTAGAATTTTCAAAATTCATCTGTAACCAAATGGGCATATTGTGAATCATTTAAGGTATGATGGAACACAAATAATGCATTAGATCAATGTGATACATTAGAAGTTTGTGCAGAAAGTCTGGTTAAGAAAAGATGAAAATGTGAAATGAAAAAACAATATTTCTCTCAATTTTTCAAAAACTCTTTGTCTATCGTTTGGGAAGCGGCGCTTCACGCCGCTAATTATATTTTGAGAACAACTTTGGTTGTTTGTTCGGCAAACTTATTTCAACGAATTACGATTTACAATCAGATGTAACATAATGATATCAGATTGATTTTGACTTTTGATAATAAAAAATTATTAAATAATTTGAAAAGTTATTTTCTTCGCTATTTGATTGGCGCTTTGCGCCAATCAAATAGCTCAGATTAATAATATGATATTATTTTAAATATGATGAAAATTTTTGAGTGAAAACTATCAAAACTAAGTCTTAAAAAATAGATATTTAAAAATGGTTTTTGATTGTTACACTACTTGTGAAAAAATCTCGATTGAAAGACATTGAATTTAGTTTTGAGAAGACTGTTTTTCATTTTGAGAATTATTAATTAGCATATAATTATAATCATATTGTATGAAGTTATCAATTCTCTTAAATTTTGAAAGCTTAAGAAATTTAAAAGCACAAACAAATATATATTATTAAAATAATGGTATTGATCAATTTGAAAAATTTTGAAATTTTGAATACGAATTTTAATTTAAACTTTAATAGTTGTAACAGAATAGGAAACATCACAGATGGCAACTTAGATTAATGAAAAGTTGGAATTTTTTCAATAAAATTTTATTCATGAAAAAAGATGCATGAAATACAATAATAGTAATATAGATACGTTATACAACATGTTACATAAGTGATCACTATAAGCATAATAGCTTTAAACAAAATAATCATATCAAAATTTGTATCTGTAAGCAGCAAGAGTGTTATATCCTAATATTAACTGTAACTACTTATTAGACAATGAATACAATATAATGCATTGATTAATAGGCTAAAGAAAAAAAATTATATCCTTCAATTTGGACAATCCGAAATTTTTCTTAATTAATTGAATTACATATACATTAATTTACAATTAAGTGATATCAGCGATAAACTTATATGCACGTTTAACTTTATCAGATTTCAAATGAAAACATGGATTTCATTGCATGTTTTTCAATACTAGCTCCAGAAAAATGATACAAAGATGAATAAATAGTAATGTCCCTAAAATAAGGTACAAAAAAAAAATTATCAACAATATACTTAATTTCGGCTATTATGAAAAAGTGAATATGTCAAAAACATTTATTCCATCATCTTGTTATCTGTACCTCACCACGGACTAATATGAAGAGAGATCAATTTCCAAAATTTTACCAAAAAGAGATTAGGCATAATTTTTATGGCCAATCTTTATGATTTGTTATACAGATACTAGATCTACTACTCCCCAAAACAATTCATTTTTTGAATGGCCCCCTTTTTTAGGTTTTCATTTTATGAAAAATGCCAATATTATACGATTATTAATATATTTATTTTTTTATTCTCAATAAAGGTATTCAAAAGTCAATATAAACCATTCAAAATTGAGAGGAAACTCATTGAGAGGCTCGGAATTCGAGTAGTGCGGAAGGGTAAATTTTGAGAGCCAAAATTTCAAATCCCCTCAATATTTCAAAGCCCTTCTACTTAGATTTTGTGACTACCTTATATATATCATCTATCGGCGCGCGGAGCGCGCCGATAGATGAATGAAAATTTATTTTTATTGAGTGGTTTGAGAGCATCTCAAATTTTTTCGAACTCAATAAAAATAAATTTGGATTTGTACATTCAATACAAACACTTTTTAAATGGAATTTAAAGAGTGGTTGTATTGAATTTGTATAAATTATATTTTCAAGTTCTTTATATCAGAATTATATTTACACCACATTGCAAACTAGAAAATAATGTCTGAAAATAAAAAATCATGATAATATTAAACTAATTTCTACAACTTTATAAGAAAATCAAGCCAGAATAATATAGTTCTTTATCGTTATGGATATACTATGACTCTCTTTCATTTGCTTTATAAATACTAATATGCTTATTATGCAATAAATACTTTTCCTGTAAAAGTGACAAACATTCCAAGTTCGACTCGGTTTATATCGTTTTTATCGCTTCAATTTCAAAATTAAACAAATCTTTCAAAAATTGAAACAAAACTGCCATACACTTCAGATTTCCTGGTCCCATAAAAATGTGCAATATTAAATCAGGCATCTTTTGGTTGTGATTTGAAATTTAAAATTTATTACATTTGAGTCCCTTAACTCAAATGTCATAAATTTCAATTCTTAACATGAATACAAACGCTTTTTAAAAAGCGTTTGTATTCAAATGTTAAGGGTATAGTCCACTAAAAATTTTTAAGTTTTGACAATGAAAATAAGCTCTGTGACCATGTAAATATATATCTATGCAAAACGAGAGGTTATGCCATAATTTTTTTAAGTTATCAAATTTTCCTTTTTTTGAGAGAAGTCTCTCAATAATTTGAGAAGAATCTTTGATATAAAGAGATACACATTTGTAGAACGAAGTAAGTGTTTTCCAAACATTTTATATGTTCATCCTGTATAACAATATAAAGCTGCATAGTGCCATCTTGTGCGTTTGCTATTTTATGTACTTTTCATTGAGATAATCCCTCTTCTCGGGTGATTTTAACAGTCAACTCAATTTTAAAATAAAGATTTCATCAAAATGATTTCGAAATTCGGATATTGATTATATAAATAGCACTGTTAACATATTTTGGATGAGTAAAAAATACCTTGTTTTGTATGCATTTAGTACACCTTTATTTTTGATTAAAACTATAAAATTTTTATTCCTTATATAATAAATAGTATATGTTACATAAACATGAAATTCAATAGCATTCAATTTTGGATTTTTTAGATTTGGTAAATTTTAGAAGAAATAAAATCAGCAATCAAAATAAAGAAACTTTTTTGTATCTTCTATGATTACCTTTTGGTACTAAATTTTGCATTAATAAGTAAATTATCTGTATTATTCTGTGAGCACAAGCCCTCAGTTATGCTGGTAGTGAATGAGGAATCGTCATTTTGCGAAGAGAACGCGATTATTAAGGTAATTTTGAGAATTGTCTTGAATTATTTAAAATTAAAGTTAATTGAATAGGTAGGATAACTAGCCTTTGCTAAATTTGTATAATTTGACCTTATTCTAGTTGGATCTGAGAATGTTTTGCTGAAATAATAAATTATATCGCCGATTTATGAAAATTTCTCTGATGGGACCGACTCGCTGAAACGTATTAGTGTTAATGGTAACTTGTCTGAATTTTCAAATTTTTTTCGAAATCCAAAAAATCACAAACAAAAGCATCAAAATTAGATTTGCATTTAAGGTTTTCATTTTTTTTTGGAAAATAAAAATATTTTTTCCCCAATAAAGTTTTTTTTACTTTTGAGAGGAATAGAAACGTTATTTTGGAATTTTGAAACGACAGAAATGTTCCATTTTTAATGTAGATTCTAAAATGGGGTCAAATTTTTGATTGAACCGTTATCCATTGAAAAACCTCGATTTTAAAATGTTATTCCAAAATATTCATCTAATGATATAGTATATATTTATTAATTATTACTTTTTATTCAATTTTCACTTTTGGCGGGATTTCATTTTTTTGTTGTTGTATGGGCCATATTGTTCACCCAAAACGGAAAACAAAGGCAATGCATAACATTTTACTCCACGAACGTCGTCGACTCTCAGCGCGACAGATGCTTGGTGCTTGCATAATGACCGGAATGCCATATACAAAAGGTGCTCGCTTTCTTTCTCTTTGTGGAACTAAGCCCCCTGTGAAGAGTGGTGTCATGAGACAACAGAGATTTTGTGACGATAAGATTAGAAGACTTAAAAGTATTTCCCTAATGCTGTCGAGAAAGTCCTTCAGTGGTTACTTATCCATTGATGCAAGATGGACGCACAGGCGAAACTCGCCAAGTTGTACAGTAACTGCGCTCGATGCTGTCACAAAAAGAGTTCTTGCATGCGTGAACATCAACCATATTGGTGGAAACAGACAGCATGCTCAGTATTCCGGAGCTTCCAACAATATGGAAAGTGCTGGAACTCGAATCATCTTGAAGCAATTAAAGAAATACAATATCTTGAAAGATGTTAAAGAGATTATTAAAGACCGAGATAACAAAAGTGTCTCTGTCTTTAAAGAATTTGGCGTCTCTCATCTTGAAAGATTCGATCCAGGTCATGTATCAAAAAATATCTCAAAAGATTTTACAAAGTTCTCAGCTTCTCATAAGACAGTTGAAGTTTTCAACGACAAGACTCAGAAGATTGAAAAAATAGAGAGACCTTTCTGGGGTCTGAATGCAAGCCTAAGTATGTGGCTTTGGTCATGTTTTGCCGAAGAAAATATTGACAAACGTACGAAAATGTGGGAGAATTGTGTCTACCATTACGTAGGCAATCATTCTTTTTGCGAACCGCACAATTACAAATGCTTTGAATGGCAAAAAGGTGTCAATTCGATCCAACTTCAATTCATGCTCTATGACTGGGTTCACAAATGGACACCCATAGTTTCCAAAGTTTCTTCCAAAAATTGCATGCTATTTGGACAAATCAAGAGCCTGGAAGAACATTAACATTAGAGTTAACGTTGCAATCTTAGAATGGAATGATCCAGAGCATTTTCTCGGAGATATACAAAAAGCATTACATCTTCCCCACTTCCAGAAGATTGTGTCAAATCATTTGAAGAGAATTGTTACTCCAAAATGATATTGAAACAAAAAACTGTTACAAAAGGTTCTAAAAAACAGAACAAATACAAAAAATCCATTCAGAGTGTACCAGGAGGAGATTATCAAGTTTTCAAGTCCGAATGGGAATCAGAAGACGAAGACATTGATGACTTTGATTAACGAAAATTACATTTTATTTATTGTTTTTGTTTTTAATTAAATTATTATTATGCTCATTTTCTTATTTTGATTTTTTCTCATTATGATATAAATAATTTATTAATGCATTTATCCAATAATTATGCTATGATATTTTTATGCCTTATTTCATTTCTCTTATATTTGATAATCTGGTAAAATATAGTTCAGACTATAATCATTTTAGATATTGATATATTTATATAGGTTAGAATAAAATTAGTTTCATTTTCTACTTTTATTTTGAATTAATAATTTATAATATCAAATATTATGGCGTAACCTCTCCTTTAAAATATAGATATATATAGGCCTATAGAGTTTATTGGCACTCTCAAAACTCTAGAATTTTGAGTTTACTATACCCTTAAGAATTTTTATTTTCATAAACTCTAATCAAATAAATTGTCACTTTTTACAATCTCGTGTTTTATGATATTTTTGTTAAAAAAAGGATATTCAAAATATAGTCCAAAAACACACATCAACTAGAAACAATTTACACTTTGATCAATCATCTAATGATGTTTGGGAACTCTTTTACAATACATCACCTAATTCAGTACCTATTCAAGGTACAAATGTTATAGCCAGATCAACGAATAATGAGTGCTTCTTATATAACTGTATGTTCATTAATATTACAACCAATACTGCCATTTATTTTACAAATGAAAATAATAATTTTCTTAATTCCGACTGTTTATTTATTAACTGCAGCAGTGATAGAGACAGTGGATCTATCTACTTTAAGTGTGATAGTTCTATTGTTCAATACCGAACTTGTGGCTACAAATCACAAATAAACTTTTATGGTGCACATCATTCATCAGTAAAATTAGTTGATAAATCAAATAACAAAAATTATCTTTATGATAGTTCTTTTTATGAATGCGGAAATTTAGAAAATGGCTGTACAAATTATCTTCGAGGTGGAAATATTGAAGTTAAATCAATCAACACAAGTTTCTGTGAAGCAAAAAGTTGGTCACGAATAACTCTAAATATTCCAACAAATCTAGGTAAGGTATCACATTCATCATTTTGTAACACAACATCACATGATTTAATTATTGAATTATATAGTGGTAACTTTAATTTTAATTTTTGTAATGTTTTGAATAATGAACATACGGATTCCGATTCTGTAACATTTTATGCATCAAATTCAAAAGTTCTTATTGATCATTGTTCATTTTTTGGAAATACAGGACCGGGGGCAGAATTGATGTCATTATTTGATTTTGATTATGATCATGGTATTACAGTTCAAAATTCTTATGGTGACAGATTTGATCAAGTACCAGAAGGAATTAACATTATTTATTATTTTAATTTTGAAAGAATATATTCTATTCAAAGTCTTTCTCACTTTTCAACACATCTCTGTGAAGCAAGATTTATTACTAAATGTAAAGGGCCTGATAAATCTGCTTCCGATGCGTTTCATCATTTACCATTTTACATGAGACGAGTGCGTTAATTTTTCAAGAATTGATTATCATCTTTTTTTTTCTTTATTATTCTGGAGTGTGCCATCTTTAGTTGCGTGTCCTTCGCAGTCAACACTCAAATCAAGGTCTTCACGAGAAAGTAAAACTTTGACAACTTCGATTTTTTTCGCTTTCAATCGAGTTGAAAATAGGAGTTCTCTTCATCAAGTTCTGAAGTTTGATATCGATGTTTTCGTGTTTCAGCGACTCTTCGACAAAACTTGTTGATCCGTATTTGGCTACAACATGGAGAGGTGTCCATTGTATTGAGTTTACGCAGTTCAAGCCAACGTCATCTCTCTCAGCTAACAGAATGATTAAGTCAGAGAAATCATTCGATAAAGCGATGTGAAGATGTTTGAAACCGGAATCGCCAGGAAGTTGTGGATTGACATCTTTATCGTTTAGAAGACACTCAACGCACTGTTTGTGGTGGAGAAAAACTGTTGTCGACGCGTTGAGTGTTTTCTTGTCGACGCTGCTCTTCTCTATGCCTGGAACATTCAAGAGAAGTTCTAATGTCTCTAAATATCTGTTACGAGCTGCCATGATCAATGCTGTGCGAGACGAGTTGTTCATGGCATTGACATCAATAGATGGATCAGAAAGGAGAAGTCAGAGAACATGCGTGGTGCCATTAATTGCACCGCGATGAAGAGCAGCCTATCCTTTGTCGTCTTTGTTGCTGATGAAAACATCGCCATTTTTCTGGAGGATGGAAACAACTTCTGCGTCGCTTGCTTCAGCAGCATACATCAGTGGTATCAAATCCATGTAATTAACAACACCTGGAATGGCTCCATGAGAAAGAAGGTAGTTGAGGACACAAACTTTGTCTGATATGGCGGCTGCTCATAACATCGGTGTAGCTTCCATTTTGAAGTTTTCCTGGCTGATGTTGGTGAAGTAAAGAGTGTAGAATCAATGGAAAATCTCAAAGTGATGGTACTGAATTGCAATTGAAATCAAATGTTTCAGTGATTGGTTGTTTGGAACGATTCTACGTATGATTTCGATGTTGCTACCTGCAATGGCATATATAAAAACATTCTTGCCTTTGTTTGATTATTGTTTCAAATTTTAACCAGGAAGGAAAAAATATTTTTGGCTTTAGTTCATTTCCATCGCGATGCAATTGGTTCTGTTCAACAACTCGTTGAAGAACTAGAAAAGCAATTGAATATTTATAATCAATCGGCGTGATGCGCCGATAATTTAATGGGTAATTAAAAATTTTGAGTCAAATCGAGGAATTACCTCGACGATTATTTTTCTCTCAAATCTATTTCAAAACAAAAAATAGATGCCTCCACCAAATACGGACAATGATGGAGGAAACAGGTCAAAAAGCCAGAAGTTACTTTCGAGTGTTGGTGTGAATATAGCTGGTAATGGCCAATTACAATTTTCCATTCCACCAAGTCAAATCATATCAAAAATCCAAAAATTTGTTGAGAAAACAAGCGAAGAAGAACTCCAAACAATAATACACATGATATGTGATGAATTAACTCAACCAGAAACTCTGAAAAACTGGCTGACACCCCCAAATAGTTCGAATCAATCATTTATCAGCATCTTACTCGAGAACAAGAAATTTCAGACGAGCATTGTCGAAACACTCTGCCAGTACTTATCGTTAACAGACACAGAAACCTCCATGGATGTTCCTAGAGAAATTACAAAATTAATATTACAATCTCTGAAGTTTCATTCACGAATTTACGAGCCCGAGAAGGTTGCTTCTGCGTTATTCGATGCAATCAACAACGCGAAAGACGTTCTTCAGCCTTTAATCATCGGATCTCTTCACGAAATCTTGGACAGCTCTTCATTCGTTGTAAACGACTTACTTGACCTAATGACACGTACACCAGCCCTTACCAAAGATATCCTTGGCTCTTTCGAAGGTTTTGAGCTTTCCCAAGAAGATAAAAATAAAATTCGCGAAAAAGTAATGAAAGACACTTTGTCAGCTGTTGGACCTTCAGATTTAAATGTTGTTATTCAATTCCTTATGGATACAACTGATAAATCCAATTCCCAACAAACAGTTGAATCATTTCGCGAAAATATCGTTGTTTCTAACGATGAAAACAACGAAACTGATGACTCTGATGTATTCCTTATCCTTATTTTGAAGAACAGTTTAAGAGTTAACACAGATTTCGCTTCTGCTTATATTAAAGTAATGCATGACCAGATGGAACTGGAAGCTATCGATATGTGGGCATTATACTGTTTGTTTGATATTGCTAATAGAAGGAATGACGCAATTACAACAATTACAAAATTAATTCATGGAAATTCAATAAACGAAGATTCCATAAATAGGAGTATAAAAGGTCATGGAAAGGCTGTACAGTCTATTGCTAGATCTCTTACTGATCTAATTTCTTATCTTTTGGAAAATAATTCTGGTGAATTACAAGAAACAGGAAATTTCTTGGCCATGGCGCTTTTTGGAGAGTCCCAACATTTGGGAATACAACAGGACATAATTGCGTCAATTCTGCAGCAAATTGGAATAGGAAATGACCCAAATAAGAAAAATGCCATTAAATTACTCCAAAAAATGAGCGAAGAGTACCCAGAAAAGATGAAGTTCCACTCACATATCTTAGAAGCTCTTCTTTTCTCTTATCAGTCGATGCCTTTGGATATTTTCAAAATTGGAGTCAATATAATCGTAAAACTCACATTCACCGACCAATCAAGTATTGAACTTAACGCCGGATCTCAACTCCACGTGTTTTTGAGAAAAATGTTGAATAAAAGCTCAACAGGAGAGGCCAAATTCGGTATTATTGTGGCCGCAAGCATTCTTAAGAGATATGCCGAGATTTGCAATGAAGAAGACTCTCCTGTTCAGAAACATTTCAGTTATATAATTGATATGACCTCTGGAAACCTTCCAATTACGGCCATGCTGTTCCAGGAATTATCAGAAGACAGACCAGACTCAAAGTCATTGAACACAATGCTTTATAACTTACTCAGACAGTCATTAGAAACATTATTAACTCCAAGTATAGATAACAACCTCGAAAGGTTCGGTATAGGCGATAATAGTAAATACGCAGTCATGTTCTACGAAGCAGCGACAACAGAACCAACACAAAGAACGTTATCTTTATCCAGAGTAGGAAATGCCAATTTATTGACAAAAGCAGCGTATATATTTTCACATGGAGCTTTGGAGTTATTCTTGGACTGCGCAGTTTCAATACAAAAGGAAGATTTAAATTTATTAAACTTACCTCTTCATTTGTTTAGAATTTCAGGCGATGAAACAATCACACAGCTTAAGGAACTATCCATCCTTTACATGGCGCATAACTGGCTTGTAACCTTGATAAATCATTACGGACATCTCCAAAACGAAGCCATTTTCACACGAATCGACAATCTGTTGGACGTAGATGATCAGATGCTATCCATATATAGCGAAGATTTAGAGTTTTCTAAGTTAGATGAAGTTGTTCCGAAAATTCCGAAAGTTGAATCGATTGCGAAGAAAGCAAACTCGAAAGATGAAAGATCATCATTCTTCATCAACGAATTGCATAACTACTTCATCACCCCTAACATAGATTTCTGTTCTATGATGTTAAAACTTGAATTTCCCTTGGACGATCAAAAATTCAGAATTTTAATAAGGTTATTAAATTCTTATTCGAAATTGATCGAAACTCCAAAGAAAAAATCAAAGGAAACACCTATAGAATACCCCTTCAAAACAAAACAATTGTCACAACCGTCAAATGAAATAATTCAATGGTTGTCGACGGTTTTGTTGCCAAATTTACTAAAAAGTGACAACAGAAAAGCCCCATTTGTTACCATACAAGTCATTGAGCTTATTGCTATGCAGTTTACGATGCCATGTTACAAGAATGCCGATTTCTATGCGGAATTATTGAATTCCATTTCAGGAACGAGATCTCGCAAGAAAACATTTATGATGTTTAATGATTTCATCAATGAAGAAATGTCTTCTGATGTTGTTTCGAGTATTTTGTATCTGATGAGGACTGTTCTACATTCTGGACCTTCTTCAAGAATAGATAAACACGGTGAAGAAGCAGAAATAATCAATAAAAGATGTAAAGAACTCCTCAAAAAATCTGACAAACCGTTAAATACAAAAAGTGTCAAAACGGTTTTACAAATGTTATTTGAACATAATCCATGTCCAATTGATGATGTCAGAGAGTTTGCTGTTAATGTATTATGTGTAGAAATATACACAGAAAACAAAAGAGATGAAGATTGGCCATGTATTAATGAAAAAACTGCTCCAATATTTTTCCATGAATGTTTTGGAGTTTTGAACAAAGAATTACATGATATTTCCCAGAAAATGTCAAAACAAGGAACATTGAGAGATGAAGCAACAATCCTACAAGTGTTAGAAAGATTGGAAGAGATAATGATCTGTACAAAAGGTTTGTATAACTCAACAATCGCTTATAAACTTCCTGTTTCAATAATGAGAGATTCTCTAAAAATGGGAGGTGTTTGGCTCACTGAATGCATGGGTTTGTTCGACTTCTTGAAGGACGCATATAACGTGGACTCTTTGAAAGTAAATGAGTTCTTGACAAACTTGAAAACAGTCAGAAGATACGTCAACTCTAAAATTAGATTCGTCAAAGTCGAATCAAAAGATAAAACATTGAATGCTTTAGTTCCTGCAGTCCAAAAACCAATGTCAATGATCACGTATAAGATGAAACAGTTGATAATTGATACTCAGGGAACTGAAGGAACTACTTTGACTCCTATGAGAGACAAGGATTTAACTGGAGCAAACTTGGATTCACAAGGATAATTTTTATATATTTTTTATTAAGGTCGCAAAAAAAAGTGCGGAAATTAAAAACCGCAGTTTGAGTACTTTCTGAGAGTCTGTTTGTCAGAAAGTATACATTTGTAAACTTTCTGACACTAAAATTTTTTGGTCCTTTCAAAGTTTTTGACAATGTCAAAAAGTATACATCGGGGCTCACAATTTTCCTCTCAAACGGCGGTTTTTTAAAAACGCTCAATTTTTCATCGACCTTATATTTTTGTTTGTTTTTTCCCCTTCTTAGAATAAATAATTTAATAGTTTAAAAATTTACATGAAAATACAGGAGAGAGGGTCAAAGTTGCTATTTGTCACTTTTCCACAGGAATAGATTGGGGAACAGGACAAATTTGCCACACGGCACTTTTTTTAAAAAATTTAATGGATCGGAGCGATACTCTGCTGCAGGAGCCCCAAGGCTCCCAATCATTACGAAAGGGAGCCTCAGTGCTCCTGAGAAACCTCTTTGAGAAGGTTTTCTTTAAGAAAACCTTCTCAAAGATGATTGTCAGCATTCACTCAAAATCTACCAAGAGTTTCAAAGTTTCAAATCTATCTGAAATGAAGCTTTGAATCTCTTGTATATCTAATTGTAGAGGTACCTTTTCAAAATGTCTTCTATTGATTAAATTTAATCAGTAAAAGTCATTTTGAAAAGGTACATCTCTATAATTGCTATTGAGCATTCACTCTTGGAACCTTGGAGCTCTTGTGTAGTGCATGAAAACTCCAAGATTCTAGCATAAAACATATATCATAGACATAATTTCTTCAAATATAATTTAAGGTTATTTTTTTAAAAATTAGAAAAGCGTAATTTAAGGTTATTGAAAAAGTGACACCTGGCAAATTTGTCCCGCACTCAATAGATTGTGGAAAAAGTTATCATTTTGCAATCAGATATTTTAAGCCAAAAATTGAGAGATGTATAACAACATTGATATTAATAAGCGCTTTAACACTTTTTATCGCTTTGAATCGCAAATCGAAAGAATCTAAAATCCTCTGATTTTTTATTTTGAGATCAAAATGTCTAACTTTTCACATACTGTAGCATACTTTTTAATATAAAAATGGAAGGTACCGACTATGCAGATTATGCGCATTTTGGATTAGCAAAGTTGGAAACTAAGGCGTTATGTTGCAAGTGGGTAACAAGGTTCGATATTATAATGTGATGCTAATATCAATCGACTACTTATTACTTGAAGGTTTTTCATAAGCTGGCAATAAATTTTTTTCTTACAACTCCGAGATTTTTGAAATCATAAATTTTCTACCAACGTTCCGTGTAAACAATACAATTCATACAATTTTTCAATATTGGGCGGATTATTTTTTGAATCAATTTTTTATCAGTGAAATACTTTTTATATGAGCTATCCATTTGAGCCTAGCCGACCAGATCAGGGTCCATTTATTAAATGCTCATATTCCTTTTTGCCTCATAGTAAAGCTCTTCATTCTGAATTGAAATGCCCGATGTTTTTAGCAATTACTCCAATTCCTCCAGCAACATCTCCAGTTCAAATCCCCGCACCAATACAAGCGGTTGGTAGATGCAGAAATTGTCAAGCATTTGCTAACCCATTTTGCCAATATATGGATAATGGTTCATATAAATGTAACTTTTGTCAAAGAGATCCGAAATTAGATCAAAGTAGAATGGTATTTGAAGAGCAGAAAAAAGAAAATGTTTACGACTGCAGATTCCCATATCCAACACAACATCCAAAGAAACTTCACCCAGTTGCTTATATAAATACAATTTATATGGTAGTTATAGAGCTTAGTGAGTCAACATATGCAGATAATCTCTATTTGGAAATTCTAAATCAACTCTACAACTATTTCATAAATTTTGATGGTGGATACGCCACAATTTTCGTTTATAACAACGGATTACTCACTCCCACAATCAACCACGAGGAAAACAAGTTCTCTGTTTCGCTCCACGTCGATTTAGAAATGACAGATATCGCAGATTCAGACAGCATCTTATTTGATCTCAGGGAAGACAAGGAAATACTTACGCAATACTTTGAGTACCTCAGGACGCTAAAACCAGCCCCAGTTCGTCACAGTCTTGTTGAAATATTAAATTATTTACATGAATGCACTCCAGAAGAGACATACAACCCTCTAATCCTTTGTTCAGAGACAAAGATGAATTCTGTTGAAGAATTCCGCGTAATGGCCAACAGAACAATACAAAATGCGGATACATCTGATATTTTGGCAATAGAACCAATCCGTGGCACCAATGACTTCTCCCCTATATTCTATTACACATCCATGCTATCCGGGTTCTTCAGATTCTACAAACGACCAGAATCTGATCAATTGCCATTTGATTTCATCAGTAGATTGAACCAAAGCCACATGATCAGTCTAAGTTTACTAATAAAGCTCCCTTCATGCTTGAAAATCGTAGATATCCATGGTTCTGGCATCAGATCTGGTGATTCTTCTTACGAACAGCCAATTGTTTGTACAGGAGACACAATCTTCGTAGAAATCGATTACAACACGGCCTATCTACCCCAAACAATCGATATCCAAGCCGTTGCAAGGTTTAGAGACACAAATTTAAGAAGATACGCGAGAGTTATGAACTTAAGACTTTCAACGCGTAACAACACAACTGATGTCTTCAACACAATCAATTTCGATGTCTTACTCGCAGGAACAGTCTCCAAATCCATATCAATGACAAGAATTGAAGGTTCTCAAAGTAGAAAACAGAACTTTTTCGAGTTCGGAAGCAAGTTCTTGATGAACAAGGTAGATATCGATAGACAGCTCAATGTCAGGAGATACAGAATCAGACAGTTGATTGCTGTTGCTCCAAAGTTTTTGGATGATGTAAATAGCGCGTTTATTTTCGGACATTCTGTTGAAGAAATCGTTGGTTTCTTGAGTCCGGAAACATGGTTACTGAACAGAGAAACAGGTGCTAGCGATGTGACAATGCTTTGCGATGCAAGGCCAAGTCCTGGAACTGTTTTACTTGTGAAACTGAGTTCTTTGAAAGCGTTTATTTTCGCTGATGACGCACAAACAGCGAATTTGGTTTTGGAGGAAACTCAGAACTCTGATTCAGTGATTTTCAAGGAAATTTGGTCAAAGGTTGGCTCTGCAAGAGTTGCAGTGATATGTCCACAAATCAACCCTCAACACCCACTCATTTCATACACTTACACAATGATGAATTCCCTTCGCGGATAATTTATAATATTATCTTTTTGTATTTTATAAATTTTTGAAAATAAATTTGTATTCTTTAAATAAAATAGATTTAATGAACTTCATAACATTTATAGCACAAAAAGGAATGTTTAAAGGGTGAACTTTTACCCTTATGACATGATTTTCTATTCGTCTGTTTAAAGTCAATTTTAAAGTCATATGAACAAAAGTGAACGTTATTGGTGTGGTTTTCTTATACTACAACAATTAGTATATTCTTTCTTTAGTTCAGGAATAATTATGGCTGTTTTCCAGTGTAATCTTAATCCTCTGCTCACCAAATGAATTCGGTTTTAAATACTAACTAATTTTGAAGATAAAGAAAATCATATTCTAAGTTTTGGTTTTTATCATTGTCAGCAATCTAAGAAAATTTATCAAAGATGGATTCATTCAATAACTTTTAACTATATTTCGTTTTTACATTGCGAATAGTTCGATAATACATTCAAATGGATATAAAAATAAGGTAATAAAGATAAATTAAAATGACAATTTATATAAAAACTATTTGGTATATTTTTTTCTATTCAAAATAATCATTACTGATTTCATCCGCACCAAAAATTGATGCATCATTATCATCATTATGATTTTGATTATCATTATTATGACTGACACCAAGGAATTCTTCAATTGATTCATCATCAAATTTCTCATCTTGTTTTGTTGAAGAAATTTCATTGAATTCATTTTCGTGAAAATCTCTAACAGAAGAAGGAGTTTCTTTATCAGTCCACTTAACCATTCTTGAAGCATTCTTTAGCTCAAACAACTGGTATATCTGTCCTATCTCTACTTCAGAGCTCTTCAGAGACTTGTCATCCCATGAAACATCAGGTTTCGGAGCAAACAAAAATTTGTCAAAATTCTTTCTGACATTTTGAATTGATTTCTGATCTGTTTGTGCTGAAATCAATGCATGGCATAATCTAACTCTGTCTCTTACTTCAATATCAGTGTCATACATTGCCTGGCTGAACACGAATCGAACTAAATCTCCTGCTTCTTTTGGTTTTACACAATAAACTCTTGCAGCCAAAAAAATACTTTGTAATTTAACTGATTTCTTTTGTTGCAAAAATGTTATTGCAATTTGTCTCAATACTTCATGTGCGTAATCAGGTATCAAACGACATTTGGATCCAATAAATGATATCATGGCACTCTTGGCTTCTTCATCTGTTATTTTTCCGAAAAATGTCAAAAGTCGTTTGACGATAGAAATGTATTCATCATCTGTCATCATTTCATCACTTAAATCTCCGAACAAAGGATCGATTTCCGCTTTGTTTTTGTCTTCATCGCGTTTAGGTAGCGGTGACAATAGGATGCATAAGCAGTGGACAGCTGTCGTAACAATGTACTGTCGACTGTTTGTCAATAGTTTGATCAGAGGATTCAATGTACTGTAAGTGATCGGAGTGGCCAAAGAAATCGCTCTGCCTATTGAAAAAACAGCGGTTTTGCCAATTTCTTCATCGTTTGAATTGACATTGAAAGTCAACTCATCGACAATAGAAGTAAAGTTCATTTGTCTGGCAAGTTGTGAGATGACACGAAGCTTCAGAAGTTTGATATCTTTGATGTCATTTTCTAAAATGAAAAAGTGACGAATTTGAGGAACAAACAATTCAGGTTCTTCCAAAGTGATTGCGGCAATGACTGACAAGGCTATGATTTGGACACTGTCATCTCCGTAGAGTAATCTGATCAATGGTTTAACGAATAACTGCCTTTTCATTGATGGTGCGCAATAAAAATAAAGAATTGAAGCTGTTAAACTGACAGAAGGGGTAATTGAGTAAAGTAGGGGCTGTACATGAGTGAATAGTAGCTCTAGATCAGGATCAATAGCATCGGAAATGCTGTCCCAGTCATCAATTTTGTCTGATATTTCTGGTCGTTTGAAATTACGATGAACGTAGTGAATAAGCATGCGAAGAAGTATTGTTTGGGCCCATGGATCGAGTTTCTCCATAATTGTAAGAAGCTGTCTGTAGTATTTGTGGAAAATTGAATCATCATCTGGAGCTACTTGGGATAACGCGTAAATTGCGGCACTGATAACAAGTGAGGATTGATCGTTTAAGAGTTTTTCGATGATTTGAAGTATTTGCTCTTTGTTTTCGCCGTTAAATTTTTTAGTACAAGCAATAGCGACTTCACGACGTACATATGGGAACATATCTGTATAGCATGACATTAAATGCTCCATTGTGATTTCTTGTAAGTCTGGAATATCTAAAGAAGTGAAAGCTTTGAGTGATAATGTGCGACTTTGTGGTTCTTGAAATACAGATTTTAGGAAAGCACCTACAGAAAGTAATAATATTTCAGAATTACTCTCTTGAATCATTACTGCTACAATGGCTGCAAGATGTCTGATATCGGGATCTTTATTCGAAAGAGCTATTATGACATAAGGTGCTGCCTCTTGGATTACATCGCCTTTTGACATATATGCTAAAAGAGTTTTCAAGCCTAATTCGATTTTCTTATCATCGTCTGATTTTAGGTTTTCAAGAATAGATTCACGCTGAGATACAATTTTTTCATCATGTTGGATCTCTACTTTTGCGGTTGGTACATTAGAAACACTCTCCATAGACATGAAATTCCGATTTTTGACAAAAAAATATTTGATTTTGACATGTCAGGAATTTTGATTTTTTTTGTCAATCTTGGATATTTAATTTCTTCTTTAATTATCATTAAATCAATAAGCAGTGGTAAGATATGCCATTTTTGATACATTCGCATTTATTCTTAAGTGAATTAGCGAAATTTTCAATATGATGGAACAATTAATAATTAAATAACAATTATATACAAAGTAGCTTCATGTAAATCAAAAGAAGTCAAAAGAGTTTTAAGTTATAAGTTCTAAAACAATAAACAAAAATTTTAATATAAAATAAATAACAAACATATAATAAAACTGAATGTAATTGTCATGGTATAACCAATGATAATGTGTGAATACTTTAACTAACCAAAATTCAAAGTTATTGTACCAAATATCTGGTTATTTGGAATTTGGATTTTATTTTGGTGTATTATTTCTATTTCTTGGTGACTTATTTGCAATTTTATTCAGTTCATTCGCCTTAATTTGCTTTTCGAGGTCAATAATAAATTTATCAATATCATCACCACCTTTCTTTTTAGATGTACGTCTATATGATTTTTGCGGTGAAATTTTAGGCATTGGAGGTTCTGAAATTGAAAATTGTTGTCGTGGTGTTATACTTTGTCTAAAAGTTGATGTTGTAGATACCGGAGATAATATTCGAGCAGAATAAGGTGTGCTGTTGTAATTTTCATCATTTCTCCAATTTTTCATTCTTAACGTCTCTTGACGCAAATGAAAACTCTTGATAAAATTAAGATTTTCAGCATCTTGTTTACGCTGTTCTGCTATTTGCTTTCTACAAACCATTTCTTTTCTAATTAATCTTCCATTTCTAATTGGCGGAGCAGAAGTAACTACTGGTTTTAAGTGGGCAAGTCGTTCGATATGAAGTTTGTGATGCTGCTGGCGTTCTTGCATATCAAAATATGACTCTTCATTCCTGCATAACATAATAAACTCTTTACTAACGAAAAAAAGTGCCAAAAATGCTCAATGTAAAAAAATTATTTTATCCACCCGAATGTTTAGAGTTCCATTTCAGCTTTTATCATTTGAAAGTTTTGTCACATCCGGAATCATGCACAGGCTACATGTTAAAACTCTGAATAGGTAACTGATTATGTTTATTCATTCCTATTCTAATTAAATAAGAATGATTTATGGTGCATATACTATTCTTTCAATTACTGGAAATTCTAACAAAAAATTTTAACATTATAATGATAAAAGATCTCTGTTAATTAATTATATGCTAAGAATCGAAAATTATACAAATTTAGAATACTTATTAATCAAGTTAGTCTAATCAGAAGTATAACAGCCTGTCCTAAAAAAAATTATCATATTTTTCAGGTATCTTATACCCGAATCGATGAAGAAAAAAGTTATTTGATATTTTAATTTATCTAATTATTTTTGAATAATTTTCTCTATGAGTGGGGGACAAACTCGCTCATTGTCACTTTTTCATTAACCTTAAACTTGTAATTTTCATTATTTTTAATTAACCTTATTTCTTTCCCAATTCCTGATTTATTTTATTCACTTACTATTAAAAGTCACATTTTAATAAAATATAATAATTTATTTATAGCATTTTTTACTATACTGTAATAAAAAATTAATTATAATAAATTAAATGTTTATTAAATCAAATGTTTTCTTTGCAATAATATTTTTAATGTTGAGTAAACAATGTTGGGATCAAGTGTATCATTTTTCAGACCTTTCTGAACAGCTTCAAGCATACTGATGCATTCGACTTTTTTAAATTGTGTCATTTCTTCGAAATCTCTTGTGACTTTTTTGATAACTTTAACACTTCTCTCTGAATCCAGACCTTTAATTTGCAACTTAATCAGGAATGAAGGAACAACACTGGAATATAACTCGATTACAAGTTCATCGAGTCGAAGATTTGGTTGTACACCACTTGTATGTGCCGGATACCATTGTGTCAAATTTTTTCTGAAATTAACTTTAAAAGTACTAAGTAAGATCATGAGATATAGCAATATATGTTTAAACTAACTTATATTTTGGTTGTACACCACTTGTATGTGCCGGATACCATTGTGTCAAATTTTTTCTGAAATTAACTTTAAAAGTACTAAGTAAGATCATGAGATATAGCAATATATGTTTAAACTAACTTATATTTTGGTTGTACACCACTTGTATGTGCCGCATACCATTGTGTCAAATTTTTTCTGAAATTAACTTTAAAAGTACTAAGTAAGATCATTTATTTTTGCATAATATAATGCCAATATGGTTTCTTTTGATTTTATTTCATTTATAAGCAAATCAGATTTACCCAAAAACTCCACTCCATAAGCGTTCATTTGCTAAATTAAAAAGTGACAATGGGCTAGTCTGTCCCTTTCTCTTTTCTCTATTTTGTAATTATGATAATTTGAATTTCATTTTCAATTGTTCTATTTTTAAGAGAAATTAGGGTTGCTAATTTGGATGATCTTTTTTGGATCATCCAAATTCGAAAAAACCCCAAAGATCATCCGAAATTCGAGTTTTGGATTTTTAAAACAGGTATAAATACCAAGCAAACCATTATTATTATTAATGAGGAGCATATATTTGATAAAATATCATATCTTAAGGGTGCCCTATAACGATAATGTAAACATCACAAAATTAACCTTATTAGAACTCGAATGAATGGATTATCCGGATTCGAGTTCTCAATATAATAACCTTAAAAGTGCTTTTCTGAGGGTGGTCTATCGTCTATAGGGCACCCTTAAATATTTTGGATGATTTTGAATGTGTTGTCACATTCTCCTTGGGGCTCAATTCACACCCCTAAAGATCTTATGTAAACCATTGACTTTTGTGGTATAAACCATTCAAAAAAACTTTTTTTCAAGATTTTGATGATCATGGAGGATCTTGGAAGATCTTGAAAGATTTTTTGATTTTTTGAAATATTACTCTATAGACATGATACTACAAGATACCTTTGAAGGGTAACGATAGTTCACAATACAAAAGTTATTCCAATTTTATCAACGAAAGACTCACCTTAACCATTTAGCTAAAATATGATTCATTCAGTTACCATTCTAATATTATTCATTTTAAACCAATACAAAGTTTATTTGATTAAATTTAAATAATTTTTTTGCTAAATTCTGAAAATTAGAATACATATAGCTTTATTTATACTTAGATATCATATAGATACTTTGAATCGTTTCATCATATTATTTTGTGTTTTTTCCCCTTGTGTCACTTTTATTATCTTAAGATCCTCCAAGATTTAAACATGGAAAAAATTTAGCAACCCTAGAGAAATTGTAACATGAATGATTTTTTTGTTATTTGCAGGAAAATAATAAACATATTTGTTTTTTTTAGAATTTTCAAAAGTATTCAAAATTGATCTGCTATCTGTCAAAGTGACAAATTAATTGAAGTTTCTCAAAATTCTAAAAAACACTTGGTTGATTCATATCGTTCAGACAAATTGTCAGATGAACATGATTCTTGATGAAATAATTAGTGTTCATCATTCCAACAAATCTTTGTTTTTTGTCAGATCGTCAGGCAGATAAAATTTTTCTATAAAAAAATTTTCAAAGGAATGCATATCATTTTTCAAGATGTTCTGTTTCCTTGCATTAGCAGAAGCAAGAGAGCGCGTATCTCGATATCCTAGATATACCACAAAAATCATTGCAGACAAACATGGTGGTCATAGAGTCGTTAGGGTCCCAGTAGCTGAGAAAAATTGGAAAGCAGGTTCACCTTTGCAACACATGTTTGTTGCAAAAAAGCCAGCTATCTACTTGTATCCAACAAAGACAACTGACCTTACAGTTGGTGTTATGCTAAATAAGGATCAATTTACAGCAACAGTCCCAGAGTTCACACAGGGAACAATGTGGAATGTTACAGCAAAGCCAAATGGTGACATCATTTACAAGAACAAAGTTGTCCCATACTTGTTCTGGGAAGCATACACTGACATGAAGATGCAATTCAAAGAGGGCTTCTTTGTCAAGAAGGGCCAAGGAAGACAATTCCTTGAGAAAGTATTAACAGCATTCAACTTAAACGACCGTGAGAAATTCGATTTTATCACATACTGGCTCCCAACTCTCAACAGACTTGGTGATTCATTTGTATCATTCCAGTTAGGAAACTATTGCCACAGTGTTCCACTTATTACATCTGTTGAGCCAGACACAATCATCTGTGTCTTCATGGCAATCAAGAAGGCCGAGCCAGAGGACAAGCTTAAACCAACACAAACAATTCCACACCTTGAGCGCAAGGGCTTCACACTCATTGAATGGGGTGGCAGTGTAGTTCGTTCAAACGAGATCAACCTTCTCAAGTAAAAACATTATTTATATAGTGTTTAATAACTTCATTATTTTAAATCATAATCAAATAACAATTTTATAAGGTGTTTTAAAAAATAAGAATTTTAAAAACAAATACAAACAAAGTGGTTATTCCTAATTGAGAGATTTCAAGCGATCTTCGAGTAATTTGATTCGAGCTCCTTGTTCTTCTTGGATTCTCTTTATTTCTTGCTTGCTCTTTTCTGTTTCATCTTCTTCGTTCTTTATTTTTTGGTCCAAATCGCTAATTGTAGATGAAATTACTCTAACTCGTTCATCTGGTTGATCTTTTGCATTTTCACGCTTTTGAACCTTCTCTGCAATAATCTCATTACGAGATTGTTGTAGTGCAATTTCCTTTTGTAAAGATTTGATTTCTTTTTTCTGTTTGGAAAGGACTTCTCGTGAAAATTCACTCTGTTTTTCTTGTAACAGTTGCTGGAGATCTTTATTTTCTTTTTCTGCCTCCGATTTTTTACTTCTCATTCGAATTAATTCCATATGTAACATTAAGCACTCTTCTTGAAGCTCATCTATTATTGCGGCTCGATCGGACTGTTTAATGAGTGCAATTTCAGATCTATAATTTGCAGTCATTTGTTCAATTTGATGTAACTCGCGCTCTAATGAATTTTGAACAGCTGAATTAGTAGCAAAACTCTGAGGCTTTTTGGCTCTAGTTGTGAGTCTTGCAATTTTTGCTTTTAATAAACTTTTCTCTTGTATTAAATTTTGTTTTTCTCTTTTTAGCACGCCAATTTCATCAGCTAGTTTAAGGGCACCATCTCCTGCTCTATTAGAGTATATATTTTTCGAGCCCGGTGTATATGGCCTATATCCGCTTGCAAACATTTTTTTCTGAAAAAAATTCGTTGAAAATTTCGAAGAATTGAAATAATAAGGTTAATAATTTTTTAGAGCAAAGAAACCAGATTTATCGAAGTATTACCAATGATCAAAGTTATCCAAGCAGGTACTGTAACGAAATACTCTCATTTAAATATATTAAGGCTTCGAGAAATCTAATGTTAGTAAATATTTAAAATAATTTGAATCGATATTATTACAATATTCAATGCATTCAAATACAATGCATATTCTCTCTTCTAATATTAATCTATTTTTGGATTGAACACTAAATTTCCTCGGTTATCTTTGAAATTATGAAAGTTTACTGAAATTGAATTTACCAAAAGGCATATACATTTCATAATAATGACTGCATTTTCATATTTTCATGTTGTATGTAAATTTATCATATGATTTTCAATCAATGGAAGAATATACTTCATATTGCAATTACTACATAATATTGATAAATATTCAAATATTCAATAAGAAATATATATAAATCGCAAATCAAATGCATATATTAAATCCAATTTCTTCATATTAACCCTTCTTTCTCGTAAGATAACACTACTCTCTTTCAAAAATCAAGATGATATACCGAGGCGATATTTTTTTCAAAACCTTTTAATCCCAAGATTTATAAAGATTTTAGAATTTTGTCAGTTTTATTCAAAATGAAAATCGTATTAGTAGGAGACACACAAGTAGGAAAGACATGCCTTGTTAAAAGGCTTACATCCGGCACTTATACAGATAATAATCCAGCAACAATAGGAGCTGCATTTCAAAACTGCATAATTCAAACTGAACATGGCAATGTTTCACTTCAAATATGGGATACAGCAGGCCAGGAGAAGTTTAGAGCGTTAGCACCAATGTACTATAGATCTGCTTCTGTTGCAATTCTCTGTTTTGATTTGACAAACCCAACTTCATTCAACGGATTAGAACAATGGGCGATGGAACTTACAGAAAAAGCATCATACACACTAAAATTAGTTGTAGTTGGAAACAAAAAAGACTTAATCGATGAAAGAAAAGTTGCATTTGAAGCAGCCAACGATTTTGCCATGAAACACGGAGCTATATTTTACACTGAAACATCTGCCAAAACAGGTGAAAGTATCTCAGAGCTATTTTATAAAATTGCATCACATGGCCAGATAGAATCTGTATACAGTCCTCCACCATTGGAACCTGCAAAGCCTAAAGAATCTGGAGGATGCTGCTAACCTTAAAATTCATATTTTTTGTTGATTAAAATCTGTCACGTTATAATATTAATGCTTTTACTTATAACTCTTATGTTTTTGAAAGAACGAAGTATATTTATTGTCAATTTGTTTTCGCTATCGAAGTTAATGACAACGTTTGAATAATTTGTTCTTATTTCAATGGTAGAACTGACCAATTTTGGAATTCGATTATCACTGCGCATAGAGCTTCCAAAACATTACTAACTTAATATAATTGAAGAGATATTAATTAATTTTTTTTTCTAACTGCGGCATAAAATCTTCATAACAAACCGCTGCATAAAGACTTCCCATTAAACTATTATGGACTGGATTTTATTGTCATGCTCCAAATTCAAGCAATCAGAAGTGACATTTTAATTTTTGCAATATATTTAATTTCTTGCATCGCAAATAGCATATCAGGCCAAAATATAGCGAAATAATGTCGACAGTAGAAACCACCTTCTGAAATTTTAATATAAAAAATATCCTTTCAAATTTTGAATTAAATTCTATCGGGACGATCTTTAGTTTTTTTCTTTTTTGGCAATGGAAATTGACGAACTTTGTGTCAAGACATTGAGATGTCTTGTATCAGATATGATTCATAATGCTAGATCTGGACATCCAGGAAGTGCATTAGGTTTAGCTCCAGCACTTCATATTTTATTCTCAAAATTCATTAATTTTGACAAAAAGTGGATAAACAGAGATAGGTTTCTTTTAGGACCAGGACATGCATCAACAATATTATATGCAATTTTGCATTTATATACAGGAAACCTCAAAATGGAAGATCTCAAACAATTCAGAAGGTATGGCTCTTTAACACCAGGTTCTCCAGAAGCATCAATCACAGAAGATATTGAAGTCACCACAGGACCATTAGGCTTATCAGTTGGCTATGCAGCTGGTATGGGTTGTGCTGAAGCACATCTTGAAGCAAGATTTAATCGTCCCAACTTCCCTATTTTCAATCACAAGGTCTTTGCAGTTATATCAGATGGCGAAATGATGGAAGGACCACAGGCAGAGAGCGCTTCATGGATTGGTCATCAGCGTCTTGATAACTTAGTTTGCATTTATGACTCAAATAACATAACAATTAATGGAACAACTGATATTGCATTCACTGAGGATGTAATGAAGAGATACGAAGCTTATGGTTGGAAAGTTCTTGAAGTCAAAAACGGAAACACAGATTTGAAGGAAATCGAAAATGCCATCAAACAAGCAATAGAAATCAAAGGATATCCAGTTCTTATTAAGTTAAACACTACAATTGGCTACGGCTCTGATGATGCAAACACAACAAAGATTCATGGAACTCCATTCAATGATGAAGAGATCAAGAAGCTCAAGCAAAACCTTGGTGCTGATCCAAATGCAACATTCTTCGTTCCACAAGAAGTTTACGATTACTATAAGCAAATTCGTGAAAGAACTCAACAAAAAGTTGAACAATGGAACAAAATGTTTGCTGAATACAAAAACCAGTATCCAAAAGAATACGAAGAGCTCCAGAAAATCATAAATCCACATTATACAATTGAAGAATTCAAGAAGTTTATGCCTACAAGCAATATCAATGATGTCATCGCAACAAGAGTTTCTTCAGGAAGAATTCTTAACATTCTTAAAGATCATCTTCCAGGATTAATTGGAGGAAGTGGTGATTTGACACCAAGTGTTTGCACAGCACTCAAAGGAGAAAAAGATTTCCAGAAAGGCTGCAGAGAAGGAAGAATGATTGAATACGGAATCAGAGAGCATGCTATGCAGTGCATTGCAAGCGGTATTTCATATTATAGATTGCCCGGTCTCATTCCATTCACAGCAACATTTTTGGTTTTCTATCAATATGCTTTTGGAGCAATGAGAGTTGCTGCTATTGACAGATTGAAGCAAATTCACATCTTGACACATGATTCTATTGGTCTTGGCCAAGATGGAGCAACACATCAGAACATCGAGAACTTCGCAATGCTTAGATCACTTCCACATATTACTTTGTTTAGACCATGCGATTATCTTGAGACATCTGCTTGCTATTCTTTGGGTCTCGCAGAGAGAAAAGGACCAATCATGCTTGCTTTGTCAAGACAAAATGCACCTCCTGTTCCAGGATCCTCTTTCGATGGTGCTCTCCATGGAGCATACATTATCAAGGATTCTCCAAATCCAAAATTGATATTTGTTGCTACAGGAACTGAAGTTTATCTTGCATTAAAGACAAGTGAACTTCTTGATGTAGAAACAAGAATCGTCTCAATGCCAAGTACACAAGTCTTTGAAGAGCAGCCTGATGAATACAAGCGCAAAGTTTTGCCAGGAAATGTTCCAACAATATCTATCGAAGCAGGAGTAAGACTTGGCTGGGAAAGATACTCTCATTTCCACTTTGGTGTCGATTCATTTGGTTGCTCAGCTTCTGGCGAAAAAATGTACGAATTATTCAACTTGACACCAGAGAAATGTGCAGAACGTGCAAAGAAAGTACTTGACTACTTCAAAGACAAGCCAATACCTGATTTATCTCCTCGCCCTACATTTTAATATAATTCTTTAAAATAAGTTTTAACTAAAAAGTTATAATAAGAATAATTTTGAATATTTTATTGATATTGTACAGTAATTTTCGTACTTCAATGATCTAAAATGCCACGATAAAAGGATTTGTTAGAAATGCCCTATGAATACATTTTAATATTTCGCAAATTTGAATATTTTATAATTAAAAAGTTTAACCGAGATTTATATGTCAGTATATGTACAATTTAGTTTATTATATATTACATCTATTTATCAACAAAAATGTGCAACTTATCAAGACAATAAAGCCAAGCGATCAAAGCTGGGACACAAAATACAGTAGAGAAGAAAATCATTGTGGAAGAAGCTCCAGGACCTGTTCCTGCATTATGAGAAAGTAGGAAACTTGCAGTTGCAGATGGAAGTGTTGCAACTAATGTGCATTGTCTGGCAAGCAATGGTTTGACTTTGAAGATGTAACATGATATTGCGCCAACAAATGACATGCTAAAGTGTCTCATGAAGACCATGAAAATGAATTGAGGCCATGGGCATGCAACAAGTGCAAATTGAGAAAGGAAACCACCTACACATATTAAACACAAACCAAGAACACCATTTGCTGCTAAGTTTGCTGTACTCATAATATATGTTGGAATTTCCCAGCCAGTAGCGCACCAGATAAAGCTTGCAATGTTGCCGAACATGATGGGGTTTAGTAATATATTCTTTATAATGGTTAAAATCAGCTTGAATGAGAATTTTTCAACCTGGCCATCATTCTTTTCGCGATGTATTCTGTTGTGCTCTTGTACTTGGTAGATATTAGCCATAATAAGGAAGATTGGAACTGCTATTACATCATTTGTAAGATTAATGATGGTTACCATTGAGTCATCTAAACCTGGCCATATAACGTGGAAGAACGGAAGACCTATGATAAGGTAATTTGTATAGCAAACAGGTAATGCAGTGCTTAAATAGTAATAAAATTTTTGCTTTTTCACAAAAAACACAACAACGCCACATAGAACATAGTTACCTAAGACAATGCATGTACCTATAATCATTGGCATGAAATCTAAGTTGTTAAACTTTGATTTTGCAACAGATCTGAAAATTAATAATGGATAACACATGGTTAAAAGGAATCTATTTGTCGCAGCAATGGTGGAGAATGCTATAACTTTCAGTTTTACAAGGAAGTATCCCACTGCAATTAATAGCAATAGATCAGCACCTGTAGATATTACAGGTAAGTAATTCATTTGTGATTTCTTCTCAAAAAATTGAATATCGTTTTAAACTGTGATTATTTTGAAAAGTTGATAACCTCATTATCTTTTCAAAATAATTGTTATGCTGAAAAGATGAACATACTTCATATTAGCTAATTTTCCTAAAAGTATTCGTTATTGTGATAGTAATCGTTGCTGAATCAATTTTTTATTCAATTCCCCTTTTTATAGAATTGTGTATGTGATATAAATGTCCACCTCCAACTATAGGTTTACTCTTTTAATTCTGATTTTGATCAAAAACTCTCAGAAGCTTCTTGAATCAAATAAAAGCATCATGGATATAAAAGTTATCACATAATTAAATGCAAAAAGTTATATATTGAACTTGGGAAGCGTGTTTTGAATGGAATGGATATCTCATTTAGTGAAACCATTAAGTCTCTTTAGGGGAAACCATCAAGTCTCTTTAGGGGAAAATATCATATTATTCTATTCATAAAATATTTTCTATAAATCCAGGATCAGATCAAATCGAAGGTTTTTTACTGATGACATTTTTTTAGATGTTTTTCTTAGTGATATTCTCTTTCATACTAAATCAGTTGCGGAATATAAATAGCATCAGAAGGAATCAAACTCAGTTTACACATCTGTTAGAGAAGAATATAGCTTTAAATTCACATCCATACAAATATAAAGGAGTGATTTCTCCGATACAAGGATTTTACGACGATGAAATAGGAATGAAGATATCATCAACAGTGTATGTTACTGCTATCATTATAATTACAACTATTATTGTAATTTTGTATTTCATTTTTTCAGCAAAAAACAACAGAAGACGCAAAGGCGAAACATCTGCCGAATCAGCATTATACGCATCACTCAATACTTTATAATCTCTATTGCTTACAAACTTATTTGAACAAAATCATTTATCTTGTTCAGTGATCAATCTTTTGTTTTATATTTGTAATCTCTAATAGTACTATCCAAACCATTTTTGTCCTGATTGTTCTTTTTCAGCTTCTACATTTAACTATTTAATTATTCATATTAATTTCTTGATGAACTAAAAATGTCAACAAAACTTCGAACACCCATAAGATGATTTTGACTGTATTCGAGTATTTCATGCAATGAACTACAATTGGAAATTTATTATAAAACGCGTGAATGAATTCGAATGGTCATTAGAAAGTCTAGTTGAAGAATTGAATTATAGCTTAAATGGAACTCGACTGCCATGATTTATTAATGTTTTTTTGTAAATGTATAATTTTCTTTTTGATTTATTGTTATTTTGGTTGTAAATAATTATTAGTGTTCAAGTATCTTAGAGAGTATTATATTAACAAAGTTAATTTTAAAAATATTTCAATTTTTTTATTCAAATAAAAGATTTTATAAGACTAATGGTGTCTTAGAATAGTCCTCTGGTGGATATGTTGATGCAAGGATCTTTTGGCCAAAAACATTAAGCTCTGGAGCAATATGATTATAGATATCTTTGAGTGTTGAGCTTGGTGCTGTCTTAATTGCATTCCAGAACTCATTGATAAAGATAGTTTCATTTTGTAAGTCAAGCTGTTGAAGATGAGCTTGTTCTGGATCTGGGTATGGAGCAAAAAATGCAACGTGTTCCATTGTAAGATCCTGATCCTTTGGATCCCATAATTCTGGATTATTGATTCCATCTACGCATATAACTAACTTAAGATCGCCAGGCTTCTGATCTATTGTAGAATAGATCAAGTTGGGGCCAATTGTACCATTCGAACATTTAATTACAGCCTTTGCATCGATTGTGTCTTGAGATATTGGATTTCCAGAAAAGTAAATGAAGGAGAATTTGCGAACTGATGTTGAGAAGTGTGTTAAAGCTTCAGTTGCTTCATTAACATTTGGATCAACAAGATAGTAAACTTCGCATGTAGCCCAGCGAGCGAATTTTGCAACACGAATGGCACTTTGAATTGATGCAGTATTATGATAGGCGTATTGATTGATCATAATCAAGCAAGCGCGTTCTATATTGATTGGGATGCTTCCGATGCCAACTGTTCTAATATCTCTTGCAACAGCAGCAAGGTCGCGAAGTGGATTTGTACTCATACAAAATATTTATACGTTATCATGCATTTATTAATATTTCCGCGTATGTAAAAAAATCATTTGAATTTTTATCAAACTGAATTTTGTATCTGGTATTGCACACACCATCCAACCTAGTACCACAAATAACGAATTTATCATATAGGAGTTAAATCATGTTAATCCAGGAATATTGTTAAAGTTTTCTCTACATATATGTTACCAATTTAACTTAGATATGACGGAAACAGTAAAATTTTCTTATGAATTTAAGAATTTGCTTTATGTAAGAATGTTATCTGATTGATGACAGATTTGATCAAAATTAATTTATCTCTGAAGTGTGAATTCTCATCTTTAAATATCTTTCCAAAAGATAACAAAAAGAACTGTTTTACTTTAAAGTTAAATTAGTCAGTAAAATATTAAAACATGATGTTTAAATTAGATATCAATAATATTAATTGGATTTTTGTTCTGCTTTGAAAGACAATTCATTCGTCCTTGCAACAAACTGAGGTAATGGAGATATTAAGTTGAGTTTCGCTTTAATTTGTTCAAGAGGGAAATTATTATTGATTAAATGTTCAACCTGATCAAGAATTCCTTTCTGGAACAATGTATCGAACTCAAGCTTCTGTTCTTTGTCAAGTATTGTTGCTTCTGTTAAGACGAAATTTTTAATAAAATTAGCCTCTCTTCTTGAATCTGGATTTGTTGCGGTGCAGTTCAGTGCAAGTGACTTTAATTTGTATTCATCAATATGAAGCTCATTTAAGCTGTCTTGGCTTTTTAATATCTCCATGATTTCGTTTGTTTGTATATATTGTATCTTTTTCAGGAAGGCAAGGATAAGGTCTTTTGTTCTAGTATTCGTGTGGTATATTCCATTTACCACATATGTATGTAATTAATCGTATTAACTTCTTATGGTGAATATTAGATTTCGAGCTAAATGTACGTTTAAAAATTATTTTGTTGAATTTTTTATGACCGAAAATCTTCAAGAGCAACTTACAGAACTCGGATATGATAAAGTTGCAGAGTATTTGAAGCAATATTCATCAACGTCGAATGCCGTTCCTTCTTTCTATATTCCAATTCAAAAAACGATTCCGGATTTATACGCAGCTTTAACATCGATTCATGGCCTAGAAAGATTTCAACTTATGTATCCTACAGTAAGCAAAATTAAAGAACTTAAGATTCAAGCAGATAAAATCGTAAGATCTTTTGGTGAGAAAAAAATCAATTATCAACAATATATTCAGCTTAGGGAATCGTCTCCAGAGAATTTAATGAACTTTCTTACTTCGCGTCTATTCATTCAATTAAATGGTGGATCAAATTCGTCTTTATCCTATAATGATTTCTTTAATTACCTTTTCTCTGTTGCGTATGCAGTTCCTCACATTAAAGTTTTATTGTCATATGATCTTTCAAACTCGGGTATAATATCTATTGAAAGTTTCACTAAATACGTTGCTCAAATGGTTGACAGGATATATTTTGTTGAAATGTTTACAAAGAAAAATCATGAATTCAAACAATATTATATTCAATATGTTGTAAATGTCATCTTTGCGCGCTTAGATCCTCTTTTTACAAGAGTTATTAGCATTAAAGATCTTATCGAAGATAAAATATACCTTCAGTTTTTAAATTTAGATCCAACTTTAGAGCCAGATGACGAAGATGAAAGTTTTAAGAGAAATGTTTTTGGACCAATTAACCCCAAGAGCTATATTGATGTATTTTCAAAGTTAGATATGGATCATGATGGAATTTTAAAGGCCGAAGATGTAATGCAAATACCAGGCATTAGATGGTGCAGAACATTTGCAGAATCTCTTATTAGCAAAGCTTCTCCGGCTCCTAACTTTGAATGGTATTGCAGAGCCCAATTCTGTTATGATAATATTGGAGAACCTTGGGCAAATGCCTTCTACTTTGATGTTATGGATATTAATAATGATGGCGTTATCACAGAAGAAGATCTAGCTCCAATTTATGCAGAGGTTTCCCAAGTCCTCAAACAAGTCGTCGTAAACCCACAAAATCCTCTGCCATCATTTAAGTGGATTGTTAATGAAAACCTTGATTTGTATGGAGTTACTAATGGAGAAATAACAAAGCAACTATTTATTAACACAAAGTCCACCTCTGGATTTATCCGTCATCTTGTTGACATTAGAGGTTTCATAAAATGGGAAGCAGATATTGATATTTTAATGCCGAAGACATCTTAAATACTTCATAATAACTCTTAATAAATGTATTGTTATTACGAATTATCTCAAACATGGTTTTTATATGGTTTTTTATTTGTCAAAGTGTAGGGGTAGTGATATATGCATACCATAATTGTGAGAAAAGTTTGTTTAAATAAATGTCAAATATCCGGTAAGATGATATGACTTAATTATAGCAGATAAGTCAATCGAAATGATTAAGAATAGAATATAATACCTTATATTTGAAAATAACAAAGAAATAATGGTTGATTTTATTTTAATACTAAAAATGCAATAGTAAGATTTTTATTTATGAAAGATAATTAGTTAGCAGCAACCGCTTTTCTCATTCTTCTCCTTTTTCTTTGTATCATCAAGCTTCACACATTGGGCCAACTCTTTTGGTCGATAAGGCTGTATATTATGTTCCAAAACATAATGTAATATCTTTTCTACAGATTCTGTAACATTTGTATCTTGACGTGCTGAAGTTCTGATGAATCCCATAAAGCCATTTTCCTCACAGAATTTATCCATTTCTTCGTCACTCTTGTCAGGTCCTTCCTTTCCAACAAGATCAACTTTATTTCCAACAAGAAGGCATGGAATTGGCTTTTCTTCTGAAGTCATAACTTTTTCATCAATATCTTTCTTCCATATCTTGGCAACACAAAGAGTACTGGGAGAAATTAGATCGAATACTACCATTGCAGCGACTGCCTCGTTATAATACATATGAGTAACTGATGCAAAGCGTTCTTGACCAGAAATATCCCATAATTGGAGATCAACTACATCTCCTGTAGGAAGATCGATCTTTTTGTGAGCGAAATCAACACCGATTGTAGATTTGTAGAATTCACTAAAGGCTCCGTGTACATATTGACGAATTAGTGAGGTCTTTCCTGTGCCCATTTCACCAACAACAATAATCTTCATCACGCGCTTCTTCGAATCCTCCTCTGGCTGCTTATCTAAATCCATTATTGTGTAGTTTTTCTATCGTTTTGATACTGGATTTTTCGCATAAAAAAACTTATTTAAGATTATTTATTTCTACTTATCATGTATTGACTGTTTGATTAATCAAAGATAGAACAACAGATGTAAAAAAATGACAATGTTGTCCAAAAGCATGTAAATCATAGCACAACATGCGCAGACTATGATATGGCAATAAATACTATTCACAAAATTCAAAGAATAACTGTTGAACCGTCAATAAATTTTATTGATGAAATACTATTTGACACACATGGATAGGAATAGAAAGTCATACTCCCTCTGTCTATAATATGCTGATATCCTAATGCTTAAAGAAAATCAATATGTATTTAAATTCAAAAATGTATCAGGTAAATTTAATCATTATTTGTCACTGACCATAATGAAATTCGCATTACTTGGACAATAGGTGTATACGATTAAGACCAACTGTCCTGTTCCTAATGAATAAAAAAAATTGGAAAATTCTAAGAATTCTATTATTACTATTTCTTTTAATGGAAATAAAACAAACAAACATATTTTTATGCAAGACCAAAGCTTCTGTTAAAGTCAGGAGAAGAAATATTAAAACTAAATACAAAAATAACTGCCATTAGAAGGATGAGTACTGTCCTTGCTATATCAAGCGCTCTGAATGGTAGAAATGTGTCCTTTCTCCATGATGAATATGCATCACCCGTTAATTCTTCAACCCACCAGGCACCGTCTCTTCTGTACATTGTCACATAAGCCATATCTGTTTTTAACGTTAAAAATGAAATAATTGCAGCAATAATTCCGAAAACTGCAGAAATAATGTATAAAATTGATGCGAGATGGATTTTTGTTGTTTTGAAGGAAAATGTTGCGTATGTGCAATGGATAACCGAGAAAAACCATAGTAAGAAAATATGAGCATATGAATATGAAATTGCATGCTGACAATAATATGCAAAGAACTGCAGATCGGAAAGCCATGAATATGAACAAACAGATATCATAAGTGTAAATCCGGCATATAAGCATTCGCCGAAATTGCACAAATATCCGAGAAGAATGAGGGTCCATGCCATAGGAATGCTAAGCAAGATTCTACTTCTTGGTGGCGGTGAAGTTTGAGGTACATCAGGGGGAGGATTACTCATTTATATTTAATAAACGTACACTTTTTACCAGAATCTAAATCATCAAAATACAGTAATTCTTTGACGTACGAATGTATTTGAAATAAGATACTCAGTAATATCTAATTTTTCGAAGAAAATGTTTGGATTGACATGGAAATTAAACAGTTTTAAAGAAAAATTTGAAAAGAAGCCATATCTATTGATATGTTACATATATTTTGCAGAAACATGTAAAATACAAAGCTTTTATTTTTAAAATTCAGAAAACAATTGAACTTTATGAGAATTAGACTTAAATTTCATAATGCATCTAAGCTGTATAGGATGTGTAAATTGATAGTATTACTCATTTGGGTTATCATCTAACATCGGAGAATTAAGACTCTCATCTGGTTCTGTGATCATGAACCAGCCAAATACTCCACCTAAGATGGAGAATGCTGCAAACAATAAGCATGTTGGCATGTATCCCATACCTCCTGTGAACTTTCCTGTACTTTCTCCTTTTTACCTCTCATAACTGGGAAAAGGAAGATAACAACGAATGTAAATAGCTGGTTTGTTGTACTGATAATTGAATTTCCAAGAGATCTAAGGCTTGGTGGGAATAATTCTGGAATACAATACCATGGAACAGGACCTAATGCGAAACCAAAGAAGAAGAGGTATAAGCAGATGCAAATAAGTGCAATCCATGATGGCCAATCGAAGTTATAGCAGCAAGCGTAAATAATTAATGTAACTCTGCAACCAAGGCAAGAAATTGTAAATAATGGTTTTCTTCCCATCTTATCTATAACAAATCCACCAATGAAAACACCAACAATCATCATAAACATTGAAACTGCTGATGCAATGCCAGAATCCATTGGAACTTTGGCTGTACGCAAATTTTCATCTAAGTTTGTAACAATAGCGTTAATACCGCAGAATTGTTGGATAATCATCAACATTATGCCAACGAAAAGCTTTCCAAGGTACTTCTTCTGGCATAATCTTTCTTTTTCGCCTTCTTCTTCAACTTTATTATCATTTGGTGTTTGATTGCCTGTTTCGGGGCATAACCAAATCAAGCAGCAGCTCAAGAAATCAAATGAGGCTGTAACAATTGGAATGACGTACCAAACATATGCTTCTTTGCTGACGTTGGCTGTCCAGTTACCAACCAAGTAGACAATGATACTTCCTAAGCATACACCTGTCTGTGTGAGGTTTCCGAAGAATCCAGAAAGTCCTTCTGGGGCAACTTCAACAAGCATTGTTGGAGTTGTTGAAGAAACGCCACCAATAGCCAAACCCATGAGTGCTCTCATTAGGATTAAGATCCAGAAGCGATTTTTGTTGGCAGTAATCATTAATAAGTAAATTACGCCACTTACAAATTGTAAAATGCAAAAAACTGGACGTCTTCCAAGATATTTCAACATGAATGTAGCTATATATGGTCCAATGATAGCAAGTAATGAAAGAATAGCATTGAAAAATGTTGTTTGAATTTCAGGTGTTCCCCAATAACTTGAAAAGAACGGAACGAGTGGTGAAGTAAAGCCTATGGTGAAACCAAAGTTGAGGGCTCCCATCATAATAATAAATCCATAAAGAACTTCCCTCCTGCAATAATTCGCCATTTCGCTTCTGAAAAATTTATGTTGACAACGTGTACCTTTTGTATCGACAGGCCATTTCAGATAAATGGACATATGAAAGGGTAGCACCATGAATATTGTGTTTCCAACATTGATTTTCGATAATTTAATAGGAAATTGATTGTCATTAATAAATCAAATTGAGGGGTTTTAGTTTAAAAGTTTGAATATCACAGAAATTTGTGAACACCTATGAAATTTTCATCGTTATTTTCACCTTTACCTTCGAAGCTGAGAAGAAAAATATTGCTTGATTGTTCCAAATTCATTTTTAATTTTGATGCTCATCATTGCTTTAATTCTTGCAATGCAATCACTGTATTTGGATGAAACTCAACAGTGGCGCACTTTCTTATGTTCTAAAAATTAATTGTGCGGCTTTAATACTTTAAAATCTTGCGGAATTTATCGGTCCGATGTCATCTCAACCAAATTGATTCATCAAGCAATAATATCGTTACACTTTGCCAATTATTACAAGAGAATTGTATGCCTATATGAAATATCTGGAAAATAACAATTATCGAAAAGTTATTATATATTAATCATTGAACTAATAGTAATTTGATGCAAAGCATGTTTGGTACGTTTTCATAGGAATTATAGATGCTCATGATCATTAAAAAATTAAGATAATTTTTAAAAGTATATAAAAGTTTTTTAACATATAAATATTCTTGAATTAATTAGATAAGCGCATAAGAAAAATATAATATATATATTAAAAGATATTAAAATTAACTTCCAAAGAATTTCAATATCTTGAGTGCAGTACCCTTTTGTTTGATGTTACCTTTATCAGCGAACACCTTAATATCCGGTGTGAATGATTTCTCAAGCTTCTGCAACTGAGTTTTATCCATATCGCTGAAAATTGTTGCAATTAATTCCAAAATTGCGACAGGAATCTGTGAATCCGAAGGTAACATCTTTGCTGTAGACAGTTTAGCTCTTATTGTGTTCAAGAACGTCTGATCTGTCAACACTAGTACGAAATCCTTTGAATTCTTGCAAATTTCATTCAATCTTTGCAACATTGTTGGAGCGTTTTCGTAGTTTACGGAGTCAATTCCATCTCTTATTCTATTTAGAGATTCTGGTGTCATTAATATTGGATAGACATGGAAATCCGGATCAGAAGCAAGCATTGCGATAGCTGCCATTGCTCTTGCGCCCCAATATTGTTGTGTCAAAGTAGAAATGTAAATTTCAATGAGTTTGTCAGCGATCAATTGTTTCATGACATCTTTGTTTTGGAAAGCGACTTTAGGGAAATCGATAAGCATGTACATAACCAATGCTTTAAGTTCTGTATCACTATCCAAATATGGTTTCAAAGAAGATATCAAGTTAGATCTTGCGACAACTTCCAATCTTTCTTTAGAAAGTTTACACATACTACTTAAAACTTGGATTAAGTTCGCATGGATTGCAACAGCATGTGTCTTATCAAATTCAGCTTTTACCATTGCGCAAGCCATCTGCATAACTCCAGCTGCTGCAAGCAAATCTCTTGTATCAGAGACGACATTTTCTTTGATTGCTTTGCATAGTAAAAGAATGTCATTGATAGGAAGTTCTCTTCTTACTTGGTCAGTCTTTGGATCGTACATACAATGAACAATGTTTACCATGACATCTTTTTCTGCCATAGCAATTTTGACTTTTGTATCTGCCTGGCTCAATTTATGCATGATTTCGCAGACAGTGTCAATTGCTTGCATGTCTCTGATCTTTGGCTTGTTGACAAGCTGTATGAGAACCCTTGAAAGTGGTTCAATAAGACCAGCAGACATAAACAAACGACAAAAGTCAGAAACTTGGATACCACTTTTTGCAATTAATATTTCATTGATAGATTTAATTGATTGCAAAACTAAATCACTTTCTTCATCGATATCGAATTGAAGGGATTCAACTAAAGCAGCAATTCCGTTACAAGAAATGAACATCTGTATGTTGTCATTAGTCTCATTCTTCTGTCCTTCATCGTTAGATCTGCAAATTTCTGAAGTAATTTTCATGGCCAAACTTCTGATTTCTTTGGAATAATTTGTGTCTTTAAGGAACTTCAAGACAGGAGGAATTCCGCCCAACAAACAGAAGTTTTCTTTGAGTTTCTTGTGGTTATTAATAATCTCATAGATAACTTCCAAAACTAACTTCTCAGGAAGAGATTTTCCGAATTCAATGATCTCAATAATTGGCATCAAACCTTGTTGTTCAATGATACAAGATCTAACACTTCCATCTTTCTTGATGATGTCCAGGACTTCGCTGAAAGCAAATGCCATTTCTTCTGTTGTCATTGTTGTTGAAATGGACTTGATAACAATGATCAATCGCTTCTTCATCTCTTCAACTTCGATTCTATGAGCAAATAATTCTTCATCGTTTTCATCGGAATCATTGATCAAATCGAAATTGATGACTCTCTTTTGTACAGGTAAAGAGATGTGTAATGGCTCTTCTGTTGTCGCGAAATCAGAAAATGGCTCGGCTTCGTCATCTTGGAACTGTTTGAGTTCATCATTTCCTTCGATTTCTTTCTTTTGTGTTTTGATGTTGTTGAAATCGAAAGTTGCAGAATTAATTGTTTGATTAGTCTTTGGAGCGGCTGTATCTTCGTCAGGGATGCCAATGAATGCAACACGACGTGGTGAATTAACAGTGGAGGTCGGCATCTGTTGTTTCTTGAAGTTAAAGTCTTCATCTTCAACACCATCATCGATATCGTCGTCTCTTAATTCTCCACGTGAAATTTGTTGCATGTTCGTAACAACTGTTGGCTGGATTTGAATCTTAGGCTTGCCATCGTTGCCTAACTTGCTATTAATACGTGATTTGATGTCAAGACCGCTATCGTCGTCATCATTATTTTCAAATTTCGCAAGACCGGTCTTTTTCATCACTGGAGCGGAAAGATGTTGCTGGTTAACATCCTTTGGCGGTTTTGCCGGCTCGTTGCTGTCTGAATCTGAAAAATGGAAGTCATCAATGTTCATTCTTGGACGATCTTTTTGTGGAGTGGGTAACATTGAGAGACGGTTGGGTATTGGACGAAGTGTTGTCTTTGGAGCGGCTTCGTGCTTCTCGCCAAGCTCTTCCATGGCCTTTTTGACGAAAAAGAAATTATAACATTCTTCTGTAGATGGTCTTTCGTCAGGATTCTTGGCAAAACATGCACAGAGGAAGTCCTGAAGGTGAGCAGATGCCTTTGCAGGAATCGGAGGTGTTTCATTTAATATTTTGATTCTGGCTTCTTCAGGAGGAAGCTCAGCAAAAGGAGGTTTTCCTGTGAGTAATTCGATGATTGTTGCGCCCATGGACCAGATATCGCTTTTATTTGAGAAAGTACGTGATTCAATAACTTCAGGAGCCGCCCAGTAAGGATGTTCGCTGATTGAACATGTTGAAACTTCAGCACTAAGGCCAAAGTCTGATAATTTAAGTACACCGCTGGCTAAAAGTAAATTTGCTGCTTTAAGATTTTTATGAACTTGACCTTGACTGTGTAAAAACTCTAATCCCTTAATTATTTCGTATGTGTATCTTCCAACAAGTTTCTCTGGAAGTGTGCTGAATCTATCTAATGTATTTTTTACAGAAGATCCATCACACCATTCAAGAGCAATGAACGCTTCATCAGGATTTGCTTTATACATGATTTCGTTGATGTACGTAATGTGAGGATGGTATAGTGATGAAAGCACATTGATAAGTCTGTAAATTGTTTTCTTCTCGATATTTTTCAAACTCTCGGCAGGAAAGTATTTCATTGCAAAGAATTTTCCTGACGTCTTAGAGAGAGCCTTGACGACCATAGGGCGGTTACAGTCCTCAGGGATTTTCTCGGAAAAAACGTAGTCCTTAAAGCTATTCATAACTTTTATTACTTTTCAGAGGAAAATTTTTGAAGAAAAAAAATCTTTCGATTTTTTAGTTTGGAATCTTGTTTGTAAAGACAAGGTAAGCTATTTTTCAAATAATAAATTCAGAACTTTTAAAAATTAAACGTAAGCAATTTTCTCATTTCCCTCCTTATAAATGAATTTGAACATTATGATTACTGAAGAAATATTGTATGCCTAGATAGACATTGTATGCTGCAATCTCATTGAATTTCACGACAAATAAGAAAACCATTAATGTTAAATAATAAACAATTCGCACCAACAATAAAAATCAATGACTATCCATTACTAAATAGACTGTTTTGGGATAATTTTATCAATAGATTTCAAATAAATATTTAATCAATTCTAAAGGATTTTATTAGTGTAAATTTTAAATGAAAAGACATCTTATTTTCAGTTTGTTAGAACTGAAGGATGGATTCTGTATATGTTGGTCAAACTTAGGCCGTTTTTATAACTAGCCGCGCATTATTTTGCTTTTTAGATTTGTTTATATGGAACTAAGCTTATATACCAGCTTGTATAAAATGGGATGCGTCAATTTGAAGCAGATTTGTATAAAAATACAAGATCGAATTATTAAAATAAAATTTCTTGCGATATTAATGATCGGGATGAACTAACTGAAATAACGAATCAAATAAATTATATTACCTAATTCAGAAATTCAAACAGATGTTATTTTTCGAAAATATTAATATTTCAAGTAGATAATACAAGAATAAGTATTACCTATTCTGTGTTAGAAGGATTCGACTCTTTGTATGGAGTTTGAAGAAAGTCATGCTTAACAAAATATCTAAAGCATTGTAATATTCGAGAATAATCTTTCCTTCTTTCATCCTCAGTTAAAACTTCCAATAATGATGGAATTGGAACTGGATTAATCGTAGACATTTCAATTGGTTTCTTTGATTCATTCTTTTCTGTAGGTCTTGGTTTGGAAAGATCTAATGCACCTCTTTCTCTTCTTTCAAGCTCTGTTTGTTCCTTTTCATCAACTCGAACTCTTGTTGGAAACTTTTTTCGTCTTTCTGCAATCCATGCATCAATTTCTTCTTGTGTTTCAACTTTTCTTGGAGCTGGTTGAGAGTTATCTCCTTGTTTTTTCTGTTTTGACTTTGGAATTTTTGCAGATTTTATTAAATTTTTCTCGTATTCTGGAGCTTGATAAGTAGGAACAGCAGGGGCAACTTTAACAATATCTGTTGATAAAACAGGGTTATAAAATCCAAAGTTTTTCAATTGATCAGACATCAAAAAATGTCTTTGTTTATTTTTGATTCTTTATTTTCAGTCATTTCTATCGGTGCTTCGCGCCGATAGGATTAAGATATATTCCACATGTATAACACAAATCTTAATGAATTATCTTATATGAATTTAAGGGATATTTTATATGGTAAAACACAAATATATCCTTTATAAAAATTATTAATGTCCGAACAAGACGTTCATCCAAACAAATACAGCGAACTGCGTAGTATCTACAAATACTACATTGATTCCTATATTGCGTTGTATCAGCTGAAAACGGAAAAAGGAGAAGATTTAAACTCTATTTACAAAATTATCAAAACAGAATTGATTGATACAAATAAATATTCTCCCAAAAGCATGATAAAAGACATTTTAAATATCATCCCGTATAATAATCGCTATACTAAGTCATATTTATCTCTTGCCAAACTCATATCTGATGAATATCGTGTCAAAGAGGCTAACAATGTCGAGGTACTTTCAAGATTTTTGTTTTAGAAAGAATATAGAATTGAATTATGCAAATCTGATGACTTCAAAAAATATTATTTTATAAATCTCGATATTCATACAGAGAATACAATATACAGAGCAATTATGAATAATGACTTAGAAAGATTCATTTCATTCACCGAAAGAGATGGATTTGATAAAAATCAAATACTTGAAAGCAGTTTATATCCATATTCTTATTATGTATATTCATTACTTGAATTATGTTGTTATCATGGAGCTGTTGATTGCTTCAAATTCTTAAGGACTAAATTCAGCTCAAAAATAACTCAAAAATGTCTTGAATTTTCATTTTTAGGAGGAAATCCGGAGATCATGAGTGAATGTTTGAAATATCAGAATCCAAATACAGAATGTATGAAATATACAATTGTCTCGCACAACATTGATTTTGTTACATTCTTGATGAATGAACACAATATAAAGATCAATTTAGAATACTGCGGAATTTACAATAATCTTGAATCCTTTTTAGTTTATTTCGATCAAACTAATGATATAAACGAATGTTTTGTTTATTCACCGATACTTAATATTCCATCCCTTTTGGAATACTTCCTTTCACATGGTGCTAATATCAATGAAAAAGATAAAAATGGAAAAACAGCGCTTCATATTGCAGCATGGCGTGATAATAAAGAAACAGCTGAAGTTCTCATTTCACACGGTGCAAATATCAATGGAAAAGATAAAGATGGAAAAACCGCACTTCATATTGCAGCACGTAATAATTATACAGAAACTGCTGAAGTTCTCATTTTACATGGTGCAAATATCAATGAAAAAGATAAAGATGGAAAAACCGCACTTCATATTGCAGCACGTAATAATTATACAGAAACTGCTGAAGTTCTCATTTCACATGGTGCAAATATCAATGAAAAAGATATAGATGGAAAAACCGCACTTCATTATACAACATGATATGGGTTATCTCCATTTGGGCCTTTTTTGGGGCCACACTTATATAGGGGATGATAACAATTATTTCAGCGAATGAAACATGCATTTGATATATTTTGATGATAAAATATAGGGTGTCAGGAAACCTAGTTAGCATCTCAGGGCCTGAAAAAGATATAAATTGTATTCTTTTTCCGTAATAATCTTTACTAATAATAGGTAATTATATCATATGGGATGATGGATGAAATATAAGTATTGGATGAGATAATAATGATTTAATTTTATAAAAACTCAATTAAAAATTTTATAAAAAAAAATTCAAAAAGTGATATATTTTTTGGATTAGAACTTATTGTGATCGAGATTTCATGAATAAAAAACAAGGGTCATATAACATATATGTAATGATGTATCTAATGCAATATTGGTTATTGCTTTATACTGTATGTTTATAATTATTTTTACATATTAAACAGCTCATGTAAAAATCGAAATTAAACCCTTCTAAATAAAACATCATTCAATTTCATCAATACCAAATGAAACAGAGATACCATGTGTGCTTTTAAAACTTAAGAAAAATGCTCCCAATATAATTTTATATGTTTCTCATGATTCATTGGAGATCAATAAAAAAACATTTGATTTTTCGTCATCAAAAATTCACGCCTGTTGATTAAAATGACATCCATTGCTAAAACACTAGTAATCTGTATTTACTTCTCTATATGGAATGTTAATTTGCTTATTAAATTTTATTCTTTACTATTAGATTTTGGTAAATTATCATCTCATAATTATACAGAAAGAGTTTAATTAGGTAATAATAAAAATGTCAATTTTTTTCAAAAGTATATGGCGAAAAAACCGTTCTAGCTCATCAAATTATAGGATCTGTTGTTCCATATTAAAAATATAGCATGATATTGTTTATAAAGTTTTTGGATCTCTAATCAGATTGTTTATATAATTATCAGGTCTTAAGATGCTCACTAGGTTTCCTGACACCCTATATATTTATACATAGTTAAAAATAGTTATACAAGTATTTGGATGTTCATTTTTTCCATTCTAACTAAAATTGAGTTTCTTATAAAATAGTTTTATGAGAGTATTTATATGATAGCTATATGTGAAGTATAGATTTGAAATATAATCAATAGGTAGATATATGTATTATAGATAATGTGGGAAAATTGGATATTTCAAAGTGGATGAAAATGCGGTTCTATATATATAAAAAGGCTTCGATGTATAGATATTGATAAGATATGCATAACTTAGATTAAGGAATGTATGCAGAAATACGCTTTATTATAATTCTATATGAAATAATATTTTTTGTGATTTTGGCATAAATTTGAATTAAGTTGGGGGTATCGTGTCTAATCACAGCGGTGAACGTAAGAGTTTCGCCTTTCGCAGCTGCTGCTGCTTGCCAATACTCCCAGTACAAGAAGTTAAATCAGATGTAAAGAGTAAATGATTGCCCTAATTGTGCAGAATTCAACCAATTCACATCCGATTTCAAGAAATAATTCATAGAAGATCGTTTTATGTGCTTTCGTTAATATGGATTTCAAAATGATTGAAAACTATCTTTGTCTCTCCAAAGTATGTTATTTTCTTATATATCGTAGGATAAATTTCATTATTATCTAGTTGATTTTTTTATTATTCTAATAGTTTAGCCATATTCTCGTATATGAACAACCAATCGATAAAAAGATATTCTTTATGAGTTAACTTTCCAAATCATTATAAGAAGCTAAATCAACAATATTTGCTATTGAAAAACTTAGAATGGGAGTATTGTTTGTCAGTAAAATATCTCTTATTATGAATGTACATACTGTTTTTCAAATAAAACTGAGTGATACTGTTTGAAGGACGATAGAAGTGAAATAACGTGTTTAAGCATGTTGCCGACTGGTGAAGATGCTGAAAACATGGAACAATCCACAATGACATATGTGTTTAACCTATTTGGGAAAGGTGTTACACAAATGTTACAAACTTCTGTTCAACAACAAACGTATATCGATGAATTAAGATCTCAAGTCCGTTCTCTTCAGACTCAAGTCTCAAATCTTACAGCATCGATTGATGAGATTGAAAACAGAATCTTTGTTAGACTTCAAAGTATGCAACCAACTATTTACACAAGAGAAGGAATTCCATTCGATGATGCACTCGATGCAATTAATGCAAAGTTACAATCACAGAGTGAAAAGCTCATAACAAGTGCAGAAACATTGTCAAAATTCGATAGTGAGATACAAAATAAAGTTGATAGAGAAGATTTTGCAGCATCTACACAAGAAAACGCCAGATTAACTGAAGCGTTTCAAGAACTCTCAAATGGAATGGAATCACTTCAAAAAGAGCTTCAAAGACAACGCCAAGAAAATCAAGATAATAACGAGCGAAATATTCAATCAATTAAGTTACAAATTCAACAAAATGCACTTCATAAGACACTTAACGATGGTCCAGACGATTCAGAAGACAAATACGTTACTCGCGATGAATTAAAAGATATTCTCGCGAAAATCAAAGTCATGGGACCAAGTGGAGGGTCCGGTGAGGATGACACATCCGCAATTGTTGAATATGCCTTATCAGGAGAAGGCGCAACCGAAGAAAAAGTTAAAAATGCTTTTGAAATGCTTCAAAAGAAGCAACAAGACCTCGACAGCAACTACAAAGCACAGAAAGGCCGCATAGCAGAAGAATACAACCGTCTCATGAAGATTGCAGAAGTAAATCAAGGCGAAGAAGAAGATGGAGATTATGATTACGACTGGGAAGACGATGAAGGCTGGGCATCAGATGGAGGTGAATATTCTGATGATGCCGAGCAATTCGAGCTCCGTTCTGTAGCTGTAGACTTCAATGAAGGCATCACTTTTGAAGAAACGGAAACAAGAAGTTATGAATCGTGTGAAGGCCTCAGAAGTGTCGGCTTACAAGCAGATGTCGACAAATTCCTTGAGCAGCAGAGCCGTAAGACAGCAGATGAGTCCGCAGAAGGTGAAGCAGAAGACGAATTCGAAGATATCGTAACAGAAGTCGAAAAAGAAGTTTTAAGCAACAGAATGGCCAAATCCGCGAGATCCAAAGAACAGAAGAGTACTCATTCCAGCAGTCGTCGCGACAAGAGCCAGGAGAACTTGCAGGAAGAAGGCGAAGAAAGCTCAAAGAAGAAATCACAAAGAAAGAAAGTAAAGAAGCCAAAGAACGGAAATGGAATGAAACAACTCATCGACCAAATGAAGGATAAACAACAAGCAGTTGCAGTAACAAAAGGACCAGCAGCAAGAGTCGATGAAGGAAAGATAACACAGAAGATATTGGACACTGTCATGCCGCGTGTCGAGAATTTACTTATTGACGCGTTTTCAGGCGGAAAAGGCGGTGGAATCAAATTGGAAAGAAACGAAGCAAAGCAGTTGATACAGCAATTAACAGCATTAGAGAATATTAAGACAGAATTGAAGCAACAAAGAGTTAAATTAACTATGAAAGCTGATAAAGGAAAAGTTGAAGAAGACATGAGAATAAGAGTGACAAGAGATGAATTCTTCGGATTCTTGAACCAGATATTCCCTGAGAATGCAAGAGTTCAAGAATTATGCCACACAAAACCATCTGCGACTGGTGTTTTGCCGCCTCTTAAGAAACAAAGAGATGCTGTGGATGCTGTTCCTCAAGTTCCTCCTGACGCAAAACCAAAGCCGAAACAGGCTAAAGGACCTTTGACGTTAGTAATGAACAGGAACTCAAAGATGCTCAAAGCAAACCAAGGACTCTTGAAGGGTGTGGATGGACATTACTACATGAGAGACACAAGTCAAGATGGTTCTCAGCCACCAGAAAAATCAAAATCTGCAATGTCTTCACAGGAAAATTCACTGGCACAATCATATGATTTCCAGAGATATATGCCTGTTGGTGGTTCTAAGCCTAATGAACAACCACCTCAGGCTTTGAATATGATTAGAGAAAAGACACCTGTTGACCAATCAAATTAATTTTATTTTTTTATTATTATTTTATTGCTTGTTCATATCTAATAAATGGTTTTTATTGTTACTTGCTAAAGTATTATTGTCTTTTGATAAAATTAAGTAATTTTTTTCTCCATTTCAGTTATTTTAAGTGAGACTCTTTGTATTTTCTGGAAGAATGTAAGTTTTGAGGCTTAAACCATCAATATTACAAAATTACCCGTGACTTTTCCTCTTAAAATCAAATCATTCAATAATTTTTCATATTAATTTCAAATATGAATCAAGAGTTGCAATATACTCTAGAAAGAATATCAGTATTATCCTAAAAATATCAGCCATAAACAAGAATGCGGTTTAAAATTGAGCGAAATATCTGATCTTGAACACTCTTTTAGCAGTTTATGCTGAATTGACTTTAAAAAAATAAAATAAAAATTAAATTTAATATAGAACAATTTTAAAAAACAGAATGACATAACAATTACATATAGTATAAAACTTATTATTTGGCAAGTTCTCTCTCTATCAACAAATTTAGCTCATCTTTTTTATTAGATTGCAAATCTGGAGTAAAATTATTATCAGATTTGGTTAGAACTTGGTCCATTAAGTAGTTTATCACCTGGTCGGGCCATAGATATCTGGCATAACATAATTTTACCCTCTTCGGTTCAGGTTCATCAGCAACTTCCAAAATTGCCCACATTTCATCAGAATCATTAATAATATCTATGATTTTCCTGACTTGGTAAAGATATGGTTTTGTGGTATCCTCATTATTAATCTCCCCAACATTGATTTCCGCATCATTAATTTCATAATTGTAATTCTCTTCTGGAGAGCAAGTAATTTCGATTAGTTTTGCATTAGATTTTCCTATTTGAATCTTTTTTCGTTTTGGATGAGGCTGTTTTTGATTACTATTAACTGGTGTTGGTTTTTCTTCTTTTTCAACTGGTTTCATTACTTGTATTGGCAAAACTGTTATTTTATTATCTGGAATTTGCAATTCTTTCTTCGGAGATTCTCTTGATTGTAGGGTTTTCTTTTGCAATTCTTCAATATATTTGAGATCTTTCTCAAGATCTGATTTATCCGAGCTATTGTCTGAATTATGAGATATGAGGATTGGATCTTTTACTTTTCTTGATTTCTTTTTCTTTTTGTCGGTTATTAATACTGGATCGTCTGATGGTTTTGATTTTTGTTTTTTAGCATCAATTGTAGTAGCTTCTAATATTTTAGGACTGTCATCTGATTCATCCGAATCACTATCATCTATATTTATTACTTCATCAACTTGTTGAATAAATTGCGGAGAATCGCTAGAATTTTCTGATTCGTCATTTGAATTGTATGCTTTGCCTGCATAAGCTTTTTCAATTTCTTTTACAACATAAGATTTTGGATAGAGTTTTTTAAATATTTCATATTTTTCAGAATCTGCAGTTTCGTTAAAAAATTCGATAATTGTATAATTTGCCGATATGTCTCTATAATTTATCCATTCGTCTGGTCTGTGCATTTCATTGCCATTTTCATCTAATATTTTCTCTTCTTCAGACCATCTGACTTTAAATTGGACTCGTCTTTTTATTTTTCTCATATCTACAATCGATTTGACGTTGCCTTCACTCCCAGCATCGTCCCCACTCATTTTATATATTTTGACAAAAGCATTTCAAAAAAAGTGTCGAATTAGTTCAAGAACAATGACATCATGTCGCGATGTTGAATTAGCACATCATTAAATGAAATTCTATTGTGAAGCGATACTTATTATATGTGATCCTCATAAATGTAGAATATTGATAGCAAAATTATTGCAGTATTATCCAGATTATTGTTCCAAATAAGCTTGAGCATATCACAATACTTAATGGTATTATATATCTGCTATAAATTTTATCAAATTACTACAAATTCTTCATTCTGAATTGTTGAGGGGAAAAAAAATTAAACTGATGTAAACTGAAGCAGATAATTTTTTTTTAGTTCATGAGTAAAGCTCCAACTCAATTTTCAGCAAAATCCAAAATCTATGCATCACTACATCAAGACGAAATTGCTGATCGTACACGCCAAGCATTTGAAAAAGCTGGCGGACCAAATCATTTCCAATCTAAAACAGTTTCTCTTGCAGCAAAAGAGGTTGTTGGATCAAAAGAGCACAAGTTCTGCACCCTTCAACCAAGAATTACTCCAATTGATAACGATCCCTGGAAAGATGGATTTTCATTAGTTGTTGCTTTCTTAAAACACTACAAGATGCAAAATACATTAGATACTATCATGACAGAACTCGGATCTAGCCCATTTCCAGAGCAAAAGCATGTTTATGATCCAAATCTAACAGAAACGTATTTCAAACAGCTAACTGATCTTCAAGAGAACTTTGCGGCACGTGACTTCGAACAAAATGTTATGAATTTCATGGAAGATATTAAATACGAAGACGCACTTCAATTTTCTCCTTTAGTTAGTCAGTCTCCTATCAGTAAGAAGCGCCCACTTAAGTACGATACAAAACCAGTACAAAAAGGTCGTAAGAAAGTTTAATTTATGCAAAAATTTCTTGTCTTTTATTTTTATAATTAAAATACAAAAATGTTTTTATAAATTCATAGCATCAACACTATTAGTTCTTAAAGGATATTTATTTTCTTAGGCTAGATCGGCGCTAGAACTCATAAATTCTGTAATTTTATATCAAATTTTTTTAACTCTATTTAGTTATATCTGTATGAAGTAATAATTCGACATGCCTTTTGTCTAGATTACGTTATTGTAGAATTAATTAAATAATTAAAATTTGAAAAATAAATCTTGAAAAGATCTATTTTTGTGCATCAATTTTGATTTCCTGTGTGTTTTAAGTAGTTTGTCGTGTTTTTACTCTATTTTGAACTTATCAATTCTGGATGTCGTGCATAAGTTATTTTATCGAATTTCATTTTGGTTTGCGTCCATTTTTTAGACATTTGATCTATTGTATTTTCCGAGTTCTTCATTGATTCAGTCATTTTTGGAACACTATCATCCATCAATGTTGCAAATCCTTCATCAAATCCCTCAAATGCATGATATTTTAGTGAAAACATATCCTGAGTTGCTAAAATTGCATCAGTTGCTGATTGGTTTAAATTAGTTTGAACGCTCAATTTATCAGACTTCATTAAAAATGAATATATAATGGTCGTAAACATCATACCATATCATAAAAAGACGTATACAAGATTCATCCAAGCTCATATTCCAAGATATTGAAAAATGAAATCTCAAATTTTACTGAATGTACAAATATGTATGGGGAAAATAGTAAACTATCCATTAACTATTAACATTCTAATGCAATATCACGGAAGACATCAAAACATTACGTCAAATTTTTGAAAAATTGAAAGAGACACGACGATAGAAAATATTTTTTTAAAGTCATGGATTTATCTCCAGTTTTTGCTGAGCTTGCTCAACCAACCCCATCACGTGAAGTTGTCATTGAAGAACTTGACAAGGTTACTGACTGCCTTCGTGGTGGAATCCCAACAAATGAATATATTGATCAACTTTTTGAACTTTTCAACAAGTTAATCCACTTTAACCAGTGGCACATCCAACAATATACACTTTCCTGCACAAAGTACATTTTCGAGAACTCCACACTCACAAAAGAACAAAAATTAAATTCACTTCTTAACCATACAGAGTTCACAACATATATGGGCGAACTGTTTGGTAATGCTAAGCGTGAAGTCCGTGAAATGTCCGCACAATGCATTGGCCAACTCGCTATCCAAATTGGTCCTGCAATTTTAACACCAAAGCTTGGAATTACAGACTTCGTTTTCAACCCAGCCCCAACAGCTTTCGCTATTGAAGGTCAGCAGATGGCTCTTGGCAGGCTTGCAACAGCATTCAGAATTGTCAGCCAAGAATCTCTTCTTATGCTCATCAATTCAATCACAAACGACGAAGCCCTTGACGTTCTTACAAACGCAAGCGAAAATGGCTACGGTTACTGGTACTCAACCCGTGCTCTTTACTTATTTGTTACAGATGAGCTCGATTGCACTCTCGAGAAGCACCGCAAGGCCTTCTTAGAGTCTCGCGAATATCTCCTTCCTCTTTTCGGCGAACAAATCCTTAATTGCGCCGTTAAAAGATTATCTCATCATTATGCAAACGCTCGCCGTGCTGCTGCCAAGGTTGTTGCATCCGTCTTCAAAGGCACAAAGTGCAATGAGACAGAATTCATCGAAAAACTCATCCCTGTCGGTGAAAATCTTTGGGTCCAACGCGAAGGGCACCTTTCCGCCATTGCCGAGTGTCTCGATGCCGCCAACCAGCCATTCCCAGCCGACTTCGCCGAGAAACTTGCAGGAATTCTCCTTGATCTCGGTCATGATGAGATGCCAAACGATCCAAACCCATTAACACAGAAAGGCAACGCAAATTCAATGGCCGCAAAGGCTCTCGTCAAGTTACTTCGTCTCCACGATACGGAAGACCACTCATTATACGAAAAATACGTTCATGAACTTGTTATTGAGTTCCTTCGTTCTCCAGTTGCAGCCTTACTTGATGGTGGTGTCATTTGCACTGCCGAATTGAAGAAACTCGGCTATGACGTCACTGATTTATTATTATTAACATTCAAAGACATCTGCCACTCATCATTCCCGATCAGAGATCTTGCCAGAAGGACAGTCAACGTCAAGGACTGCGTCGACAACCATTTCGATGAGTTATTAGAAACAATTTTCTCATTTGCCGACAGCGAAGACTCCGAGATCAGGGAATGTGTTGCCAAATCCCTTATCCTTGTTGCCCAGAACTCTTCCGTCCAACTCCCAGACGAAGTTACCCAATGCGGCTTATCTCTTGCCCAAGACCCAGTAGATACCGTCAAAGCCGCCGGTCTCGACCTTGTTCGCACTGTTTTGACCAAGGAATCCGCCCCTGTTGTTGTGGAACTCTGCATGATGAACATGACAGGCGAAAGTGAAGAAGCTACAATTGCAGCGATCAAACTTCTTAAGCATGCAATCAAGAAGTATCCTGATGAGACTGTTGGACAGTTCTCAGCCGCTCCAATTCTTGCTTTCCTTTCTCTTTCACCAATGTCATCACCTGTTGTCTCCAGCGCTGCCCAACAGTTGTTGTTCCTTTTGGCTTCTGTTTCTAAAGAAGTTGATGAGGAAAAATTGCAAGAATTCAACGAAATCGACCATGAATCATCCGAATACAATGATTACTTGGAATTAGTTGAAGCTGCAAATGAACAACCAGAAGCAGCAGCTACTTATTTCCAGGCTGTCATTCAGAACTACATGAATGAGTTGGAAGAAGACGCAATTGAGAATTTGCCTGAAATATCTCTCAGCGAACTTAACTTGGCTGACAAATCTGCTGCTGTTGATCAAGTCGCTTACTTGGTTCACAACATTGCTAAGTTCGATGATGGCGAGAGAAAGAAGATTTTGCAGGCTTTGGCTGATGTTTATGCTGATGAAGCAATTGAAGATAAGAAATTACTGTTGATCGCTTTGAACTCCGTAATGAATGAGCAGAATATTGATATACCTGATCCAACACCTTTCTCATTCTCTCACGACTCTGAAACATTCTCAAAACATGCTAACTAATAAACTAATTTTTTCAAATTTTTTTTGTTTGTTTGTTTTGCTTTTGTTTTTGTTTTTTGATCCAATAATTCTCTATTAACTTTTTACCAACCCTATCCATTATATTCTATGTGAAATGGCGAATAATTTCAAAGAAAGATAGCCGCATTTACTGGATAGTTCATGTGATTCGAAATAATTGGAAATTAACACCTAGATTTAATAGCACCGTTCTCTTTTCGCTCTCATTTAAATGCATTTACACACTTTAATTCTGAAATATAAGAGTTTTGAAAATTATCAAATTTATCTGCTCAAAAACTATAGATCTTCATAGGTGTTAATAGAATCACCAGCCATACATATACTGTTTAATATAACGAGGTACATCATATTGGGATTTATTCATTATTCATCTAGCTATTATAAGATTTACAACCCCATGAAAATTTAAAATTTTGTCAAAAATAGTGAATATACCTTTTTTAATACTTGAATAGTGATTTAGTTTTTTGATGTTATTTGTCTTTTATTGTATTTATTGTGTCAATTTTCTTACACGTTATTTTTTACCTTACAAAAAAAATGGTCGAAATTCTTTTCCTTGGCCCAAAGTCTTCGGGAAAATCATTACTAATTAAGAGAATGCAAGCTCTTTCTGAAGACAAACGTATTTCTCCATTCGATCAGATCGCTCTTCCAAAACCAACAGAAGGAACCAACGCAATTAACTTCAACTTCCGTGGAACGACATTTGTTTTCAAAGAGCTTGGTGGAGATCAGATAGAAGATTGGGAGCACCATGCTAAAACGCCTAAAGCAATCATTTACGTGTTTGATGCTGCAGATTTAACAATGACGGCAACAAATATCGTCTTTCTTCAAGAATTACTATCGTCTAAAGTTACTGAAGATAAGCCCATCTTAATAGCGCTTTCAAAGTGTGATATACCGGATTTCGTTCATTTCAACGTTATTGATGAAATTATTGGCTTTGATGCTTTCGACAAGAAGCGTATATCATTCATGGAAACGTCTGCTGTTGTTGGCGTTGGATTGGATACTATTTTCGAATGGATTGCAGATCAGATGAAATAATCCTATTTTTTATTTATGTTGTTAAATTAAATTATCAATTTTACATGATTAATATACTCTCTTATCAACGTTTTTTCATATTTTTCATTATTGATCTAATTTGTATGAAGTTACTTCAGTAGCAAACTGAAAATATGTATTAAAATGACTGTTTTGTTTATCTTTCATTCATTATAAGTAGGGTATATACACTCCTGTTGGTCAATGTTCAACAAATGCATTCTGATTGTTGAAGAATATGCCATTCTGGGAGACATGCAGTGGCAATGACACATTGTGACCAACAAGAGTGCCATATACACTCTTGTTGGTCAAAGTTCTGCATTCATTTTATGATTAAATCATTAAAATCATCCAAAACACTAGGTGTCTGAAACAATTAGATTAGTATTATGTGATCATATCACTTAGATGATACATATTGTAATTCCGGCATCAACACGATATAATGTCAAACCAAGACAAAATATATATGAATTGTCAAAAAATCGATTTACGTTAGAATCTATATCTAATTCCGTTAATATACAAGTAGTAAATGCTTAATTTATCTTTGAGAAACGTGAATAGCACAACTTTATAAGATCATTTGTTGAATCTTTAAAATATAAGCAAAATCGAATCCGCTGTATATTACATTAGTTTATCATTGAATGTTAAATGTGTTCAGATAACTATTTGAATCAGATATCGCATTTTCAAATTTCAAATTTAATTTCATGAAGTTAGAATTCATTTGATCATACAACATCGTGTTAGTCATATGAGAGTTCAATCGCGATGCTAAAATGGAATAAATGCTTGATTTATCAAAATGTTAAAATATTAATCTAAAAAACTTAATATCTAACTAAACCATTCTAGAAATATTATATAGACAATATAAATTCACATGGAATCCTGAAAATTAAAAAAAAATATTTATGAGATTAATAAATCTTATGCAATTCAATGAAAAGCCGGCCGAATGAATCCTATCAGCAAAGTCCAAAATTTAAACGGTAATGTTCATACATAATCATAGATCCTAAATCTAAATCATATTTCTATGCTGTTTTAAAAATGATTTTGAGATATTGTTCTCTAGGGTTGTTAAAAATATCAAAAATTAGCGTTTTGAAGACACCATGGTGTCTTATAATTTTCCCTTCCTGATTGGCGTGTAGAAATAAATGCGCCAATAGATTGAAGAAGAAGAATTGTTTTTCTCTTAATGAATTTTAATCCTTTTGATATAAGAATATTAAAAACATTAATATAATTTCGATTTCGGAAATTAAATTTCCAAATTTTTTGTCGATTTCGGAAATAACAGGATCCCGCATCCAACACGCAACAACAAAACACAAAACACACTTTTTGGTTCTATCATCGTTTTAATCGTAATTTATGTAATACATGATTTGGATAAATTTTACAAAAATAGAACCTATATTATATTCTTTTCAAAGATTCTTGCAAATCATCAAAAATAATTGTATTTTAAAAAACGATCAAATTATCTTTTCATTATTTTAAACTTAAATTAGTTTTTATGATTGACTACAGCAATCATATTTATTCATCATTAAATAAACAAAAAAATAATATTTGAGAGTTATTTCAAAAAAAACGCATTGAATTTATTAATTTGTCTCAATTTCAGTATTATCAATTTTTATAATTTCAATATTTTGAAATACACTTTTTAATATTTCAATATTTATGATATTTCAATGTATTAAGTGGTCTCAAATTGAGCTTCTCAAATATAAGTTGGCCTATTCAAATAATAAAATTAAATAATATTTAAAATAATAAATAAAAGTGATTGAGGTCATAGCAAAACGGCTGTTTCAGTCATTAATTCTTAAAAATAAAAAGGGTAAAAACTAAATAAAATGGGTAAAATTCAATAGTGTCTGTGCTATCGTTCAATTTGAAGGTGTCTTTTGAAACCGCAAGACAAATTGAATTTTTGAATAGTGTATTATGGTTTGACAGACACCAATGAAAAAAATAAAATGATATTTATTTTAAATATATAAGATCCTTATATAAAATATAAATATTTTATCGTTTTATTTTCTTGTTTTAGAAATGTTTTTTATTGAAAAATCAATAAAACTAACTCCAAAATAAAATTTTTGATTTAAAGACACTATGATGACACCAGGCAAATCTTCCAAGGCACCTATCGTCGGGAATCTAACAACCCTAAATATAAATATTTTATCGTTTTATTTTCTTGTTTTACAAATGTTTTTTATTGAAAAATCAATAAAACTAACTCCAAAATAAAATTTTTGATTTAAAGACACTATGATGACACCAGGCAAATCTTCCAAGACACCTATCGTCGGGAATCTAACAACCCTATCGTTCTCTCAGAAACTCAAAAAAATTAACTCAAAGAAAATTACGATAATTTACATTTTACATTCAATTTTTGAATACAATTGAAATTGATAGCTTCATGGGACAATTAATTTTTAAAAAATTTGTTTTAACAATATAGATTGAAGTGTATGTACATCTTTCAAAAAAAATTAATTTTGTATAAAACATTTGATGTCTTCCCAAGTAATTCGCCCATACAAATATGATAAATTGAGAAGTATCTTTAAATACTATATAGATCCATTTATTATGTTGTATCAGTTAAAAACAGAAAAAGAAGAAGAATTAACCAATATTTACAAAATCATCAAAACGGATTTGATTGATTCAAAGCAATGTCTACCTCAAAATATAATAAGGGATATTTTAAAAATCATCCCATATAATAATCGCTATACAATGTCATACTTAAAACTTTCGAAACTCATCTCTGATAATTATCATGTCAAAGAAGTCACAAATGTTGAAATTGTTTCAAATTATCTGTTTTACAATGAATTTGGAATTAAATTAGACAATTCTCACGATTTCAATGAAATAAAAATAGGAAATCTTGATATTCATTCAGGATATACAATTTCCAGATCTATTATGGATAATGACTTAGAAAGATTCATTTCAATCAGTCAAGGAGATGAATTTAATGAAAATCAAAAACTTGAAAGCAATTTATATCCATTTTCTATGGAAGGATATTCATTACTTGAATTATGTTGTTATCATGGAGCTGTTGATTGCTTCAAGTTCTTAAGGAATAAATTCAGCTCAAAAATAACTCAAAAGTGTCTCCAATTTTCATTTTTAGGAGGAAATCCAGAGATCATGAGTGAATGTTTGAAATATCAAGAACCAGATGATGAATGTATGAAATATGCAATTATTTCACACAAAATTGATTTTGTTACATTCTTGATGAATGAACACAATATGAAAATTGATATATATGAATGCGAAAAATATAATAATCTTGAATCATTTTTAGTTTATTTCGATCAAACTAATAATATTAATCAATGCTTTGTTTGTTCTTCGATGTTTAATATTGAATCCCTTTGTGAATACTTCCTTTTTCTGGGGGCAAATATCAATGAAAAAAATGTTTATGGGCAAGCAGCTCTTCATTATGGAGTAGAATGTAATTATAAGGAATTAGTTGGATTTCTTCTCTCTCATGGTGCAAATATCGATGAAAAAGATAAAGAGCAGGATACTGCACTTCATATTGTTTCAGCTAAAAATAATAAAGAAATGGTTGAATTTCTAATTTCTTATGGTGCAAATATTAATGAAAAAGATAGAAACGGAAGAACTGCTCTTCACATTGCAGCATTGAATAACAGTAAAGAAATAGTTGAATTTCTTCTCTCTCATGGTGCAAATATCGATGAAAAAGATAAAGAACAGAATACTGCTCTTCATATTGTTTCAGCTAAAAATAATAAAGAAATGGTTGAATTTCTAATATCTTATGGTGCAAATATCAATGAAAAAAATAAATACGGAAGAACTGCTCTTCACATTGCAGCATATAATAATAGTAAAGAAATTGTTGAATTTCTTCTCTCTCATGGTGCAAATATCGATGAAAAAGATAAAGAACAGAATACTGCTCTTCACATTGCAGCATATAATAATAGTAAAGAAATTGTTGAATTCCTTCTCTCACATGGTGCAAATATTAATGAAAAAGATAGATACGGAAGAACTGCTCTTCACATTGCAGCATTGAATAACAGTAAAAAAACAGTCGAGTTACTTCTCATTCATGGCGCAAATATTAATGGAAAAAATAAAGTTGGCCAAACACCTCTACATTATGCAGCAGAAAATAATTCTAAAGAAACGACAGAAATTCTTATATCTTGGGGTGTAAATATCGGTGAAAAAGATAAAAATGGAAGATCTGCTCTTCATATTGCAGCTTTCAATAATTGTAAAGAAATAGCCGAACTCCTTCTCTCTCACGGTGCAAAAATTAATGAAAAAGATAATCATGGAGAAACCGCTCTTCGTATTGCATCGAAGAAGTATAATCAAGAAGTCACTAAATTACTTCTCTCCCATGGTGCAGATACAAACCATTACCAACTACTTAACCCCAAGTTTCCTATCTTTTTTTAAATTCAGAGACTCAATTTAATAAATATTACTAATATGAGTTTAACTGGTCTTGAACAATCAAATCATGCGACCAGATGTCAAATCCTGTACACCACTTATACTCGATAAGACTATTTTCCCATATAATTAAGGGTATACTTACCACATTCTGACACGTTCAGATAAAATCAACATATCTTTATTTTAATGGCAAAGGAGTATAAGAGCCATTTTATGAACTAAGCATTGATTTATAATAACTTTTTCTCGATCATAAATATTAGCTTTTTATCCTAGAAAATTGGGATATAAAGCTTGTATGTCAAAAAAATTGTGAGAATATCAGAAAGTGGTAAGTTCACCCTTAAGGCTTTATTCAGATGGTTGAAAAATAAGAGGTACTTAAGGCTGCACTTACGCCCATCTGACTTTAATTCAAATTTCTGACAACTGGCGTGAAACGTTATTGAAAATTAACATTAAACATCTGAATTGAAGATCGTGTCATAGGGGCGTAAGTGCACCCTTAACTGCTCCATGAAAACAACATAATTCAAGTAATGAATAACCTTGGTATGTATTTGGATATAATATTCATTCGAGTTTTTGATTTTTGCTATGTTGTATTCTTTGTTGCTTAAAAAAATTAAATGTAATTTAAAACAAAACAAAGAAAAAATTAATATTTACCAATAATACTGTTTGGATCTTGTATACTCGAATTAACAACTCTCAGTGCTTCTCTAATGATAGAATTTTCGGAATCTTCCTCTTCATCATCAAAATCATCGTTTAAAGCTGATTTATATCTTTTTTCGAGTTCTTCTCCTTCTGCATCGTCATTTAACTCTTCCTCTTCATCTAGTGCGGAGTTAAGAATGGAACTGTATTGCTGGGAAACAGATTTAATTGGAGATTTGTAGATATCTCTAATAAAATCTTCTTCTTCGTCTTCCTCGAACGATGGTTGGTCCACAAACTGGTTCTGGCTGAAGGATTTGATTTTATCTTTCAGGTTTTCAATGCTTTCGTCGTCAGAAATTTCTGAATAAAGCGCATCTTCTTCATTGTTGTTAATTTGACTATCTTTGGTATGGTCACTAAGAAGAGCTTCGTAATTCTCTTCTTCCTCTTCATCTTTTGCAAGTGAAATAGATATATTGGATTTAATTGGGGATTTCGTGGTCATTTTGTAAGGAGAAGTGAAGGAATCACTGTTCTGATCGAAATTATCTGATTTTAATGATGATTTTTGAGGTGAATAGTAAGAATCAACTGTAGAAGCTTTAGAAAGAACATCTTCGTAATGAATCTCCACTCTTTCAGCTGTTTCGGATAATTTTTTGATTTCTGATTGTAGCTGAGAGATAATGGCCTGCTTTGATGCTAAATCTTTTTGTAATTGTCGGATTTTTGACATTTTTTCGGCTGTTGCTTTATCGAGAGCATCTAAAGTTGCTTCTTCTCTCTCACAGCTTGCATTCTTTGATTCGATACCTTGTAATTCCGAGTTGATTTGGCGTTGAGCTGATTGAAGTTCTTTTTCTTGAGCGGAAAGCTGCTCATTTTGGTTCGATATGGATGTATATGTTTTTTCTAATGTGTCTATCGATGATTGAAGTTGATTTAACTGGGAATCTTCGTTGGATTTTTTGGCTTTAGCTTCGTTAAGTTTTTTCTTAGCATTCATGATTTGTTGTTTGATCTGGTTATATTCCTTTTCTTCGTTTTCGCGTGCTTCTTTAGCAGATTGACGAAAAGAAGCAATTTTTTCATTTTCTTCTTCAATTGCTTGATGTTGCTTAGTAATTTCAGCGAGTTTGGAAGAAAAGTCGTTTTTTCTTGTTTTGATTGATGATTTTCCTTGAGATGATTGAAGTTGACGCTGTAATTTAGTTAATTCTTGTTTGGCTTCTTCACTTGATGAAAATGCAGGAAGATTTAGCTTATTCTGCTCAATATATGGATTAAGCTTTGCTAATAAGTCAGTGATATTAATGTTTTCAAGGTCTAAAGTTTCAATTTTTGGAAGTTGTGATCTTTTTTGAGGAGAAATCCTTTTAGGTGATGAAGATGAAGATATTTTTGAATGATCTGTTTTAATAATGGATGGTCGAGGTAAATCTTCCGTGAGTCTGAAAGAGTCTGACGTTTTGAGAAGTAATTTTTTCTGACATTTTGTAAACTTGAAAATGTCAGAAATTACAAATAGTTTTAATTATTCTTCCCGAATATGTTTGAGTATCAAATTTATAATATAATTGACTTTATGTTCATCATTTAAGAGGATTTCACCTCAAAAAAGGTGCATATATGAGGCAAACATTGTTAGAAATAGAGAAAGAAATATCGAGATGTGTTGCAAACTGAAGGAGTGTTTTTCAATGTTTACCATAATTATAGCTTTAAAGAACATTGGAATAAACATAGATTGATCCAAAACAATAAAGTTATTAATGTTATATCTGTTGGTACTCAATGCTTCATGAGCATAAATTTCTCAAAATCCTTTTTCCATGGATTCAGCGCTGCTTTCATTTACTAAAAATATAATTGATGTGCAATAGATTAATTCCTCTTAAGTTGTTTGAATGGCAAGATAGAGATGTCCAAAATCTTCTAATAATTGAACCATTTCTCAAAACCTAGAGGAGATGCTCTGACATTAGTTTTAAAAATTAAATTTTATTTATAAAAATGCATTTTTTTATTTCTTTATGACAAGTTCTGAACCTAATTCTATTTCCTTTGGATTCTTTCTAGATGGCCTGAATTTACCAATGATTTCCAATCCGAATATAGGACCTCCGGCTGGAGAATGGAGGAGACAAATAGATTTCAATGGTTCAGGTAATTCACCTGGTTTTTGGCAGTCAATCATCATCTCAGTTGTTGCAGGGATTCTTCTTTGTACGTAGAATTCGCAGTTGCTAAACAAAACATCCTTTCCTAGTAATTTATCTTCTTCGAATGGTTTATGGCTTTCGAAAATGAAGTGAGGAACAATTTGTTCAATTTCTTTTACAGAAACAATTTTCATTGACTCAGTGAAGAAACATCTGAAAACATTCATTTCTCTCTGAGAAACTTTAACCAAAATAGCTTTTCTTCCCAATACTTCCGTGAACCACTCATTAACTTCTGGTCCATATATAACACCACTTATTTTCTCATGGCAAACAGTAGATGAAGTGAAATCTGTTCCCTTTGGGGCTTCATTTGCAGGGACAGAAATAGAGCGGCCATCAGGACTTGTTATTTTAAGTGTATTGTCTGAGATTTCTGTAGTGAATCTCGCGAGTAAAGGACACCTTGTTCTATCCAAAAGAGTTGACAATTCATCGGCAATTGCCCAGCAAGAATCGTATTGTAATCCTGTTGCAACTAATTTCCATTTTGGATTTTCTGGAGTCAATTTGACTTCGAAACCTTGGCATCCTTTTACAGGATGTATGTAGATACTCTTTAGAGGGAATTTCTCGGATATCTCGATGTCAACTGGTTCTTTCTCAACGAAATGACTCTCAAAGAATTCGACCAATCTGTCAATGTCATTTTGCGTTAATTGATATCCAAAAGAAACTCGAACAGAGCCAACATGCCTTCCTTCCATGATTGACGCTGTCAATGAACACGAGGCTTCATGGGCACGCGTCGCTTTGTATATATCAGCAGGTTTCCAGCCTAATGCCATGTAAGTTCCGCCTGGATTGCAATGAACACCGAATCTGACAAAAATGTTGTTCGCAGTCGCACAAGTGAAAATTCCATCGTGAGGAACAGGTCCGCCGTAGACGTTTCTGAGGTTGAATGCAACTATGCCACCTTGCTCGGATGGATTTGTGGAGCGTTCGGCTGGGTAAAGCTCGAAAGCTGGTTTTCCATTATAATGCTTGAGATCTTTGATTCTTGAAGCGAAATTGTTGGCAAGTTCGAAGACATACTTGGATATTGGCTTGCCAAGAGTCTTTTCGATGGATTTGCGGACTTCAAGACCGGATCTGGCGGCAATTACGGATATTTCATCGAAAGGTAACTGAGTAAGGCCAGGAAGGAAGGCCATTGCTTCTTTACGTACAAGAAGAACACCACCTGGGCTGCCAAACATCTTTAAAAGTGAGAAAACAACGTATTGGGCTGGATATTTTGAAAGATCAAGATCGCAAGTAGGAACATATGCAGCTGCATCAAGAAGTACGTGACAGAATAATCCTTCTTCTGGTTTGCTTTGGCTGATAAATTGATTACACCAATCAAGGGGATATTTTCTTCCGCTGAAGTTACTTTCAAGCGAGTAAGCGAAGAGATTGTGTGTTTTACCGATTGTCTTTGGATATGAACCAACAGGTTGAACTTCTGCTCCACGAGCTAAAGCAATTTTTCTGATTCCTAAGATTGAGTTATGTGTATCTGCGTGCTCGATGAACTTTCCTCCTGCACCAAATGGGAATGAATATGCAAGAGCGCGAATTGCTGCTGATGTATTGTTATAAAAGAAAATTTCATATTGATTTTCATCTACATGGAAAAGTTGGAGTAACTCATGCTTGAATGCATCGATTTCTTGTTGAGCTTTGCTCTTTTTTCCACCAATATTATAAAATAAACTTAAATCTGTTGCATATTCTTCAATTTTAGCAACCTGTGATTGGCTAATAGGTGAACTGCCACCGTAATCAGCAAAAACACCAGTTGCTAATTGAGGAAATTCAATGGCCAATTCACTTTGCATTTTTTTGAGAACGATAGAAGATTTTAGGATTCATTGAAATCAAATTAATGTGATAACAAGAAATGACGTGTGTTAGTTTTATTTAATATTATGGTCAATTTATGGATATGAAGATTATTGAAGATAAATTTTTGGAAATTTAGAAGTTAGAAAGGATTAGGAGGAAGAGAAAGTAAACATTCCTCATATCTAGGCTAGACAGAAACTAAAAATTGGTTAAAAATGAATCAAAAAAGATATCAAATTCAATAAATTTTTATTTTGTCTCCAATTTAAATATTTATTATGTATTCGTGAAGTGCCGTTGGCCCAATTGGATAAAGCGACTGCCTACGGAGCAGTAGAGTCCAGGTTCAAGTCCTGGACGGCGCGATTTTTTTCAACGAATAACTCTTTGGAATTTTTATCCTTAAACTGTTAGCGTCCATAAATATGAAAGTAACATGAAGACCTCTTTTCTGTTCCATGGATATTGCCGATCATTAAATAAAAAATTTCAATAAAATATAATTGAAAATTTTTCTAAGACATAATATTGATATCATTTACAAATGTACATTTTACTTGAATTATTCAATACTTTCTACGTCTTCCAGTGCTTGATTTGCCAAAAGTTGTATTTCGCTATCATTCGACTCTGTGTATTGTGTGATTGTATCCATGAAGATCTGTTGGTCAATAACATCCATAAATTGTTCGTTTTTGGTTAAGTTATATATTTCAATAATTTTTGTAATGGTTTTCATGCAAATAAACTCATTTTCTTCGTTGCACAGTAATATTAGGTTCTCAAACAAGCTTAGTATATTGAAATTGTCGTTGACAAGTTGATTCATTTGTTCATTTGACGAAGCCAAGAAAATGTTGAATAATAAAGTGTAAATTGTTGCTTTGTCTCTGTTCGACCAATCATCAATATTGAGTAATTGAATGCATCTCTCTAAAATATTCAAATTAAAACAAATATTAACAAAATCACTTTCATAAACTACGCCTTTTGATAATGATTTGCATGCATTTAAAATAAAGATCTTGTCTTCTGTGTCTAAGAAGAATTTTAACTCAGTAAATAAATTGATTAAAGTTGATTCGTCTAAAACACCAACAAGACCGATCATTGAGCCGACAAATCGAATGTATTGATCGATAACTTTGAGTATATCACTATTTTCAAGTGAAGAATGAATAAATTGATTCAAAATTTGAAATTTCGGATCATTGTAAATTTTGAAGAACAAAAGCTGTGAGTGGTCGGCCATTATTCTAAAAGCACCCACAATATGTTCGATATTTTCAATAATAAAGTCGTCGTTAATATATAGGTATAAAAGTGGAACAAATCTCTCTAGCTGAGTTTCAAATGCATTGTAATTAGCAATTCCAGCAACGCAATCGATGTAATGCGGTAAATATTTCGGATCATCAGCAATTGTATCGTAAAGACTATCCAAACAGTTCAATTCGACAAAATTTTTGGCAACTTTAAATGAGCTATGTAAGAAAAGTGATAAAAAGTTTGCCATATGATAATTTGGGAATAAATTCATAACTTCTAATAAACCAAATTCAACAAAAGTATCGACATAGTCATAAGCGCGTCCATATATCAAGCTTTCTATAAGAATCGAGAGTTTCTTTTTAACTTTTGGGTCATTTTCGTATTCATCATTGTATAAACGCATAAAAATATCGATTTCATGTTTCTGTAATGGTATCGCTGAGTCATTTTCTGTCACAATTTCTTGCAGTTGATATAGAATATCAAGTCGATTGTCCATATCATTTTCTAATTGCGCACAAAGTTGATGAAATTCCGAAACCATTTTAGAATAAATTTGTGCTGATTCTGGGAGTGTTTCATGTGATGTTTTGGATATGTCTTGGTTATCTTCAGCAGTAATTTTGTTTGGAATCATTTTTTATGCCACTTTTTGAAGCTCACTTGAAATATATGAGATGATGGAATATCATATATTATGTAAATACTAAAAATCACTATGTTTTTCCCTTAATATTATTCAAATGACATTGGAATATCATATGAATCCATACCATTCAATCGATTTTTAGTCCAAAATCTATTACCGATGTTCTTCTTTAAAAAATGATTGTTTTCATAGTATTAATATCTAAAAATATTCATTCAATCTTGTAAAATTATGAAAAATAATGTTTTGTAATGGAAAAATAGGGTTGTTAGATTCCCGACGATAGGTGCCTTGGAAGATTTGCCTGGTGTCATCATAGTGTCTTTAAATCAAAAATTTTATTTTGGAGTTAGTTTTATTGATTTTTCAATAAAAAACATTTCTAAAACAAGAAAATAAAACGATAAAATATTTATATTTTATATAAGGATCTTATATATTTAAAATAAATATCATTTTATTTTTTTCATTGGTGTCTGTCAAACCATAATACACTATTCAAAAATTCAACGTGTCTTGCGGTTTCAAAAGACACCTTCAAATTGAACGATAGCACAGACACTATTGAATTTTACCCATTTTATTTAGTTTTTACCCTTTTTATTTTTAAGAATTAATGACTGAAACAGCCGTTTTGCTATGACCTCAATCACTTTTATTTATTATTTTAAATATTATTTAATTTTATTATTTGAATAGGCCAACTTATATTTGAGAAGCTCAATTTGAGACCACTTAATACATTGAAATATCATAAATATTGAAATATTAAAAAGTGTATTTCAAAATATTGAAATTATAAAAATTTATAATACTGAAATTGAGACAAATTAATAAATTCAATGTGTTTTTTTTGAAATAACTCTCAAATATTATTTTTTTGTTTATTTAATGATGAATAAATATGATTGCTTTAGTCAATCATAAAAACTAATTTAAGTTTAAAATAATGAAAGGATAATTTGATCGTTTTTTAAAATACAATTATTTTTGATGATTTGCAAGAATCTCTGAAAAGAATATAATATAGGTTCTATTTTTGTAAAATTTATCCAAATCATGTATTACATAAATTACGATTAAAACAATGATAGAACCAAAAAGTGTGTTTTGTGTTTTGTTGTTGCGTGTTGGATGCGGGATCCTGTTATTTCCGAAATCGACAAAAAATTTGGAAATTTAATTTCCGAAATCGAAATTATATTAATGTTTTTAATATTCTTATATCAAAAGGATTAAAATTCATTAAGAGAAAAACAATTCTTCTTCTTCAATCTATTGGCGCATTTATTTCTACACGCCAATCAGGAAGAGAAAATTATAAGACACCATGGTGTCTTCAAAACGCTAATTTTTGATATTTTTAACAACCCTATGGAAAAATTTTCCAAATTAATGCAAATTTAAAAAAATGGAATGAAAATTGATAGAAGTGGGCCTCTTTTTCTGGATTCATTAAAAATTTTGGAAAAAAAGAGAGACAACAGGAAGGGAATGGTAACAACAGAGTACTAATACTAAGGTAATAAAGCCTTGAAATAAGAAATATTCTTATATTTCACTTTCATTTTCTTTAGAAAAGATTCTTGAAATGTCTTAATTACATATCCGTGCGTTTTTAAGCTTCCATACTTAACAGACATATAATTTTGATGCTTTCAAAGCGTCCTATTTCATTTTTTTTAATTATCGCTTAAAAATTGATGATAATTCAGTCATCACCTTTAAATCAATCAAGTTCAATTGTAATGCATAATACATATTTGATATTTTTAAATAAATCCTGATCAATACCAATTTTCTTTAAAAAATTTGATAACAAGAGATTCATTTGTTACACAAGCATCATGCTTGATATTTCCTTAATGATTTTTAAAGTTATATTCATTTAATAGATATCGTTTCTATTTTAATTCCCAATCAAATATTATTAATATTTGAATTGTAGTTTCCGAGCATATAAGTGTATATTGATATAAACATATTAATCTATTAAACTTCTTTTGTACGATATCTTATTTGATATTAACAATTATCATCATAAGGATCTCATTGTACTTGTGAATTCTGATCAAATGGTAAAATTGAATCAATAATAATTGCAAAATAAAATATAATTTTTTGAAATTGCAAAATCATCAAGGTTCCTGAATCACTTACAGCTTCGGAATTTTATATAATTTTCTAATATTTGTAAATGTCTCCAATGATTTGACCAATAAAAAGAATTTTTTTGACAAACAATTCATATTTGAATAGTTTACATTCAAAAGTATTCTGGCCAATTATGCCGTCATAGTTGAAAAGAACATATAAGCAGAAAACAATAGATTTATATAAAATTTTTTAGTCCAAATTGAAGAGCAGATAATTGATAAGATATTAGTTAATAAAGGAAGAATATTTCCCCAAATTTACGATCAAATTAGTAAAAAAATTATTGAAAAGATAACAATTCTGTGGTTCAACTTCTCAAAAGTTTGATCGATGAATTTTTTTGCAAATTATTAATCTAATCCTTTTTATATACAAATTCTCTCCAAATCGAAAACATGACAATCGTCGGAATTTTTTTGAATTTTTAAAATTTTTTTTGTTGATGTTCGATCACCTCATTTCAAAATATGAATTGGAAAGATATCAATAGCGTTGATTTGGAAAAGTCATCTCTTTCACAGAATGACTACATTCACGCATTAGTCATGAAGAAGCAGTGGGATACTATTCTCGGCTTCGCAGAGACTAATTCTAAAGTCTTTCTCAAATGTCTTCATATTCCTCCAGTAAAAAAGAATATTTTCAATAATCTTGACGAAAATAGGCTTTTAACACTACTGGAACGTTCAATAGAACCTGTTCGTTCTATGATTTTCAACATTTTAACAGAATTTGCAGATTCAAAACCATATATTCAGGATGTTGCAATGACACTTCTCCACAATTCAGCCAAATATCCATTTATTGTTGATCATGCGGCGCAAGTCGTTCTTTTATTACCATTAGATAAAATCAAGAAAGCCTTTACAACACGTGCTGCTGGCGAGGGCAAAACCGTCTATGAGATTATCCTTGCCACAATTGATGGTGAGGACGCAATTGAAGGAGAGTATATTAATTTAAATCCTTCTCCACGCGTTTTATCAAAACGTCCATCAATCATCGGCGTTGTTTTTGATCTCTTCGAAGAAATCGTTAAGAGCGACTCTTATATTTCTTATGATTCAAATATCATGGAATATATTCAATCTTACTATCCAACATATTCTAAGATTCCAGCTCTCAAGGCCAGACTCCAGAAAATTGTTATCTCGGCATGCCCTGAAAAAATCATTTGCAAGAAGACCTATCAGTTCCTTATTGACGGAACCTTGCCAGTTCCATATAATTTCGACCTTTCATTCTTCTTGGAACACAAGATGGTTACATTAGAGCAGATCACCGAGATGATTATCCAAGCTCTTGCAAAGGATGCAGAATTACCAAGCATCAAAGGCACAAACCTTTCCAGATACATCAAGAACTTACCAAACATCTCCAGCTACCCCATGAAGAACATGCTTTTGACCATCAGATCCATTGCTCGTGAAGATCCAAATTCAAATTACGGCAAAATCTGGTCTCGCATTGAAAAAGACTACGAGAATGCTGCTGCAAAGATGCTCATCAACCACGGTGACGCATCTTTAATTGAATTCATTTCTAGCGCACTAAAGTATACGAATCTCTACAGCAACAAATATGCATCTGATTACAGCATCATCTTTTCAGCTGAGAAGTCCCTTGAGATCATCAAAAACGTGATCACAAGAGTCATTTCTTCCAAAGATAAGATCATATTATCCAGCAGCCAAGCTTACACCGATAGAATGTTCTCTATTGCCAAAGCAATTGGCTGCGTCATCGAATACTACGACGATGCCTTCCACGATGACTTCTTCGTCGAAATGTTCAGACATCCGACAAATCTCGACAAGCCAAACTATGTTTACGAGAAGGACACAATCCAAGGCTTGTTGTGCGCAATCAATGTAAGAGATCCAAAGAAGATGAGTGGAATCTTTGTTCCTAAAGACAAAACAGACGAATACGGATTCCTTACAAACAGAAAGATTGTTTTCCCACCGTTGCCATCCTCCATTACTAAGAAGACAGAGGATTACGAGTGCAAGACAATCCATCCAATAGAAACATCCATTATCCAATGCAGACTTCTTGTAAACAAGAACACAAATGTTTCATCAGCAGCAAAGAAGTTATATCTCTCGTTTGTCAACAAGATGCTTCAAATGGCATTGAAGAACCCAGATCTCGCATCTCGTGCAAGCGAAATGCATTTCAGATTCTGCAGGTATTGCATTAGAGATGACCACGAAATCATTGGAGAAGAGATCTGCAACCCAGCAGCTCTTGCAGCAGCTGCAAAGGCACAAGATGGAAGTATCGAAAAACTTATCGAAATGGCTCCAAACGCTGATGGAATTTTCGCAATGTTACTCGGCAGATTGTTAACAACAAGGAACGAAATGCTCAAAGACGCAGAAGACTACGCAGTCAAATTAGTTCCTTCAGTTCTCCAGAAGATGTATGAGATTGAACAAATCGATCATCTCAACTTTCCAAATATTGAATTGAGTTACCCTGTCAATCTCGAGAACACGAAGAAAGTTGTCAACTCTGTTCACAACATCACAGCTCCAAAGAAGTTCAGAAACATGATCATCAAAGCATATATGAGCAGTGCAACAAAGGTTCCATTTTTGTTTGAACACAATTTGAAGCCACTTTACTACGAAAACAACGAAACAAGGAAGTTGATCGTCAGACTTTCATCCAAAGTTCTCATGGCTGTTTTCAGAAACATTTACCAAGTTGCACAGGACTTCAAACCAATCGCTCCTGGATCAGAGCCATCCCACAAGTTCACTGCTGTCTTCAATTTGTTCGATAGACTCAAAAACCTCTTGACAAGAAATACCAGATCTGTCACTCCATTTGTCAAGAATTTCTGGGAATTCGCAAAGAAGTTTGGAAAGAAGGCTTCTGACAAATATTCAAATGGAATTCAATACGAATTCAATCTTCCTATCACAGAGGCAACATATCCAATCTTCAAGGTTTGTTACCCAGATTCATTGTTAGGATCATTGATTGATGACAGTGATTTGTTCACAATCCTTAATTTCTTCACAAACTACGATCCATATCTCAACAGTGTCAAAGCACAGGAGAATGAGGATCTCAACAAACAGCCAAGTATCTTCAAACTTAATTTCGAAGCTACTGTTGACGTTGACACAAATCTCGGCAGAATTTTGAATAACCATGATTACATCAACAGTTTGAAGCCAGCTTCTCAGAAATCAAATTACAGTGGATACACAACAGAGTTCTTCTCAACAATGATGCAAAGAATTCTCACTTTGGATCCAGAGAAAACTCTCAAACTCCTCATCCAGTATCCAGGCAGTTTCGTTGCTTTCGCTGGTTTGTTATCAAGATTGGCTGATCATTGCCCAGAAGTTAAAGGATCAACTAAATTGATCGAGTTGATGTTGGATACTGTCTTCAAAGACTTGACAGTTGTTGATCCAGAGCCAACAGAAGAAGAGCCAAATCCAATTCATTCTGAGACAATCTTCACGAAGTACCAGAATAAGATGAAGACGAGGAGGCCAAAGAAGAATGGAAGAAAGAAAGGCGCTTCTGATTCTAAAGATTTTACAAATGCAAGTGACAAGAGATTCTCAATGAACTTGGCATTGATTGCAAAACTTTGCTCAATCTTGAGAGCACCATGTTTCGCAAGCAAGGTCAATATCGGCACATTCACAGATTCCCTCAACCAAGTCTTGAGATTGCCACCAGACATCATCACACAGAGACTTGGAGATAACGAAAACGTCGTCCATAACTGGAGTGCACAGTTGGCTGACTTGATCGTCTACAATCTCGACTTCGGCAAAGACACGAAGCCAGCAGATTGGGCGAAGACAATGGACAAGAAGTTCGACACATACGGAAGAATGTTCGGAGTTCCAGCATTGTTACATCAGACACTTGCCGCAACACTTGACAAGTTCTCGCTCATGCAGCATCTCGAGGAAAGATGCGCTCTCATGTCCGCTTTGGCAAGTATGACTGAGTTGTCAATGCACGATGAGACATTCGCTCCAGGAGTAGGATTCAGAATGAAGACAATCTGCTGGTGCTTGTCACCAGAAGTTCTCGGATATCCATTGCCACAATTCTCTGTTGATTACATCAAGAGAATTTCTACAAACGAGAACTTGTCCATTGATATGGTCAGAACAATCTCATCATGCATTGTTTCATACTTCCAGTCACAGTCGTTGATTGGAATGAAGCCAGCACAGTTCGATGATTTCTTCGAGGTCTTCAAGAACATGAACACACCGAAGTTCAACTTGTTGATCCCACACATGGCAAGATTAATCTTCAGAGACTCATGCAAATTGTTCGGATACTGTGAGGATATCTTGCCAAGTTCCGCAGATCCAGATGAAGTCGTCTTCAACCCAATCTGCTCGATAGTTGAGATGCCGTCAAAGGGTGAATGGTTCCCACTCCAGACAAAGCTTTGCGCTTCACTTGTCGCACAAGGAATCCTCTCAAAGAACGAGAAGATCGCTCAGTTGACAATGAAAGTCCTTACATCTGCTTCTGGTGTCGCATCAATCTCAGAAATTGTCGCTCCTCGTGTAATCTATTTACTCAAGAACTACTCAGTTCAGGGCGGCATAACCTGCGCATTGGAATTCGCCGTTTCATTCGTTTTCGAGCCACAAAACGCCAAATACACAGAAGCAGTTGATGCTTTCATCGGATTGATGGAGTCAGTCAACAAACAAGTCAGCGAGAGACTTGATAACTTGGCACAATCAATCTGGCTCAACAGCATCGACGAATCCAAGTTCAATGGCCTTAAGCACTTCTACGAAACAGTCAATAACTGCATCAACGGAATTTTGGTCAATTTGGACTCAAAGGGCGCCAAGTACGTATCTGAAATCATGAAGAGATTGATTCCAAACGGCATCTGCGATAACGATTTGTTGCCAATCCAATCTCCAAAGACATTCATGATAGTGACAAGATTCATGGCATTCCCGAAGATCGAAAAGCTCTACGAGACAGACATCGACGCTCTCTTCGAGTTCATCGAGGAAATGAAGGACTACTTGTACGCCATGCCAACATTCACAAATATGATCTTCTGGAACCACGCAAATCTCTTCGACGAAGAAGTTCTCAAGAAATCAGCCAAACTCTCTGATGCAGCTGTTTCTAAGACAAATTTCTTCGCCCACATGACAGCAGATTTGTTCCACAGATTACACGTTAAAGGCACGGATATTAAGGATTTGTTACCATTCGCTCATAGATTCATCGGCAAGGCAACTTCAAACTTCGATCAGGTTGGTGCTCCTTCGAACGTAAAGGAGGGATCCCTCGCAGAGCATTACGAGGCGGAGATCATAATCTACAATGACAGACAGAAAGGTGTCAAGGCTGAACAGGGAACAACAAAGCAGATCCAGACAAAGAGCTCAGGTAAGTCAGGTAACGCTTTAGAGCCACCATCATTCGATTGGAATGCTGCAAGTAATGTTCAGATTAACCAGCAGGTCACCGTTTCATTTGCTAATATATTCAATATCAAACTTTGAGAATATAGTAAAAAAGAGAATATTTTAGTTTTTTTAACATATATAAATACAATTTATTTGATATTGTTACACATATCAGACTTCCATTCAATATTAAAATAATTTCACCTGGTCTCATATCCAATCAAATACATTTTAGAATGATTTGTTGAATTTCGTAAATTTTTAATAGAATTTCAATAGAATTGATCAGCACATGCGCTTTTTATGCTGTAGTTATTGATATACAATGCATAATATTAGCACGAAATGATTTTTCAGAAGAAAATCAAGTTTAATTTTAATAAAAATCGAAGAATTTTCAATTCTTCTATTGCTTCCATATTAAAAGAAATAAAAATAGTATCTATGAAAATTTTTGAAATGATTTTTAAAAAATTTGTCACTTTTCTCGATCGAATTCACAATCAAACTGCCACCTTGACTTCATTTACCCAAATATATATCAAGCTAAGGCTAATGAAAACATTTTTCAGCCAATTTTCCAAGGGAACAATCAGCCAAATTTTGGATTTTAGCTCATTTGAGCCGAAACCAAAATTTATTACGAATTAATACTTCTCTTATGAAACTAATATTATTTCTAACATTTCCTCATTTTGGCGCTATTTTTGGCGGTTATAAATTTTGTAAAGTAGTCAATTAAAATTTCATTAAAATATGCAAGCTGAAACCCCAATAAGCGTACCAAGTAAACAAGAAAATCCTGTAGATGAAAAAGGTTCAAGTCCATGTCTATCTCCAAAATCAGGATTAGTTATTTCATATAATGAAGCAAACGATATTCAGGCAAGCAACAAGCAGCAGTACCAAGAAAACTCTGTTTTAGGAATAACCATTAGATTAGAAAAGGTCCTCTTAGATATAATGCACGCAGACTCAACTGCAGATTTCGATTCTAAAATTTCTAATGCTTACAGAGATATGTTCATTAAAATTGAGGAACCCACCCCAACCCTCATAAGATTACGCCCCGGAATAGACAATTTCTTAAAATCAATTACTGAACATTTCAAAATTGTTTTAATTTCAGGATTAGACCAATATATCATAAACGAAGTTGTTAAGCGACTCGACCCAATGCATACTTACTTTGGAAATCGTATCTACAGAGATCAAGATTTTGATTTCAAAAATGACGAGAACAATTACTACTTATTCCCACCTTCGAGCGATCTAACTGTCATCCTTGACACATCAAGAGACCATTGGAAGAACGATAATGGCTTTACATTCAGTGGATTCGTATTTGTTTGCCCATATAATTATTTCCAACCTTCAACTATCATTAATGTTTCAGAAGACATTGCCTTACCTTTGGTTTCCAAGCTCGACTCCGTTCTTTTTGGTCTTTCAAGGTATTTGGAACAAATTCATTTATTCTACTACGTAAAAAAGGTTGATTCAATTGTTTTGTCAATCGGATTTGCTCAGCATCCAATCTTGAAGGGCTGCTACATTTGTATACCTGATTTAAGCCCAGAAGAAGCCAAAAATTTCGATATTCTTATTGCTCGATTTGGAGGCAAATTCATGCCATCATACGATTCTGCAGCTACTCATTTAGTTATTTCTTCCAAGGATAGCCCAGCAATCGCTCAAGCTTCGCAATATAATGGCGTATACATTACAACAATTGGTTGGATCGTAGATACCTTCACACATTACGAGAAGAAGGATGAGAGGAATTATCCCCTCATCGGCGTCGATTCTCCAACACACGGACCAAATCCGATCGAACAGTACACTGGCGAATCATCTACAGACATATCATCAGGAGATATCGATTACGAAGACTCGAGTGATTCATATTCCGATGAAGAAATGACAAGAGAATACTTAGAATTTTATTGATTTATGAAGTTTTTTATTTGGGTTTAGATCTCTACGTATTTGGGTACAAAAGATCAATTCGAATCATTTAATGATTCTTTTTAGGTCCGGTGAAAGAATGAAGTCTTGTTTTTTGAAGCAAATTTTTAATAATTTTTTCATCAGTCCTTGATATGGATGGAAAATCGATGGGGCATTTATTTTCGATCCTTATGATCGATTTTATTCAACATACACAATGATTTTCTCAATAAAATAACTTTGTATTTTTATATATTTTTTTTTTCTTAAATAAACACATAAATCGCAACAAATTAATACATTTCTTGGTAGATTAAACTTATTGTATATAGGATTATGTTTATTTTTGTTGTAAATTAAATTCAAAAAAATCTGATTAAATGATAAGAGTAATATGGTAACCTGTTTAATCGAAGGCATGGCCAGCGCAGCCGAGAACTTCCTTGTTCTTGCGCATGTACATTTCCATGAGCTTTGTACGAGCCTCACCGAGGTACTGGCGTGGGTCGAACCAGTCTGGGTGCTCAGAGAAGAGGCGGCGGATTGTGCCTGTCATGACCATACGGCCATCAGAGTCGATGTTGATCTTGCAGACAGCGGAGGCAGCAGCTTCACGGAGTTGGTGCTCTGGGATGCCGACAGCTTCTGGCATGTGGCCGCCGTACTTGTTGACCATTTCGACGTACTCCTGTGGGATAGAGGAGGAGCCGTGGAGAACAATTGGGAAGCCTGGGAGCTTCTTCTCGATTTCGTGGAGGATGTCGAGGCGGATTTCGGCCTTTGTGCCTGGTGGGAACTTGTAAGCACCGTGGGATGTGCCGATGGCGATGGCAAGTGAGTCAACACCTGTCTTTGTAACGAAGTCCTGAACTTCCTCTGGGCGTGTGTATGTGTGGCATTCGGCCTTGACATCATCTTCAACACCAGCAAGAACGCCGAGTTCGCCTTCGACTGTAACGTAGTCTGGGCGGGAGTGGGCGTACTCGACAACCTTCTTTGTGAGGGCGACGTTCTCGTCGTATGGGAGGTGGGAGCCATCGATCATGACAGATGAGAAGCCAAGATCAATGCAGTTCTTGCAGAGCTCGAAGGAGTCACCATGGTCAAGGTGGAGAACGATTGGGATAAGCTTGTGCTCTGGGTGGATTTCCTTGGCATACTCAGAAGCAGCCTGGGCCATGTAGCGGAGCATTGTCTGGTTAGCATACTTGCGGGCACCAGCAGAAACCTGAAGGATAACTGGGGACTCTGTCTTGACGGAGGCTGAGATGATGGCCTGAAGTTGTTCAAGGTTGGAGAAGTTGTATCCTGGGATAGCATAGCCACCTTTGACAGCCTTAGCGAAGATGTCCTTAGAGTTGCAGAGACCGAGAGACTTGTATGAGATTGCCATACTTGAAAGTGAACTTCATAAAAACCGCCTTATATTTCAATTCACAATGAAAAGTTTGTTTACAATCCGACCATTTCTTTTTTCAAAAATCATATCATGATTTAACCTTCATTTACTCTTTTCATATATGATGAGGAGCATAAAGACTCAGTTATCATGAAGATTTGCGCAATTTTTGGAATTTCGCCATCGACCTAATATATAATATAATAACGTCAGTATTTTATATTCCTTCTTTATTTATTAGGTGAAAAAAATATTCAATGCCCTCAGAAAATTGAATTTGCGAAATAATAATCGCTCATTATGGTTTGATTGAATAAATATGCTTAATGAATATAAACAAATAATATCAACTTATGTTGGGTCGTTTATGTTGACATTTTTCGATCTGTTTAAAATTCGCCTTTGGCCAATTGTAAATTCAACAGGTAACTAGGATACAATTTCCAAAAATATACATAATTAAGTTCGAATTTTTAAAATTTAATGTATATTTCGATGATCAATATTTTAGGAATCAATTATTTCATGTTTGCTTCTGCTGATATGAATACTCTCTACAGAAGATCACAGAATTTATTATAAATACTAGAACAATTGCTATAAAAATGTCGTTTTCCAAAAATTTCAACATGAAACTTAGTATCCAAGGCATATTTTAAAACTAAATCGATAATCAAGATGATACCCAAAGTAAAGCACAAATATGCATTCGAAAATTTCAAAATTAAACATTGAAACATCATTCAGCTTTTATTCAAGAACATATTCAACATTTTCAAAATTACTAATGCCATTATACTCGAACTTATTTGTTAAAATAATATCCTGCATGGTACAGATATAAACACCACTTCAATCTGCATCAAACTACATCAGTAAATAATTAGCAGAGATTCTTATTTAACAAGGTGCAGATGCCTAGATTATTTATTTAAAAATCCATTTCAAATTGTACCAGCTCTAAATATTAAAGAAACATTTGAAATTCATAACATGTTATGGAGAAAATATCGCTGCTACAGGTAGCTATATAAATATCCAGTTTATATATGCAGTCAGTTCATCTGATAAGGCTATAGCAATACAAGGAAAGAATTATAATGAAACATTTGAATTATACAAATATTGTAAAGCATTCAAATTTTAAGAGAAAAAGCGGGTAATAATTTTATTTTTTGTTTAAACTTTATAGAGTTCAAGCGATTATATATAATCGCATGAATTATTTATACAAGTCTAATCGATTCAAAGCTAATTAAATGGTTTCATCTATTCAAACTTAACTTTCGATTTTTAAATAAAAATTTAATTGTTTTCAAATCGGGTTACTGCAAGTTAAACAAAGCGAATGGAATGATGTTTACCATTCGCAACCTGATCCAGATCATATTTACACTGAAAGAAAATATTACAGTAATCTCAAAGGAAAAGTCTATATAAAAAACGTTCGTTTCTACGAAATTGGCCAGAATGGTGTAATCAACTTGAATTCAAACGATATTCAATCATTGATTTCCACAAGTATATTCGACAATTCCTCCAATTCAGATCAAGGAGGTTCAATATACATTAACCAAGGAGAAACTGCCATCCAAAAAGTCTGTAGTATCGGCTCCAAATCAAGCTATAGGTATCCATTTTCGAGAACGAAAGTGTCAAACTCTAACCGTATTTACAAATTTTCTGAGACGTCAGTTTTTTACAGCAACCGCGGTGAGTCAATAGGAGATAGTACAGTTTGGTTCAGCTTAGGGATGATTGAATTTGATCAAAATAATATTACAAATAACTTTGTTAAACTTAATTCTGGCTTTTGGATGGAATATTCTTTAGATGCATATGTAAATTTTTCAATTTTTGACAAAAATGATGCAACAAGTAGGATATGTCCTTCATCTGCAAGTATTGAATATAAGAATAGTATTTTTACAAACAATAAAATTGTAAAGAATTCAGGATATCCAGGAATGTTCACCGTTGGAAATGGTAATTCATTGACATTCGATAATTGCTATTTTTCAGGAAACAATCAAGGTTCAGATTCTTTATTCGGAACAAATTCAAGACAAGACTCTATTACCATTAAAAATTCTTATATACTAAACCTTTCCACTATTTATTCAGGAGATGGACAGTTTGAATACGAAAATAAAACAATTAGTTTAACGTTAAGTTTAGATCCCGCAAATCTATGCTCTTTCGAAGAAATATTGATTTATAATTCAAACACAATTATAGAAAAGTCCATGCCAAGGAACTTCTTCTGTTTGCTGAAATATTTAGTTTAACTTTATATCTTGATTTTCTTAATGACATTATCCCACGAATGCTGCTTGCCAATAAACGAAGTTTGATTATTGATACCAAATGATTTTCTATTCTAAGTGCTCCGAACACTCAAATTTTAAATTCGAGTAAGCGAAATATCACAAGAAGGATTAGGCCTTATATATTATGAATTAGAATGGATCTTATTGAAAATTGGATGTGAATATGTAAATGATATTCTTTTTGCTGTCAAAGAAAAGAAAATTGACTACTGTCACATATACAAATATTGTCGCATAGAATAATATGATTTTTAATTAATTTTAATATTTTGTGAAAATGTAAATTTTTTATTGTATTACATTTAATTTATTTCCCATTATTGAAGAAGCGATGTGGAACAGTTGGTTTAGTTCGTAAGGCTCATAACCTTAAGGTCGCTGGTTCGAGTCCAGTCATCGCTCTTTTTTCTTCAATAATTTCCTCTTCAATTTTTTTCCCATTTTATTCATGATAATTATAAAGCGTAGGTCATTAAATTTCAAATTATTTAGTGATGCCGATTTGGAAGTTAATTTCAATTTCGGAAGTAAATTATTTAAGTTTGGGAAGATTTTCAGGAAGATATGATGTAAAATAAAAATTATGTTTATTCAAACACAAGAGTAAATATAGCAGGATCTGAATAAGTATATAGCCGAATTGATGCGCTTTATTATTGAAATTGATCTCGGATGTAAAATTCTATAAAATAGTGAATAAAAAGGAATACATCTGTAACATATTTGGATAATTAATCAGAATGATACTAGTTCAATCGTAAAATAAAGATTTTTTTTATCTGAAAGGCTAACAAGCAGGAATCATTGTACCATAGTTATGGTATTGCCGATCTATGTAATTTTATGCATTTTCCAATACGCAGAAGCGTAATGAACGAGACTTAGTTCCAATAATGATTTAACAAACGATTGTGCATTGAATAAGTTTGATATATAAATAGTCAAACATGTTGTATGTCATTCCATTGCGTTGATAGATAAAGTTTTGCATATGTTTAAGATGAAAGAACAACTTCCGACCAAGAAAAATCCTATCGAGTATTCAATTTTTTATTTTCCTGGAAAATATGATTTGCTTGTTACATGATTTCTATTCAAATTTATATATAAAAGTAATTCAAACGTATTTTTTATTTGAGAAAAAACCTTTTACAATTTTTTTTCGTTGAACAAAGTTTGCATATAATCATGTAAGGAACTAAATTATAAGATTTTAATTTTTTTATTTCCTTCCTTTTTTCCTTCCTCATCTCTCAACTTCTTCCGAATTCATTCAAAATTACTTCCCGAGATTTGTGAACGTTACAAGTTGCATTTTCCCGGAATACCTGTGTTTGGTGCCTATAGATTAAATAGCTAAAAACAAAGGTTTTCGTCGATTAAGATCTGATGTTTTGATAGATAAAAAATTCCAAAAAAAATTTGAAAACGAAAAAATCAAGAAAATAATCGCCAAGGAAAATATCATTTTTTAGATTTTGGAAAATCTTGGATTATCTTCCAAATCGGCATCACTAAATTATTTTTACGATAATTTACAAAAATCTAATTGAGAAAAATTTATTTGATTATTTGTTTTATAAATATTTTTTCCAACAAATTATGTATAGTACAATAGTTTTATTCATCATCAAACGCCTTTTTAACGGAATTAAACTTTTCATGCGCCGTGAATGTTGCATGAATTTCCTTTCCGAATTCTGCAAGAATAGCAGCTCTTACTTCTGGTCCATCTTTTGAATTTTCCGATGGCAATTCGAAAATCTGGACTTCGGACAATTGATTTACTGCAGCTTCGAAATTTTCAGCCAAGCAGCTGCCAATTAGTGAAGACTCTGCTGCAGTGAACAATGACAATACAGAAGTCAAAGAAAGGAGCTCTCTCAGTGGCATTGTTTTGGCATTTTTCAAAAGTGCTGCAACATGAGGGAATAAATCATTATTCTTACCTTGTACATGGCTAATTATGTTAATTCTGTTGACTGCATCTGCTTCATATGCAGAAATTGATGAAGAACCGTCAATTTCAATTAACCAAGAAGGAGGCATGAATGAGAGGACATCTATGCGCTCATCTTTAGTAGGAGGTATTATATATGCTATTGTTTCGTTGTTAAGAAGCATAGATTTGATTAATAACAAAGATGATTTGATTGAATCATCATTTTTAGAGTCTAGAGCAGAAACAATCAGGTCAATTGTTTCTTTTGATTGTACTTCTTTGATAACAGCTTCTGAAATAACTTTGTTAATGAAGAAATTCAATAATAACGCGAGAGATCCTAAACGCCTTGTTATATCAAGAGATTTAACATGGGAAAGGATGGATTGTATATCGACAGTGTTAGTTCTTATTATCAATTGATCAATCCAGCTAAGAAGGACAGTAGATGAGCCACTGAACTGAATTGTAGGAACGCATTCACATACGTTCTTCAAATATGATTCAATGGAACCTTCGAGCTGTTTGAGCAAGTATTGTGGAATAGATTCGTGGATTTTAATTTCTGGATCATCTGCTGTTGAAAAGATATATAAAATTGCTTCTCGAGAGTGCATCCCGATTTCGTCTGGATTAAACGCTGCAATTGCAAGAAAATCAAGAAGAGGATAAGAAATTCCTTGAGATGAAGGAATAGTGATCATTTCTAGCATTAATGGAGACTTCTTGCATTGACCCCATACTCCCTTAATGAATTCCTCGACAACGCCTGGTGTCTTTGCGTAAACAGATTCGAGTTTCGAAACAACTAAAGAAAATGGTCTATGAACTGTAATTTGAGCGAAATAATTACCGAGTTTTGTATTTGCAAAGGCTAAGAAGAATAAAAGAATTGATTCAATTTGTTGTGCTGTTAATTTTGGACCAAGAGATTCGGCAATTTTTTGAATGAATAATTGTGATGTCACATAGTCAAAGTATGGCATATCTGGCTGACCAACCTCTTCTGTGAGATAATCTTTAATGGAAGCCAAAGCAGAATCGAATGTTAATTCATTTTCTGAAATGGTTCCATTTAAAACGCCAAGGCAATGATCACAAGCTTCCTTGACATCTTGAAGAGAATCAACTGCTATCATTGGAGCAATATATTCACCAGCTTTCTTTAATAATCCCCACATTTTATATAAAAAAGTGACAAATTTCCAATTTTCGGCTTTGGAATCATTGGCAGCAATGACAAAAGTTATATTTAATAAGCTACATATGATTGTGATAGTAATATTAGTGCATATGCATGAAAAAATAAACTTTGATTTAATTTGAACAAGAATTTCTTAGTATTTATCCATTAGATTAAAAAATATTCTCTTACTCAAGAAAATGTGCAAGATCAACTCCGAATGATGGAACGCTTTCTGACTAGATAGAGAAAAATTATGTCTGATTATATCTTAGTACAAATCCAGGCCACAATCAAAGGTAAGTTTTGTTTCTCTCTAAGCAGCTTCTTTAGAATGTAAGTCCACATATACACAGAAAAACCCATATTAGCGCTATTATATCAATTTCCACTTTGGAGTGATATCGCACATCTCCATGAATTATTCTGTGTCGTGAATGACATTTGCAAAGAATGCATGAGCAAAATTGTTGACAGTCCAATGAGCTTGGATCTTTGCGATTCTTCAATTGAAAAATGATAACTTTTCAATTCACAATTTAGATAAACTATTAAAGCTCAGTTCCTCCAATACAAACTTCGAATTCTTTGAAGAAATTACAGGAACTACTCTTCACACCAGTTGTTAGAAATTTGAATTAAAGTCAGATGGGCGTAAGTGCATCCTTAAAAAAATATAAATAAAATTAAAAATAGTTTTCTTTTTTAAGGGTGCACACGAGAGGATCATGTAAACTTCAGAATTTAGAACCTTATTTTTAGGCATTATCTTGGCTACCTATTTAGGCTCGAAAAGCAAAAAATATCAAAAAATACAACTTGACTCCATTATGACCCTTTCATGGAGGTAGTTTTTATCCGCTAGTATTTTCCCTTTGAATCTCTTTACAATTCGAAATCAAATTCAAAACTCAGTAGAAGAAAGGAAGAATCGACTTACTACGGTTGTAATACGAATAAATACATATATTTAATTATTTTTATTTACATAATAATTGTTTGAAGCTCATATTCCATCAAATTTTTAAATAAAAACATTAAAATGTTGAAAATGTTCATATATTTTAATAGGGTTTTGGCACTTTATTGAGGAATTACTACATACATAGTCGAACTGAACTTGATATTTTGAAATTTAAATTATTTATCAAAATTAAAATTTAACTTGAAATTTATAATTATTTTAGGGCTGTACAAAATCGAGAAAAACATTGCCGTGCGGTAATATAGGGTCAAAAAAATCGCGCCTCGGCGGCTCCGCCGCCTCGGCACTATTAAGTGCGCATTATATTTAATATGTCCTTCTTTTTTTCTTCTTCTTCTTTTCCTTTCCTTCTTCCTCTCCTTCCTCTTCTTTCCTTCTCCTTCTCTTTTTACAACAAAGTCGAAGATCTTCGAATTTGATTGTTGGAAAAGCATCTATTTCAGATAAAGGATGCCTTTCTCACAGTCAACATACGAGGGTCCTGGCTGAAACGTTCTCAAAAAGCCTGAGATGGTAATTCTCTGATCACTCATAGCTGGGCAGGTAGTCATTGCTGACAATACCTATCTTTATGCATGCACGCTTTCATGTATATGGGTTTACACTATCAATTCGCAAAGTTATTCCGAATTCTTCCAAAATGGAAGGACCCGAAACAACTTTGCTTGTTAACGATACAGACGCATTACTTTGCATTGATACTGTGCTGAGTTGTGTAGAAAGTTTGATTAGAGTTGTTTTGTTCTGGTATCTCTCATCTTCTGATGAGAGAAATCAAAGCAACACAACTCTAATGAGTTTGTTTTCACTCATTTGTATGTAGGTTTTTAGTTCGATTGGAGCTGCTTCATAATGAGATCTCTCATCAATTGATGAGGGAGATCATAACAAAGCAGCTCTAATGTATATGCTCGTATTAACCGGGTTGTAATGCGTTGTAACGTCAGCTTGTAGTTCGTTTGGGGCCACTTCACATTGAGATGAGAAGAAATGATTAAAGGACTCTGAAAGGCTTTGGCCGTTGATGTTGTAATCGCATTACTTGGAACTAGCTGGATGCTAAGCTGTGTAGAATGTTCGATTAGAGCTGTTTTGATATGATTTTTCTCATCATAAGATTGGAGGAATCATAGCAAAACAACTCTAATGGGTTTACCATCATCTACTTGTATGTAGATGTTTGGGAAATTGTCTTGTTAATCGATTTTCGAGATGACTTTCAAATGCTATAATCAAATGACAAACAAGTCTAAGATTTCTCGACAATACATCAAATCATGATGTTTGTAAGTGCGATGAGATTAGAGTTTTTGAAGGAATGACAAGAGAAGTAGGGAAGCTCGGCATTCGCCGAGCAAATTAAAAATTAACGTATGGATTAGATTTTAAGAGGAATTCAATTTTAATTACGGGTTGTTCAAATATTGATTAATATAAATTTATTAATAAGAATAAACAATTTTTGTTTTTGAATTTATTCAATTTATAGCTTTACATATAGTTTCAAAATTGTACAACTATGATTATTTCAACAAAAAATATCTTACTTTTTCACTTCACTTTCACCCTCACTTTTTCCGTAATTCAAATTTCAACATTATGTATTTTAATTCCTTATAGTATTTTTAACATAATTAATCAAATAATAATTGGAAGTTCTGAACTCACTTTTTCCGTAATTCAAAATTAAAAATATGAATAATATATCTATTTATTATATACTAATGCTATTTTCAACTAGAAGTGAGGTACGGTAATCTTACGGATTCCCGTAACTCAATTTTACGGGAAAAGTGCAGTAAACTACTCAATTTACGGAAAAAGTGCAGTAAACTACTCAATTTACGGAAAAAGTGTCGTAAACTATTGATGTGGCGGTAAAATCACGGTAATTCACGGAAAGCTATATGCGAAAATTTGAAATTATACAAAATCGAGCGAAACACTTTTAAATAGGTTGTTCTCGTATTTAAAATACTATTCCCAGATTTATTGTCGTCAGAATATTTCCAAATTTTTGCCGATTTACAAAAAATGATTTACAAAGCATATTTTTTAATCTAAAAAATTCCTAAAAAAAGGAACCGGTGTGCGGAAACCTCGGTAAATTACCGCGGTTCCCGTTGGGACTGCCATAAATTATTTAGTCATATTTTGCATAATTCTAAGTAGATTTTGTAAAAAATCAAGAAAGAAAAATTTTAACGTGCTTTATTTTTTTTTTCATAATACATATTATTATATAATTAACATATTCATAATGTTTCACCCTTTCAAAAATATAATCCTCCTCCTCTCAAATAAACATACATACGGGTGGCCTCTTTTTTCAAAAAATTAAAATTTGAAATTTTGGGCTCAAATATTAGAGATTTTTTCAACCTTCAACGATCTATGTTGTCTATATCAGACCTCCTTTCTTTTTGATACTTAACATTGTTCCTAAATCTTAGCCGTTAAGGCTGTTCTGAAAATATTTTTTTTTCGAAAAAATTCGAAAAAAAATTCTTAAAATTCAAAAATCCCTTAATTCCTGAGGATTTTGGAAAAAAGTTTTTACATGAACATGTGTATATTACCCAGATTTGCTTTACTTTTACCACTCCCCATGTAATTTCTGGGGAAAACGATAATTCATTTTTTTTATGGATGAATAGATCGTTTTCCTAGAAAGGACCTCATATCTCTGGCTAAAAAGAGTGTCAGATCCTAAATAGATTATTGATCTAGTGTACAAATCCAATAAAAAGCCTATTTTTTTGGCTTTTTTGGTGCTCATTTTTTCGAAGATCTACATGAATATGGGGAAACCATCGGATTTTTTTGGTTAACCCACATCTTCATGTAGTCTGGACTATCTTTCCTCGAAGGACCTCTTTACGGGTGTAAAAACTCATAAAGTTCTCAAAAGATTCATTCTCGATCTCCATGCTGAAAGAATTTACAATAAAAAAGAGATCTACGCATCAAACTACAGCCATAAATGAACTGAACCCCTAAAGCTCAGCTCTTAGTTTATCAAAAACGTCGAAATCCTTCTCATTGCAATCAAATTTTCTCAATAACTCATAAGAAAAATCGAATTTTGATTAAGCCGATGTTATAGGTATCACAAATACTACAAACTTGAGCAATATCGAAATTGCCAGCAAAAGTTTGAAATTGCATTGCTCATATTTGTTTTGTAAACTAAAAATCTGCTTATATTATTCATTAATTTTTTATATATTATTCATATACTTTAATAAAAACAATACTATTTCACCTTAAAAATGAATTTCATAAGTCAATATTATTTTTTTGAAAATGTATCAATTTTCGATTAAAACAACATGAGAATAAAATTTACGCAAAATTATTTTAAAAAATGGTTTTAAAAATTTACAATTGATTAAGAATAAGATTGCAAGAAGTTTTGAAGTTTAATTTTAAGAAAAAAAATTCGGATATTATTCATGGATCTAAGTAATCTGATATTTGAGTATCGGCACTATGCATAAAACATATATTTATAGTTTTTTTTGGATTTTTATGATTTTAAATATATTCAAATTTGGCAATCCAATAGATTTTTAAAAAATAGGTAAATAAAAATAGATTACATATGCAGCAGATTTAGAACATGAAACAAATCTTATAGTGACCCAAAAAAAAATTCATGATCCAAAAAAGAAAAAAATTGGCTAAATCGGAATCAAACCTTAGCATAACGAATCATTATGTCAGATGTTTCCACTACACTACACCGGCAGTTCGAAAAATACCCTTGGTGGTTCTATTTAATAGCTACTCCCAACGATAGGCGGTGTCCCCAGCTTTCGAGAGGTGGTAAAAGTAAAGCAAATCTGGGTATATGAAGTATATTGATAAGGTAAAAATCAAATTTTATTGCATATTCATCGAGAAAATAAACTAACGAATCCCTCAAAATTGAGAGGGTAATCCTCCTCCTCTCAAATAAACGTACATACGGGTGCACCCTTAAAGAATATAATAAAAATAAATAAAATAAAAAAAAGTTAAAATATTGGTGGAGCATCTTCTTCATTCAAATCCTTAAGAAGCTGTCCAAAGTCTTTTGGTGATGGTGCGAAATCTACAGCATTAATCAATTTCTCTTCGACCAAAACAGATTCAACAGGGGTGATTGATTTATTGCTGAAACTCTTTCTTGAATTTCTTGTCAATGCTCTAATAATTTGTGTCATTTCTTCATAAGACTTGATTCCAGATATGTCTTCGTTTTGTCCCTGAGGAACGGCTGCCTGCATCTTGTATTCTATCTCTCCCCATTCAGAGAAAGGCTGAGCCTGGACTTGTTCCAGTGCAGCTCTTAAGTCAGAGAAAATAGCACAAGCGATGAAACCTTCGTGAGTTACATAAATCGGTGTCAATTTTAATGTTGTGCATCTCCATTCATGAGGTTTCAAATTCAAGATATCAGAAATGCTTGGGAATTGTGGATTTCCGGCCATATTGAAACTGGACGAATAACAGAATTCTCCTCCAGAAACTTCCATCAAAGTTTGGAGTAAATTCGAAGCAGCTCTCTGCAAACCAGGAATATTCGATTTGACAGCACTTCTTGCAATGTTTCCTATGGAATAATCCTTGAAAGAAATGTTATCTATCGATCTAATAATGAAAGATGTTGCGTAGTAAATTATCAATTTTTGTCGAACATTTCCATTATTCTCGACATTGACGTAGAAAGGCAAAACTTTTAATGCAACTTTCTCGTCAGTGATTAATCCAGAAACAATTGCTTCGATGTTTTCACTCAATTCTGTGTCGCTTTCTGTGATTTTAATGAAACAGTTTTCGAGAACTGAATCATTAGATAGCTTAGCGATTTTCGTGACACATGAAGGGCTAAACATATTTGCGAAAGGTAACAAAGAAGCAATCAAAACATTGTAATCATCAGTTGGTGTCAAAAATGTCAATAAATCATTTTCAATGCATTTCTGGATGATTTCAAATGATTTCGACAAACCAATACTATCAAGATTTGCTGCGAATATCCTGTGCGCGATTCCCTCGAAGTCTTTCGGCATCTCTGATGTCTTTATCTGTTCAATGAATTCGTTTTTATTCAATGCAAGTAAAATGAAATCAGCTGCTGCATTAAATATTGAAACATATTCTATACTGGAACATTTCAAGAATTCACTGATGAAATAGACCAAGTTTGTTGTGATTTCCTTGGAGCGCTTCAACAAATAGATCGCGTAAGTTAAATATCCATATAATTCAGCGTAAGGAGGCTTTCCGAAATTATCCAAAAGTTGGACAAAGAAAGTAATTTTCTTTATGTTTGCAGCATGAATAGAAGGAGTTGTTCTTTCATAAAGAGCAATAGCAATGACTAGTATTGATCTGCATAATCCAATCACGTCATCTTTTTCCAGTTCCATTCCAATTGAGTCCAAAATTTTGACTGCAATTGGTGTTTTATAAGTTTTTCCATAAGAAACAGCCCACGGCAACAAATAATTATATAATTTTCTCGCTTCGTTTTCATTCAAATTACTAAACAAAGATCCAACTAAATCCAGTGGCCATGTGCCGACTTTTGTTATGATTGTTTTAGTTGTATCTGAATAGTAATTTGTGAAATTGTCAGGAACTTCCAATGACGTCAAAAGCTTGATTAATTTCGAACATTGTTCAGGGAAAGAATGGAATTGTATGAATGAATAACTCAATATTATTTTTCCGTATTCTCTTATTAGAGTCAAATCATCCAATATTAAGTTATAAATCATATCCAAAACAATAGGAACAATAAAAGAATAATCATTACTTTGGTCATCTTCTGTATTCACTGTTCCTGTTGATTTGATTTCATCTTCTGCTTTGTTTGAGATCTCAGCCATGACGTGATCGAAATCAAACAACAAATCAAGCTTGTTTAATTGGATGCAATAGAAATGCCATGCATCAAATTCGATGTATTTGAGCATGTGTTTGAAAACTAAATCAGATTGAATGGCAAACAAAAATCTGATTAATTCCATTGCGTTCTCTTTGAGATTGTCAAGAAAGACATGTCTCAAAGCAATGCATAATAACAAGTCAACAGTTTTCTCGCCATGGTCTTTCTCAATGATTTGGCGGAAAATCTTTTGTATTGGTATTGAAAAATTCATTGAAATCAAGTCTTCAACGAAAATCAAGAAAGTGTAGCAATTAAAGATCTGAGGGATATCCATGAAAATGGAGTTCATTTGGGGCTGAACAACGAAGTAACTCATCCAAGGAACAATGAATTCTGCAGCCAATGATTTTTGGCTTTCGTTTTGGTTCAAATTAAATGAACTTACGTGTGTTTGCAAATTATCTGTTTCCAAATTAAATTTTGGAACTAATTGTTCGCTGTTTATCTTCGTAAATGTCATTGATCTCTTGGAGCCTTCCTCGTGAATGATCTTGTTAGAGTTGTGATTGATTCTTTTGTCGATTTCAATCATTTGGGCAATGAATTGTTCTCCTAAAAATGGCAATTCATTGGAAATCAGTTTCAAAAGTGAAATCGCGTCTGTAAAGATATAATGAGTCATATCGGTCTTGAATCTACCTCTAAACTTCTTCAGCTTCAAAAGAAACTCATCGAATTCTTTCAACCCTTTTTCTTGGATAAAAAGTGACGCTGACAAAACTGACACCAATTTAAAAGCCATTTCACGGAAAGAAGGCAATTCATTTGTCATGTAATAGAAGGCCAGAGCTAGGAGTGAGCCGGAGTTCATGTAGATCTTGTTTCCGATCTCGATTTCGTTCTCATTATATTCAGAAGAGTTTGATTCTCTCCAATTTCTTTTGAATTTTTGGTCACCTGTAAATTGGAGACAAATTGCGTGGAAAAACGAACTGTCTAAGCAGGAATAGTCAATGTATTGTGTAATAAGATTACTGAAGTATCTTCTAAGTAAATTTGTCTTCAATTTGACACTTTTTATTTTTGTCAAATTGTCAGAAACAACTGTGAAATATGCATCAGGAATATTTGCGACAGAACAAAGGGAACTGAAGCAGTTGAGCACTGCATCATTGAATATAAATGTATCATCACATGAACTCAAAGAAATAAAGACCAAAAACGTCAACATCGTGCCAGAAGAATGGGAATAAGTGTTTGAAACACTTTTTGACAAAGGAAATGGTCCATGCAAATTACAGATGTTCTGTTGTGTGATTTCATCAAATAAATGTCTTAAACAAATACTCATGTCATGAATTGCACACTGCAATAAGTAGTTTTGCGGTTTTGACAGTTCATTTCTGTCAAAATTGAATTCAAGATTTTTTGACACAAATTTATTTGTTATCAAATAATTTTCCAAGAAATAAATTGATTCTTGTAGTGGCTGTGAGAACTTTTCTCCTGATGTCTGCTTGGCGATGAAGCTTGGTTTCTCAGACATTTTGCTTAGCAAGTAGAACAAAACGTGAATCAAAACCATTTTTTCCGAAATCGTGTTTAATTCAGAATTTATTGCAATGACGACATCATTAGAAATTATTGGATTACAGGAGCTCATAACAGCGCATAAATTGCAGTCCCTGTTCTTTACATTCTTTGAGAAGTTCTGCAATAAATTAGTAGTAATCTTTGAGATGTTTTCCGTCTGTGTTCCGCCAATTGATAATGAAAAGTGAAGTGAACACAAATTAATTAAAGTTTGATTTGACAATGAGTTATTATTCAAAAGAACTTCGGAATAATATTTATGTATTTCAGGTATGAAGTCTTCTTTTGTTTCACCAATAAGATTACCCAATGCTGATATCCAAAACGGATAAAATGTTTGGTCAAATGCCAAAAACAAATTAGTAAACGGAATTGAATCAAAACTTTGAATCAAATCTCTTTTGTTTGGACACAAACTACTCAATGCATTTAGTTTTGCTGTCATTCCTATCTGCACTTCATTCTTTTGTATCATGTCATACAATACAAATATTTCATTCTTAGCTTGCAAATAAACAGGATAATTTTGGGAACATTGAAATGCTGCATTTCTTATTTCTAATGCATCAGAACATAATCCCAATAAAATGTACTTAATTAAAATAGTGTTCATCTCTTTAGTTATCTCCAATCTCTCCATAGTAATCGTATCAATAATACAATGGAAAAATTTTAATAATATAAAGAGGTGAGGTGAAGTGATGTTTGGAATTGAATAATATTTGTCAACGGTTTCAAAAATTTGAGAGGCAAATTTTGGATTTAAATGGAGAGCAGCTTGAACAGCAACAACAGCCATTGCTCCTATTGAAGAATCCTCATTACAGATGAATTTGATGACATGATTTAATATTGAGAAATTGTCAACAATCATTGGACTTAATCTCAATAAATTAATCATCAAATTGTTTTCATCTGTTTGTATTGAGTGTATTTCCTCTCTTATTGTGTTCTTGTCGTAGACAGGCCATGTTTGGACACCGTGTTCTTTAGTTAGTTCGTCTTTCCACTTCTGATTCTCTTTAGTGTGCTTAGGAAAAACTGATTTCGGTCTCATGTTAACTGTAAAGACGCCAAGAAGCCTGTAGACATATGTCGAGATTTGTGTCTCGATCGTGTATCGATTTCGGAGCTCATTTGAGAAGGATAACGGTTCGTAGGCGAAATTCGTTGGTTTGTCAGTGATGTTCTTGGATAATTGGGTGTCCAAGAGCAGGGAAGCACTGATTCTGACTTTATCTAATAGTTCCTTTGTGAAATTGAACGCTTTCTCGGCAAATCCGGATGTCGGATCTAATATTACGAAGAAAGCTTTGGATAATGCACAGGTTGCGAAGGATATGATCTCAGGTGTTGTTAGTTTCTCTAAAAACTTGTGAACAAACAAGTCAAAGTCAGATGCGGCAATTTGGACGATAAAACTGGCCAAATTGGTCTGGCAAGTGTCGAAAATGTCAATATGGCTTACGGCGTAGCCAAAGATGTTCTCAATCGTACTTGTGTCCGAAATATGGTGCTCATAATTTGATTTTGTTGTTTCTTGGAGAGCTCGTGTAGAATAATGAGCTCCACGAAGCATTATGGATAGAGCATCTAATATCTGACCATCTGTTTGCTTTCCGTCTGATAAATAAGAAAATATATGTTGAGCTCCAAATTCTTTGACAGAAGTGTTCGAATTAATGGTCATAAAGCTGTTGATGAGGGCCATGATCTCGAAACAGTGTACGTTTAGTTGTTTCGAGTTAACCCATGTCATACAATCTGATATCAAGCCAAAAATGTAAGGATCTGTAAGACTTTCTTGGAATTTAGAGAATGTATTGCCTAAATAGTTGTAAATGAATAAGCCTGTGTTCATAATTGATGTTCTTTGCTTATGAACAGTTTTTTCTTTGTAAACTTGAACGATTTTATCCAAAAGCTCTTTAGCATCGAGGTAACTTTCGAAGCTAAACACGCAATCGCTAAAATAGTTGACAACAATTTGATAATAACTTCCGAGTTCATTTACGTTCATAAAGGTGTTTTGGAGTAAATCAGCAACATCATCTGGAGCAAATTTTGACATTAGGCCAAATGCGCGTCGATAATACTTTGAATTTATTTCTTTAATTGCGATGATATATGAATCTTGAGAACAAGTAAAGAAATTTCGTATAATTGTATTGATAAATTCGACTACATCCGATTTGGTTACGTTTATCATGTTTTCGGAAAGCTTTTCTATGAAAAATGCTGTAACTAAATCTGAAACAAAGTAAAGACAGATATTAAAGTACATTTTTCCCCAGTTTTGCTTTGGAAGTCTATCAATGTATATCATTCTATGTTCTGGGTGATGCTCTGGTGCTTCAGTTTGAGTAATCGAAATTGGTGGAACTACTTGACTGAATTGTTCAATACTTTGTAACGGACTTTGAGCTCCTATCTTAGCACATGATGATAGCACGCGAACTAAGTTTTCTTCTTTAACTATGACTTGTTTAAAAATTGCAATTTGTTGTTGTACCGAGATTTCACTGCCGTCATTGCATGCCGCAATTACAGATTGGCATAAATTCGCTAGAGGATCGGATAGCGAATCAATCCTTATTGAAAAAACAGATCTCGGATTCATTTTTTTATATGACAGAAAAAAAATTTATTAATTTAAATCAAATCTCTCTATAGCTTTATTTGGTGCCGAGTGGGATATTAAAAGAAAATGATTTCATAAAAATTCGAGTCTACTTCGGTGAAATTGTCGAAAAGTGCCAAGAATTCAATAGAAATAACAATTTTTATTTCTAATAAACTCGATTTCGATCGCCATGAATGTGAAATGAAGCATTCTTGAATTCACAAAAACCCTCTTCGTAGAGAGCTTTTACAGAAACAAATCTGAAATCGAAATCGATTTCATAACTGATGAAAAAAGTTATTTTTCCGTATATGGTTAATCAAAATATCCAAATTTATATGAGTGGGGAATATTTCTGATATTAAACAGTAAATATGATATATTATTTATATATTTTTGATATTTTTGCAATTATAATGAAATTACATTATGATTCACTCTAAAATAACCATTATAACTAAATCTGATACTTGGTTTCCTTCTAAATCATTAATATATGTATGGAATTGATTTTTTGAAAACTGTCCTTACGTGATTGAAACGGTTGATTTTACATAAATCGTGTATATCAATAGTGGATCATTTCAATCATGTTTTCAAGTGATTTTATAAAAAAGTACGTTTTCAAATTTTTTAATGATTGTTGGAAACTCTAGGAGAAAGAATGTTATGGTTGCTCAGCAAAACGCCGAGCCAGCCGTACCAGCACCAGAAACAAACGAACAGAGCATTTTATCCTTCATCGAAGGCAGAGATTACAGTGGTGCAGCAACATATATCGATTTTCTTCATAAAGAGCTCAATCAGCCATATACTAAAGATATGAAGTTATGGCATGGATATGCATTATTCCATTCAGGTCAATATGATGATGCTATTGATGTTTACGAGAAAATGCTTAAAGAAGAGCCAGATGATACTATGTTATGGCTTTATATTTCATCTTGTCAGTTCTATCTACGCGACTTCGAAAATGCAAGAGATTCTGCTAACAAAGGACCGAATTGCGACTTCAAAACAAGGCTTTTATTCCATATCGCGCACCAAACTAACGATGATAAGCAGTTACTAGAATCGCATAGCCAATTAGTCGGAACATTGCAAAACCAGCTATCTCTTGCCGCTATTCACTACATGAGATCTCACTTCCAGGAAGCTATAGATATTTATCAGAAGCTTTTAATGGAACATCCAGACTTTTTGGCTCTTAACGTTTACATCGCTATGTGCCAATTCAAGCTAGATAACTATGATGAATCAAATGAGGCTGTTGACGTTTATCTTCAAATTAATTCGGATTCCGCTGTGGCATTAAACCTGAAATCATGCGATTATCTTAGAATATTCGATGCAAATACTGCAGAATCACAGCTTCTTCAGATCAGGAAGTTCAGTTCTGCAACATACGGATTTGTCGACTCTCTGATCAACCACAACCTTTGTATCTTCCATAACGGTGATGATGGCTTTACGATTTTACCAAAACTCGTTGGAGTTATCCCAGAAGCTCGCTTTAATTTGGCAATTCTTTACATGAGAGAGAGCAATGCAAAGGAAGCATACAACTTACTTCAAGATTTCCAACCACTCGATATTTCTGAATCTATTCTTCGCGCTACAGTTCTTCTTGCTTACGGACAACTTCAATCTGAGCCAGGACCCATTGATGAAGCTAACCAGATCTTCTCAGAGGTCGGCAACATGGATATGATTAAGAATACAGTCGAAGGAAGACAGGCTTTAGCTACAACTAAATTTATTCAGTCCGATTACGAAAGAACACTTCAAATCCTTCAAACAATCGAAGATAAGATCGGCGATACAGATGAGTTCAACTATAATATCGGTATGACTTACTGTGGCCTTGAAAAATGGGCAGAAGCCGAGAGAAGATTATTAATGGTCAAAAACCCAGCATATACACGCGAAATCTTTTACGTTTCATTCTTATGCAAATGCTACATCATGAACAGAAAGCCAAATCAAGCTTTTATTCTTTATACAGAAAGTATTAATACAGAAGATGCCAAACTCCTCCTCCAAATTATTTCTACGCATTGCTACCAACAGGGTCAGTACTACTACGCGATGAAGGCTTACAACATTCTCGCACAGTTCGATCTTGACCCAGTAAACAGACAAGGCATGATTGCCAGTGCTGTCGGTGTTTTCAGAAATGTCCTTTCAAGGAAGGAAAGTCCGGACAAACTCCAGGAAGTCAGAGAAGTCTTAGAATCAGATCCAAGCGCTGAAGAGGTAAGAAACGTTATTAATAAATACATAGAAACATCTGGAGAGTTCGAGACAGCATTATAATGTAATGTGAAACTAAATTAGAAGCATATTGTTGTTCAATCTTATTTTTTTATTATTTATTTATGAATCTTAATATTTAATGTTATAATCTGTATAAAATAAAATGATGTATATCGCAGATTTCCTAAATAGTTAGATCTAATTGTCATTTTATACAGATAATAGCATTAAATAACTAAACAATTCAAAGCTATATTTAAATATTAGTTAATTCATATATAAATAAACACTCAATACTTTTTAGAAATATTAATACTGCGCCATGCGCTAATAACAACTACTTTTTTTCCTATCTTCTGTTGAGGCTGAGAATGAAGAGAATCTAATGATGGGAAAAATTCTTACAGATAAGCATTTTGGTTAATGCATAAGAAACGCTGCATATTTTAGGAAGAGAAAGAATTGATAAAATGATGCATTATAAATCTCAAAAATATTATTCGATTAAATTGTTTTGAGCAACTAATGTTTCAGTAGGATCATTATCAAATTCAGCTGTCGAACAAATCCAAATAAGAGTCAACATTGGAATATCACATAAATAATTGACTGCGAGCTGAATCATCATTTGAATATGATTCAATATGTTATAATCCGTGATGTGTAATATAACCAAATTTCTAGTATTGAATATTTTAGAAAGTACCAAGCGTGAAAATGTTCCAAGAATATATGAGAATATTGAAATGTTTATTGGAACATGATATTTTTTTGGGAAATAGTCTTTGATATTTGATAATTCAAAGACTATATTGAGTAAGACAAATGAATAGATGCAAAGTAGAGCTTCTAAATAATCATAAAATAAGTAATAATATTGTAAGAATTTTAAATATATCACAAAATAACCACATTGAATAACAAGTAAAAGGATCAAATATGTAAGGAAGAATATATAATTGATATATTTCAAGAATTTTGCAAATGCAATATTACATATAATTAAAACAGATTCAATTTGACGTAATAGCATTATATAAGAAATATTTTTAATAACATCCCATATTTGTCTAATCTGATAAAAGTAATCATAAACTTCATAATGATAAACATAATAAAACACGTATTGATCATACCAATACCAAATACTGTATACTCCAATTGCAAAGGGAAAACACAATCCTGGCATAAAGTTATTCCGAAGTTGTAAACCAAGCCCTCTAATCTTCATTACCGAATAAAAATAAAAAGGAAGTGTGAGAATTATCATTATGAAAAGATATATAAAAGTACTCGAATGTCCGCATACAAATAACGCTTGAAATACGCATACATTTAACTGCAACCTATATATCCAAGCCATTTATGAAATTGAAATCAAATTGAATGCTTTACAAAAAAGCAATTGAAAATGAAATTTCCTAATGTTGGTATTTTTGGATTGTTGAATGTATTTGTAATAAAATTAAAAAGCTGATCAGATTTCAGAAAAAAAAAGATGTAGTATTTGTCTTACAAAATAATATAATAAAATGTTCATTTAGCCATCATATATTCGATAAATTAATATAAAAATAAACATTTTATACGTTCTCGAAATTAGAAATCCATGAGCTAACAGAAACTGCATACTTTTTCTACCCTCTCTATTCACACTACTTTGTACAAGAGATCTAATGATATGTTCAGAAACTATTCTTTGTGTATTATGAATGCGAGTTAACATTTTGTAGTCGCGTTTTATTGTCGGTTCTAGAGCTTCGATACTATCTGAGACTTTCAGACTGCACGAAATTTTATCAAATAAGTTTAGTAATATATTCATTTAGTCAACAAACAATAGGTAGTTCAAAGAATTTTCAAAACTATGAATACTTATAATATTAGTTTATTCATAACAAGCATTTTATACATTTTGGAAATGAATTTTGCCCCATGCGCTAATAACAACAGCTTTCTTTTTCTTTCCTTTATTGTTAACATAACTGTGTACGCAAGTTTTCATTTTGTAGTCGCGTTTTATTACCAGTTCTGAAAGCTTCTATATTATATGAATCCCTATCGAATGAATATATAGTAAAATGTTTAATCTAGTAACCGTGTGTTAGAATTTTCAAAGAAAATTCACATTTATGTAACCAAATTGCGAGCATTACAAAATTTGCAATACAAATTTTCTCCGCTCACAAACTGACTCATGAATACCATATTATGAGCCAAATTGAAAACCGTTTCACGCCATTCATTTTTCTCATAATATTAATTAATTAACAACTAGTCATCAAACAGTATATAGTTCAAAGAAATTTCAACTTAATTATACATGTATAATAATGAACTCATAATACATAGATGGTTAATTCAAACATAATAAACATTTTATACATTTTAGAAATTAATATTGCCCCATGCGCTAATAACAACAGCTGTCTTTTTCTTTCCTCTCTTTGGTTGGGGCTGAGAAGAAAGAGAGTCAAATGAAGGAAAGTCTTCTTCCTGTTTAGGCTTTTCTTTCTTTGGAAGAGCTGGTTTTGATGGAGAAAGTGAAGGAAACTCTTGTTCGTCTGAAAGTGTTGGTTCTGGATGGTGTTCTTCTGGAATGAACTTCTGGAAGTCATCTTTCGTGATAACTCGTGTTGGAACATGTTTTTTGACAACAACAGGAGTTAATTTCTTAATTTCACGAGAATGTTGCGCGAGAACATCCTTAGAAACGATGTTCGTGAAATCAAGGAATGCATACACGCATTCTGCACCCGACGGAATATGAGAATTATCTGTATCATATTCATATCCAATAGAAGTCGACATAACTGGAGCTTCTATACTATCTGGAGCTTTGTCAAGTGATCCAAACTGTTCAATAAGCATCTTCTTATTAAGTTGGTTCATGAAAATAATTCGGCCATCAACAGATTGATAAAAAGTGACTTTTTGTTCACTGTCTGTATGTTTGCATGTACGAAAAACAGTTTTGTCGTCATCAACTGTTTCTTTTTGTATAGATTCGATGATAGATTGAATTGCAGCGACTTTTTCTGGTTCTTCAGCATAAATGACATGCTGAGTCTGTAGAGCTTCTATTTCGCCTCTCTGCATTGATTCAATAAACTTAGAATCTGCTATTGTGAATCTGGTAAATTTATTTAATGGATCTGAAGCTACACGAAGAGAATCAAGCTGTCCATGAGCTCCAAAGCATATGTTATCGCTAACATAACGATAAACTTTTGAAAATGTGCATTTTGTAAGCTTAGAATCGAAAATACATTTGCATCTGATAAAATCATGAGATCCAATGATTTCACCGCATACAGGACATTTCATGACCTTATCACTATGATTCATTAAAAGCTGCAAGCAGTCTGCGCAGATAATATGACCACATATTGTTAATCTCGGCGCAACAGGTGTAAATAAACATATAGGGCATACATACTCATCGCTAACATGTGCAATTGCGGCATATAGAAGATCCCATTGTATGCCTGACTCGGGCCAAAAACAATGTCCAAATAAAGCATCGTTTAATTCATCAATCTTTCTAGTGCTTTCTGAATGTTTATCGAGTTGAGCTGGATTTTTATAAACGAATTGAAAATTTCCTGCAGTATAAGGATTTATTGATGAAGGTCTTCTGTGACAATGGGCTCTACAAGGCTGTGGCGCGAATTTTCTTGTGTTTGATATGAATTTATATGAATCTTCCGGGCAACCAAAAGCATACTCTGATTGAATAGAGCTTTGCCTTGATACACTCTTGAAAAAACTCATAATACAAATGAAAGGTATTTGTCCCGCTATTTTCCATACCTTAATAGGCATCTTAGCTATATATAGTATTATCACAATTCAAGAAGATTTTAGAAAATTTTATCTAAAATTCTTTATTTATCTAATAAATTGCAAATATGAAATCACTATGATCATCTATTCATATTCGAATGATCGATTTTAGTATAGAGTCTAAATCAAAATTTCGATATAATATTGAACGAACTATGACTATTCTTATGACAAAGTTGGTATCTTCTTCAATATAATTTGTATAGCCTTATCAAGCAGGTGAATTTATTCCAGAACTGGAGATTTTTTAATTAACACAGGGAAATTGATTATTTTTTCTAAACGAATATCCTAATATCGTGCTTTGAAGGCAATTCTTTTGGTTTGGAGACACTCAATAAGTTTAAAATCAAATCATTACCAAGAATTTTAAAAATTCAATATAAAATGTGTTATTTGAATGAAAGAAGAATAAAACATACAATTTATACATATTACAAAAGTTCAAATGATGTATCATCATCAGATGAAGATGTCATAATCTTAGTTCCTAAGAAAATGTCAGAATCTGAATAACTTGACTCAGTATCTGAAGCATCTTTGAGTACAGCTTCAAGAGTCTGAACACTGATCAAGTTCTTTATTTCTCTGACGTTATCTGGATAAATCATTTTCGAAATGGAAATGATTTCACGTCTTAAATCCGGCTGATATGCAACGACCATCTGTATCTGAAGTCGTGAAAGAGACCATCCGCTCACATGAGAAACGGCTTTTATCGTTGCTTCTCGTGGTTTGTCAATAAACAGCTCAATTTCACCAGATACGAAGCCATCATTAAATTCTAATTTGTTGATTTCAATACCATCAACTGAAATCGAGAGAATTCCGGAATTTAATAACAATAATTCCGGAACAACATCTCCTTGCTTGATAATTGTCTCTCCTGGGATAAATGCATGTGGTGTGAGCATTTTGGAGATGGCAGATAAGAAGTTTTGCGATGCAACTCTGAAAAGATCAACTTGCATCATTGAATACCTGCATTGGTCAAGAACTAATGACGTTCTTAATGTATCTGGTAAATATCGAAGTACTTGAGCAGGTTCATCAGCTCCTCTGGACTCGTCATATCTCATTTGGAAATAATTCGTAGTTTCTTCGCGAATTTTCTTAGGAATACGCTTGAAAGCAAGGTAATCTCGGAACTCTCTTGTTTCTCTTACGTATGATTTGTCTGGGCCAGATAAAGATAATTCGACTAATTTTGAAAGAATTAATAAGTTTGATGTAACGCCAAACAGCTGAATAAATATAACAACGATAACCTCGCATGATGCTTGAGGAGTTAAGTCTCCATAACCAATGGCGAAGATTGTAGTAAGAACGAAGTAAATAGAGGTAACGTAAAGCTGTGGTGGTGTTAGGTAGGACCAGCCGAGTATTGTGATCCATGTATCTGGGCTTTTTGAGAGGAAGGCGGAAAGATAAAAAATACATGCGAAAAGATGAACGACAAGAAGGAAGCAAATGACAAGAGGAAGTAGAGCAGAGAACCATGAATAGTAAACGAGATTAGATTTTGTGGTATGAAGAGCAATCATGCATCTATTTAAGCGGAAAACTTTTAATAATGACAAAACTATATATGCAGATCTATTGTTAAAGAATACTCCAAACCACCATCCTGGAATGCATGCAATGATGTGGAATATAACTGATTTTACGCCGTATAATTTTAGAATTCGTTTTTTATCGCTAACAATAACGCCGTGTGATACAAATGATGTGTTAAGAACAACATATAAGTCTGCCATATATATAAAATCAAATATCATGAATGGCCAATATAAAGAAGTCTTGTAATCGTAAATAAAAATAGAAAAAAATGGAATTTCGAAAGCAGGAATAACGCTGATGATCAATAATGCATACTCCCAAATTCGTCTTAGAAGTGAAAAATGAGAAAAAAGAACTTTTGGCTTTCGATATCCTGCAATTGTTGCAATTGTAGCAATTGAATTTTCTATTCGAAGTGGTTCGTAGACTTTTGAAGGTGCTGGACGAACAGGTTCTGAAATTGACTTTTGATCTGCATCTGGATTATAAAGATATGTATTTCTCATGAAAAAAAAATTAAAAATCTGTCACATTTTGTTGCAGGGAGTAAATCTGATTTTAGAAGCATCATATATGCAGTTGGGTTGATTGCTACTTCAAAATGTGCACCTATGTTGTTGCTTCCGTTTAATGAACTCCAAAATTAAAAATTTGAATAAATAAAAACCCAAAACTTGAAACTCTAAAATGAAAATTTTGATTTAGTTTTTAAAATCTCCTATAATGGATTATTTAGTTTTGTTTTATAAAATTCAGCAACTTCCTTACTAATTTCTCCATTTATTTGGATAAAGGCAATAGATGGATATAATTGCGTAAGTTCGGGAAGATGGCGAATAAATTCGTGACAAAGAGGGGACGATGGTTCAATGAAATTGATGACAAATAGCTGATAAAAGCTCGAATGTTTAACGACAAAATCATCAAATTCTTTCTTTGTCCCGTTGAATTCCAGCAAATTAGATGAGAGCATGATTTTCTATACCGAAAAAAGTAACAAAATATTGGCCAATAATTTGTACGTAAAAATGACATTCTAAAAATAGAAACAGAATAGTTTGATAATCTGCTTAATGAATCATTGATTATTATTCAATACAATTTCGATATGGAAATGACGGAAAATTCAAAAGTGCCACAGTTGTCCTCATTGTCAGTTATAATCATATATGAAAATAGTTCTAATATAATATTCAAACCTTATTTTTTTCGAGTATGATTCAAAGAATTTTCATAAATATGTTTAAATATAACAATTATAATAGATTTTACAGAGTAAGATATTTGTGAGATAAAAAGGACTTTTGAGACCATAACACAAATTGAATTCAATTTCCAAAGATTGAATATTTCCATCGATATTCTAATTTTACCGAATATTAATGTATTTAGTTGAGATAATCAAATCAGCTAAATTATTTTCAATATTTTGTTTTGAAAGATTATTTATAAGAATATTTATTGCACTTTCAGTAATATACTGTTTATCAAGTTGTGGCATGTTAATTCAAAAATTGAACTCCCTCAATAAGCATTCAAAAACTAAGATCATTTAAAATAATAGGAAATATATTTTAGAATACAATATCAAAATTTAGACGTTTTACAAAATCAAGAAAATTTGAGAATAAAAAACGTATTTTATCAAAAAACAATTACTAAAATCAAAGAAACGGCAATTTCACAAATGCATCTGTTACATTCAGATTTTTATAATACCCATAATTTTTTGAAAGTTTTCGTTTCAATATTTTTTTTACAACAATGGACTCAGTGATATCTCGAAGCCAATCTCTTTCCTCATCAACTACAATAAACAAAGATTTGATCGAGGGAACATATGGCTTTCTCGATACACTCTTTCCTATATACGAACAAATTTCTAAAATTATTCATACTCCAATACCTTTTAATTACCTTACACTCATCATCATTTGCATTCAAATCTTCGCTCAATCACTTTGGGCACGTAAAACTTTGCATTTGACAACAAATCGTGTAGATGATACAATTATTAGAAAAGTTTATGAATACTTTCTTCTCAATGATCCAACTGCTCACTACACCGTCAACAGGATAGGATTTTATGTTGTAATTGCAGTTTTTGCTGCGTCAATATTACTATTTTTCAGTGTATTAATCCAGTACAAGGTCACAATTTCATTTAACAAGCCTTTATTGTACATTTATCGATGCTATTTTGATGTTGTAGTTCCATGTTTCTTATTACCGACAATTGGATTTGCTGGCCAATTTTTATCAGGCACATTACACAAGGAATTATCATTTGTTTACATAGTCCTTGCATTTGTTGCTGGTATTATTGCTGTTGTTGAATTTTCAATTTATTATTTTCATTTTTCACTTTTAGCCAGCTCACCATATTTAGGCCGTGGACCATTTGCAACATTCAGAGGCAAATACTTCACTAATTTCATGCTTACTGCCTTTATTTTTGAATTCATAACTTATATCTTTGAGCTCTTCCCCAAATGGGCATCGATTATTGGTTGCTTTGCAGAAGCTGCCGTTTTCATTTATTTTGCAGTTATTGGAGCTGACCTTCCATACCTTGATTTCAAAGCAAACGCAATCTTCTCAGGAATCTTCACAACAATAGCAACTGTCAACATTATTCAAGGTATACAAGGAATATATTTCCTCGCGGACATAATATCTCTTATCGCTTTCCCAGTTGTTTTAATTGTCTCATCGATAATTTACTTTTTCGTTTATCGATCAACGAAATATAAAATAAAGAAGTTCCTTAACAACCTCCCAGAAGACAGAGAGAATATGTCAGCGATGAGTGAAGAATTTGACAACAATCGCATGGATTCTGATATGAATTACTATATAAAGCATGTTATGGTATCTTTAGAAAGTGTTAATGAAGTTTTTATCAACAATTTGATCTTTAAATACGGTTATGAAAGATATTCCGAACCAGAATTGAACAGAGTCCTTTTAATCTATGCTGCACAGATTCCTTCATTCAATAGAATCCTCAGTTTCGGATATTCCAACTTCTTTAGGTCCGTAAAGCTCACTTTTCTAAATCGTTTCCTGATTTACACAGTTCTTCGCTTAGTTACAATGCGACAGTCATCATCCAGCCAGCAATTCTCTCAGAGAGTCATAGAAGTTCGTCAACTCTCCAAGAGATGCTGTGATTTCGTCAGAGGATTTTTGATGCAAACTCCAACAAAAGTTTCATCATTCTACACGTTCTATAAAGAAGCCATTGCAGCCGAATACAGATGGACAGAGCTTATTAACCATTATCCCAACTCTTCAAAGGTATACGATGAATATGGCGACTTTTTGATCGAAGTTATGACTGATTTCCATGAATCCACAATTCAGAAGCATAAAACAACTTTGTTGGAAGACGGACATCGTCTCCACAAGGATCATGTCTTTATTAATTTTATTCATTGGTACCAACACTACCTAAAACGAGGAATTGTCAACATGCACGGTAAAATCATTGATCAAAGGAAGAAGGCAACCTCTAATTCAGGCACAAGTACCTCTTCCAAGTCCGGATCAAACGCATCTTCTTTGACATCTTTAACACAGCTCTTAGAAATCGCACCTGAAGAAGAAGAGTTCTATGCCAAAGCATTATTTGCACAGCACAAACTCAGATTGGCCTACCAGAGGGCAATTGAAGAAAGACAAAGTCCATTTGCAAAACCACTTAAGATTTGTGTATTTCTCATTTGCGTTTTCTGTATTGCAGTGATGATTGTTAGTGATACCATTGTTAACTCATTCTTCGAGACAAGAGCTTCATCAATGTCCAAAGTCATGTACATAAACAGAGCAAGATTCTTCCAATCATGCGCAAGATTTTCATCACTTTTGTATCTCGCAACTGAAAAAGGTTATTACACAATCGACGACAACGTTAAGAACAAAGCAGTGAAAGATAATGACCTTAAACCATATATATCTTTCACAAACGATTTCAGGAACCAGTCGTTGTATTATAACCAACAAAGTGAAGAATATTATAATTTGTTCATTTCCGAAATCATTAATTACGCAAATGCAGGACACAATGTTTATCATGTTGCAAGTCCATTCGTAACGCAATCCGTTGAATCATATTTCTGCACAAAAGATGCACAAATACTCAAGAACTCTTCATTAACAAATATACATACTTTGTTCAGTTACAACAACATTGCGAATGCAATTATGTATACAGTTAATGTCGATAACTGGCACAACAACAAGATTTTGTGCAACACAGTTACAAATATGCAAGGATTAGTTGAAGGATTAGACTTATTTAATGAAAATGAATTGAATTATGAGAATGAAGACACATTGGAGAATTCCCATAAGATAGAAATAATGGAATTATGTTTCCCATTGGCTTTGTTTGCTGTTGATTTCTTTTTGTTTATTATTCCAACAACTTGCTATTATTTCAACCTCAAGAGAATCTTAAAAGTTTTGCAGTCAATTCAACCAAAGATCAAAGAAGAATCGTGCAAGACTATTGGAAAATCAAACAATGATGACCAATCAGCAGTTCAGCCCCCTGAATCAATGATCTTCGTTTATGTTTATATCTGGGGAAATGTTTCTTTAGTTATTATCCCAATTTTCGCGTTCGTTGAATTCAATGAAGCAAAAAGTGTCAATAAAAAGTTCGAGAGTTTAATTGGCTGGATGAACTTAGGTGGTGCCAGATGCCCATTGCTTAGTGAAGCCATGGAACATCTCACACTTGCTGCTTTGACAAAATCAGGCGCATTAACTTTCACAGACAAACACGAGCAACTTGAATTGGCAGAAAGTTTAGTTGGTGAAGCAATGCATTTCCATGAAGTTGTTTCAGAAGGAACAGACATCACAGAGCCATGCTATGGATTTGATTCGAAACTTGATGAACTTCACTACGAGAATATCTGTATTGCTGATCAAGAATCAACAGAAATACATGAAAGATATCGCTGTGCAAGTTTGTCTCAAAGTTTCGGTTTCGTCAAATCAATTTTAAATGATATTGTTGTAAGATTTGATGACATCGAAAGCTTAGATGATCCAATCTACACAGAAATCTTCCATCTTGCAAATACACACATGTTCAGGAAGATCGTTGCCGTCACAGAAAGATTGGATTATTTAGGTCAAGAATACAAACGGAAATTCGAATTGTTGGCAATAATTATAACAATCATTGGCATTGTTGTTAGTATTTTCCTGCTGATGAGTCATATGTTCATGGCTTATCAATTGGATCATATGTTTGAGGCATCAATGATGATCTTTAGACGTATTCCTCCTTTATTGATCAATCAGAATCATGAACTGATGGATTTCTTGTTGAATAGACAAAGAAAAGGATCAAATGAAACAATGACATTCTCACAGAACATCATCTTCTCATCACAGAACGGTGTTTTACTTGTAAACAAAGCAGGAATTGTTGAAAATGTTAATGATAGTGTCATTGACATTCTAGGTTATGTTCCTGACCAAATTTTGGGTCAACAAGCTGTTATCATTTTCTCCGAGAAAGATGGTCCGAAAATCAATCAACAATTGCAATTGATGCATGATGGTGAAGCCAAAGATGTCTTCGATGATCACTTCGAGTGCATCACTCATGACAACACAACGAAACAATGCCACGTAACAATTTTGGCATTGGCTTCTCAAGGACAAGGAGAAATAAACACTTATGTCTTCTTCATTGAAGATGAAAGTCAAATTCTCCATAAACAAGAGCAGGCTGAATTGGCAAAGAAGAAATCAGAAGAGCTCTTGTTCCAGATCCTCCCAAGAGATATCGTGTTCAAGCTCAACCAGGGTGAAAAGGATATCACATTCACTGTTCCTTCAGCAACAATCATGTTCATTGATATCGTCAGATTTTCAGATTATGCTGCAAACTTAACACCACAACAAATCATGGGTAACTTGTCATTGATTTTCGACACGTTTGACAAACATTTGACTGATTATCCTTTGATCACAAAGATCAAGTTAATCGGTGATGTTTACATGTGCGCAGCTGGCTTGTTCACTCCAGATGGACAGCTACAAGATCATGCCCAACAAATGTTAAGATTTGCAATTGATTGTTTGGCAGAAATCGAAAATATCAATGTAGCTTTGGAATCAATGCTTTCCGTGAGAGTTGGCGTGAACACAGGCGGCCCACTGATTGGTGGTATCTTGGGAACTGATAAACCTGTCTTCGATATCATCGGAGATCCAATTAACGTAGCTGCAAGATTGCAATCAACAGATATTCCAGGAAAAGTTCAAATTCCACAATCCGTTTATGATTTGGTCCACGCAATGGAGTTCAACATCGAAAAGAGAGGTGAAGTTTACTTGAAAGGTAAAGGAAACGTTACAACCTACTTAGTTTCACCTGTCAACATATTCAACATGGCATCTAATAATATTACGTCATCAATGTGTTTGATGACATTCAAATAAGTATTTTTGTATTATATTTTTTAAAAGAGATTTTATTTTATATGTAATTAAACTAAAACCATATTTTTAACAAAAAATCTGAATGTAAATTTCGAATTTTCATGGTTTAGTAAGTAAACTAATAGTATTTTCCAATATAGTTTTCGTAGGCATATCAAATGGATCCTTGTTGGGTTCATTTAAATAGTTACTAAAACAAAATTTTTCGAATTATTTGGTAAAATGAAATATATTTAGTAATAATACGTCTGAATATAGTTATCATTTTGAAATACTTTAGGTAAGGAATACGTTCTTTATTCTGGAGTTCAAATTCCGATGAGAAATGAAGAATAAAAAATTTACGTACAAAACGTGACAAAATTTACATTTAATTTTGAGGACCTTCTCCGATCATTAGAAAAACAAAAATTTTTCTTGTTGAATGGACCCAAGAGTTTTTGAGGATCTAAATGGTATTCGCATTTCTACATATGCCTTACCAACAAATCAGCAAGACTGTGCTTCAATGGCAGTTCCATCTGGCTGTATTTATACTCCTTTGAAAAAAATCGAAGGAAGAGATATGGACATTTTAAATTACCCTCCAGTTGAATGCCCGAACTGTCATAGCATTCTCAACCCATATGCAGTTGTTGATTATCAAAAGCATACATGGGTATGCCCTCTTTGCAATAGCTTAAATCCACTTCCACAGGCTTATCATGCAATGACAGAAACACAGCAAGCAGCAGAAATTATTAAAGACTATACAACAGTTGAATATCTTCTTAGAGATAACATGCCAGAAAGGCCAATTTTCGTTTTTGTTGTTGATTTATGCTCTGTCAATAAAGAGCACGATTATCTTAAGAATATCCTTCTCCAAACAATTAGCTCTCTTCCTTCAAATGCTCTTGTCGGTTTAATCACTTTCGGAACAAATGTCTATCTTAAAGAATTAATTTACAGCGAATGCCCACGCGATTTCGTATTTAATGGCAAAAAGACATATACACATCAACAATTACAGAGTTATTTAAGTTATTATCCAAAACCAGGCGAAAATTCAAACAATGTTATTATTCCAATCGACCAAGCAGAACAAATGCTTACAAATCTCATTGACTCACTCGAGCACGATCCATTCCCAGTACAAAAAGGCGATAGACCTTCACGTAGCACTGGAGCTGCACTTCATCTCGCCGTCAACCTCATAAAAGCCATTTATCCAACATGCGGCGGTCATGTCTTACTCTTTACATCAGGTCCTGTCACTCGCGGACCAGGCGCAATCGCTTCATCAAAGAGAGTCGATTTAATTCGTCAGCACCGCGATATAGAGCTTGGCAAAGCACAGTTCACAGAGCCTGCCAAAGAGTTCTTCAACAAATTAGGCGCAGAAGCCAGCGCAGAAAATGTTGTAATCGATATCATCGCAGCTTCATTCGAAGAAGCAGGTATTCATGAAATGTGCGGTGCTTGCCTTTCGACGGGCGGCTTCTTGCTCTCATGCGAAACTTGGAATGACGAAACAATTTCTCAATCGCTTATTAAGTTCCTTTCCCAGCCATTTATCGAGTCATCCGGTCTCAACGGTACTCTACAGGTCGCCTGCTCTAAGGGACTTGCTATAAGAGGTGTTGTTGGCCCATGCCTTTCAAACAAAGTCGTAAATCCATCAGTTTCTCAAAATGTTGTTGGAGAAGGAGGCTCAGTTCAATGGCATGTTGCAGGTATTCTTCCTAATACAACATTCGCCATCTTCTTCGAAACAGCAAATCCAAAGTCGAATCCTGTTCCTGCAAATTCTTCAGGATTTATTCAATTGACTCTCAAATTCCGATCACTTTACAATGGCTCTGAAAAATTGAGAGTCTCTACATTCCCGGTGAACTTCCTCGACTGGGGATCACAGAAAGAGCAGATTGCCGCATGCATTGACCAGCAAGCCGCCGCAGCAATCATCGCAAAGAACTGCGTATGGCGCACATTGAGAGAACCACTCTCAGATACAGTCAAATTCCTTGACCAAACAATTATCAACACATGCCGCGTTTTGGGCTCCTACCAGAGAGGTAAGAAAGATTCACTATCACTTCCAGCAAGCATCATTGATCTTCCTCAGTTTATGTACCACTTCAGAAGATCATCTTTCATGCAAACATTCAACGCCAGCCCAGATAGCACAGCAAGCGTCAGAATGGCAATGCTTGTTGAAGATACAACAAACTGCTTGTTAATGATGCAGCCAATGTTGAAATCTTTCTCAATCACTTCTTTAGAGCCTACTTACGTTCCACTCGAAATGAATTCACTCAAGAAAGAAACATCTCTCTTCTTGGATACTTATTTCAGAGCATTAGTTTGGTATGGAAACGATGTCGCTGCTTACGGACACCAGGGATTACAGAATGATTCTCGCTATGCAAATATTAAGAACTCTATCGAAGGACCATTGGCTGAGGCCCAAGAAGTTGTTAAAATGAGATTCCCAGCTCCTCAACTTGTTACTTGCGAACAGGATTCTTCTCTTGCAAGATATTTAGTTGCAAGATGCAATCCAATGATGATTGACCGCAATATGGCTCCTGGACAATCATCACAAGATGAGCATCTCGGATCTGATGAACCAAGTTACGATGCTTTCTTCACAAAACTCAAAGCAATTATTGTCAAATAAAAATTTAATATTATTATTTAAAATTACTTATAGTTTTTTCGAATTATTGTATCGACAAAATTTAATTTTTCTCTGGATCATATCGAGAATAGAAATATTACATTTAATTATCGACAAGGTTTTAAATGATTCTTATTTCAAGAGATAAATTGGTATAATTGAATAGCATTTGATTCATTAAAGCAGATGGAAAACTATTGATTAGATATTTCAACAATAAAGATGCCATAGATCGTTTAGTCATCAGCTGAATATCGACCATGTTGAAAAGTAGGAATCAATTACATTTTGAACGGAGTGATTTTAATCTAGAAGCTTCGTTTATTAATTAAAAGAATCCGGGTTGTTTACAAAGGTAAATCGATAAGATCATTTTATGACTGTTTTGTACTGGAGAAAAATTGAAAAATTATTTAGAAGCAACACACAAGCAAAATTGCTGATTTGAAATATTTATTTTAAATGGATTAATTTTAAGGTCTATCCCATAAGGATTACATCAAAATAACGAGAATTGTTATCCCTGATTACGAGATTTGAAATATCTTTGAAAAATTGAAAGGCAAACAAGGAGAACAAAGACACCATTTTGGCTATTCCTCGAAAAATACATCATAAACTTAAAATGAGAAATCGACCGATAGAGAAACTGACAAAATAAATTATTTGAGAACGATAAATGGTTTTTGAAATGTTTGGATAAATTGACAATTTATGGATTTTGGGATTATTAATGACAAGTTCCAATTCAAAAATTGAGAAATCGAAAACGATGAAAACAATCAAATTCAATGTATACGATGGTTAGGCCATTCAATTGACTTCACCTTCAATGTCTGCTCTTGACGGCTACGTTCAGGAACTCGAGAAGCTCGATGGCAAGATCTGCACCTATGGCAAGGACTGGCTCCGCACATGGGATATGAACGACGAAACAATCAGATCCACACTCAACTGCTCATGGGCACTTGAGGAACTCATCAAGAACAACGTTTCTTGCAAGATTTTCAAGTCCGGCCTTGGCGCTTCCATCTTCCGTGATAACTCAACACGTACACGCTTCTCCTTCGCCTCTGCCACATCAATGCTCGGCCTTTCCCTTTCCGATCTCGATGAAGGCAAGTCCCAGATCTCCCACGGTGAAACAGTTCGCGAAACAGCTACAATGATCTCATTCTTCACAGAGGCCATCGGTATCCGTGATGACCTTTACCTTGGCGCTGGCCACAAGTACATGCTCGAAGTTGGCGAGTCCATCACAGAATCCGCTGAAAAGAAGGTTCTCTTCAAGCGCCCATGCATCATCAACCTTCAGTGCGATGAAGATCACCCAACACAGGCTATGGCTGATCTTTCCCACCTCGTTAAGGTCTTCGGATCCCTCGAGGCTCTCCGCGGCAAGAAGATTGTCATGTCCTGGGCTTATTCTCCATCATATGGCAAGCCACTTTCCGTCCCACAAGGCTTCATCGCCCTTCTTTCCCGCTTCGGCACAAACCTTGTCCTCGCTCACCCAGAGGGCTACGATCTCATCCCAGAAATCATCGAAATCACAAAGAAGAACGCTGAGAAGGCTGGCGGCTCATTCGAAATCTCACACAACATGAGAGAGGCTTTCAAGGGCGCTGATGTCGTCTATCCAAAGTCCTGGGCTCCAATGTGGATTTCCGAGAAGCGTACACAGCAGCTTAAGAAGAAGGACTATGATGGCCTTAAGGCAACAGAGAAGGAATGCCTCGAACTCAACAAGAAGTACATCGACTGGCAATGCGATGACGAGATGATGGCTACAACAAAGGACGGCAAGGCCCTCTACATGCACTGCCTTCCAGCAGATATCTCTGGACTCTCATGCGAACGCGGTGAAATCACAAACGAGTGCTTCCAGAAGAACCGCCTTGATACATACTTCGAGGCCTCCCACAAGCCATTCATAATCGCTTCCATGATCATGCACTGCAAGTGCAAGTCTGTTGCTGGTGCTATCAAGGGCATCATTGCTCGCAATGAGAAGAACCAGGAATTCTAAAGGCTTTTTATAGTTTTATATATTTATAATAAGGATTTCGTTTTGCTAAAATTGTCACTTTTATAGCATATTTGTTTTTGGATGTTTTGCGAAACCAAAAAAAAACTATGATATACAATGTGTGTGTAAAGAAAATACTTTATTTACTAGTTAAAAAATCATTTGGTATTGATCAAGTTATTTTTTCTGGATAAGATATTATATGGATAATTGGATAGAAAATACAATTATATAATCTTGTACCTGGTTTAATTAAGCTAATTGTCATCAGAAACTTGTAATTTTTATGAATTTCAGATTTTCTTTTCATTACTGCTTTTCTTAATAGGTCAAGTTCTTATTTACGTTATAAAGTATGATATTTACAAATATCAAGTTATCATGTTTTTTGAGAAATTATGAGAAACAAACAAAAATGAAAAAGATAGGAATAGCAATGAATAGTGATGTGGGTATAGAAAATGTAAGAGATATGAATGCAAAGCAATCAGTATTTAGGATATTGACCATAGATTTCGAAAAAAAATGCTGCATATTGAGCGAAAACTATGATTATATTATAAGGCTGTCATTTAAAGCATAATGAAACTATTCCCTTTTCATTTTAATCGAATAAGATAGTAAAGATTTTTGAATTAGCTAGAAACTGATGAGATGTTTTCACAAATCAGATTTTTAATCTCTATAATGCATAATTCACTCAATATCTCAATTTTGATATTGCGAGATATTTTTGCTATCGGTTTCGCAATTTTGACACAATAGCAAGAGGGTTCTATATGCATTATTATCAACGTAGAATCTGAATATCATATCAGAAAATGTCGCAAATCTGACATTTACCCGACCAAATAGCAAAAATAATTGAATACTTTTCGCAAAAACTTTAAAAATCGATAAAAATATGAAATATAGATATTAAAGAGACTTTTTATATAATATTCATAAAGATTTTCCAAAAATATGATACCGCAAAATTAAAAAAGTGACGTCTTGAGTGGAGTCAAAGGTCGAAATTGCTAGCTAAATGTTTTTTTAGCGAAATTGCGTATTGTACGTTTTTTTCGCAAAACGAAACCCTTATTTATAATAATAAACTTAGGTTCTCTAACCTTGTATTTCTTGTATGAAAATTATGCTTTTCTTATAATAATTCGTAATCTATGAAATTGTTCCTAATTATTTAACTTTTCAAAAGAAACATAGCATGGCTTAAGCTATATTTTAAATATAAATCGTAAAACGTTGGAAGTAATTTTGTCGCTTGAAAATATTCAATGAGTTTTATCAATATTTCTATTGAAAATCTAAACTCCTGAAGTTTTTAAATCAAAACCTAATATACATGGTGCATTATATAATAGGAATCCAATAAACCAATAATCATTTAATTTAAACAAAGAGGGTCTTGAAATTTTGAGTTTTTGATTTATGACAAAAATTAAAAAATGGTAGAAATGAATCTTATATCAGACATATTGGAAATTGTTATTGCAATTCCATTTATATGCTATTACATATATATTATGGCACTCACGCGCAAGTGGAAAGAGCTTGAATTTAACAGAATGTGGCGAACTCGATTGTTTCTCGCTTTATCCGCATTTTTATATACATTGATATACGCCGTCGCAAATGTTAGAATGCTCACAAAGTTATACGGTAAAAAAGTTGGTTCGCCAGTTTGTGCAGCTTATGGATGCGCTCATTCTGGTCTCTTTTTATCGATTTTTATAATTATCGTAACAATATTAATAAAATTAGCGACAAGTGTCGCAGCACTAGATTCAGGAACCCCAAACTCCCCAATTATCAAAAAAGCAGTATTGATATCTTTGATTACAGTTATTATTACAGCAGCAATAGTCATTGTCGATATATTTAAATTGGATCTCCCAGTATTTGAATCATATAACGAGTCAGAGAATACTTGTTTCAATTCAACTTTACAATCAACAGTGATATTTATACTAGTATTAGTTTGCTTTATTATCACGGTTAGAATTCGCGATGACTCTGATTACCTCGGATTAAATCGAAATCATAAAAGAATTGTCGGAAGATTTTCTCTTACATATATTGCCTTCTTTGTGGCCTCACTTGTATCCGAAGTTAGCCCTTGGATTGGTGGTTGGGCTAGAGTTGTCACTCAACTTTTAACTTCTGTTCTTAATCAGGTTAGTTTCATTATTTGTCTTAACTTTTTAGTTCAAAAGCCAATTAATGATGCCAAAGAAATACCGCTATATCGTGGTACAATTACAAAGCGTCACAATAAGTATAATGATAGCCATGAAGTTCAGCTTTTAGACGCTGAAAGCGCATAAGAAATAATTTTTTAATATTTTATTGTATTCTTTATTTATTTTCACTATCTGTTTTGAGTCATTTGATAATAAACTCAAGTAATTATAATTTATAGCCTTTGAACATCGATAATACTTTTATTTGTAATTTTATTATTTAAACATACCTTTATTAAAGAATTGAAATCTTTTTCATCACATTTTTTGAATTTTGATACAGTTTCGTTATATTCCGGGTCTTAGCTTTCTTGTACTAATTGTTTTAGTGTGATTAATTTATCATAACTAGAGAATACTTTCACCTTAATATTTTATTTCTTTATCAGAGATCATTTCAGAGTAAAATTTACTATCGGTGTACCATTCAATTACAATGCAGTCTGGTCATATTTAATAGTGGTGCGTCTAATTGATTTTCAGGTCAAAATAGTTATATTGGCATGTATTTACATCATTTGCTTTTTATGGTGCCAATAAACCCATAGACTAGTTTTTGTAGCTGAAAAACTTCATATTCGCAATCTTTTTTTCGGTGAGAATTGATACAATCGATTCAATACAATTCAAAAATTGATTTCGGTTTTAAAAATTTTCCATAAAAAGATCCAAGAACCAACTTACTTATAAAGAAATATAAAGGTTTGATCAAAAAATTTACGATCACATTCTCAGAAAAAAGTGGATTGGGATTCTTTCTCGGAATACACATTTAAATTAATTTTTTATCCTTGATTTTAATATTTACATCGATCACATGAAAAGTGACAAATTTGGCAGTTAAGTAAATTTTTTTGGATAAAAATACGGTATTCATTAATGCACGCGAAATCATTCATTTCTTTCAAGTTTTGATTTTGCAGCTTTGAAAAAGTTTTTATGACATTGAAAGATTCAGAGTAAAAAAATTATTATGTTCTTGTTCTTGTTTACAGTAGCCATTTCTGCAGTTGATTTTTACCCACATGCATATCCCAAGGTCACAGGACCTTTGTTTTCATATATCAAAACAATGCATTCACTGGCAACAAAGTTTAACGACAAAAAAATCGCCGGCTACACACTAAAACCTAATGTTAGTTTGTCAAAGATTGTAAACGATGTGTTTGACAATTTGTTAGACGAACCTATAAATGTCTCCGGATTAATTTTAAATTATACCACACCATTCCTTACAAATGTTACAACTGATTCCATGGGTGATCATGAAGGCAATCTAACATTTCCAGAAATTAAGCTTCAAGATTCTTTGGACGCGGCATTAAATTCTAATCTTGGAGGAAAAGACTCAGATGCAATGATTGGAGTTGTATTAGGGGGTGTCGCCTACGCGATATTTGGTATCGTGGTTGCACTTGCTTTGCTTGTTTTTTACATTTTCGATTCATTTCTCTGCTGTTGCTGTTGCAAAGCTCAAGAGTCTTCAAAAGCAAGCATTTTGACGTGCTTTTTCTTCCACATTGGTACAGTTCTTATGGTTATCTCTTTGATTTTCACTTTTCTTATTCTTCCAGCAGTTAACGACGTTTCACAGAAAGCACTTAATGCCAAAAATACATATTGTCATCTTAACGATGATTTATATAATGGAACGAGTAAAGCCATCGATGCTTTTCGTAACGCTTCAGATCCATTTGTTCAAGTTATTACAAGCCTTGGCCAAGGTTTTCAACAATCATTCGAAGATCTAATAGGTGCAGTACAAAGAGATGCAGAAGCAGTTTCTACTCTCGTGAAGTCGGATTATTATGAAGAAGACATATTTGCTCAATTTATTAATAATGCATCAGCACCTATTGCTATGCAAATTAAAAAAATTAATGATCTTTTGGAAGAAAACGGTCAATCAAATGAGAAAATCGATTTAACCCAAAATATCAAAGACGTCAGAGATCAGATTCAGTCTGCTTTAGATAACATTGACGAAATGGTCTCACCGCTCAAAGAATCCATGGATAATCTTTACGATTTTACGAAGAATTACAGTGACACAATAAAGGATGCTCTTGACTTAGAGGCAAAATTTGCTGACCAACTTAATTCTTTCCAAGACAACGCTAACTGTTCCGCTCTTGCAGACACAAATCCAAGTATGAACGCTAATTTAGACAAAATCCAAAAATACCAGAAGAAGATTAACCAGTATTCCATTATATTTATTGCAGTCATCGCGATCATCATTATTTTCACAGCAGTCATTTATTCTGGATTATTCACCGGCCACTCCAAATGTAGTCGCTGCTGCGCTTCAACTAATATGATATTCCCGATTCTATACACTATCATATTCCTTGTATTAGTTGTTGTAACTTCTCTGGTTGGATATGTCTCTTATGTCCTTACAGACGATTTCAACCAAACAACGGCTAATATTGGTACTGGAATAACAGGCCTCTTTACCGATAGATCTATAGGCTTCCCTGACATGAAAATCTCATTTTTGGTCAAGAATTATTCTCTCGAATTCAACGTAACTGGCTACAGCTTCACCTTCCCAGAGAATTGGGATCCAATTAAATCCATTATTGATAGCTTTGCCTACAAAAATTCTGAAGTTACTTCCAAAGGTTTGGGAACAGCCTTAGATATAAACGGAATTCTCCGGATGGAAGATCTACTTGCATACATCGCAGCATTCCCCGATAACGCTAATCATCAAGTCTTTCTTAATACCCAAAAAATCTTTACAAACGAAATTACCCCAAGAATCTCAGACTACATACCAGAGAATGGAACCAATATTAAGGATTTCAACTTTGAAGATGAATTTTATAAAGCATCTACAGCAACAATTACAGATCCTGCCAAACAGCAAGAATTAAAGGAAGATCTTAACACACTTAAGAATATGATTTACAGTCCAGATGGTCCTTACAATAAAACATACGTTGTCTTCAGATCAAGGATTCTTAGTACTTTTGCAAATGCATACACAGTTGATTTCGGCGTCAAAGATGGTAAATACGAACAATACGTACAAATACGACTTTATGATGCTTTAAGGTCCTTCCAGAATGGTGTTACAAGTCTATTTTCAAATCTCAAGACTGTTTTTGATCAAATTTCTGCATATTCCTTGGCAGGACCAACCTTGTATGTTGTTGAAGTAGCCGGCCGCGATCTTGGTACTCTTGGAAATGAAATTCCTATCGCTTTAATTTGTGCAACTATCGGATTCTTCTTCTACGCCTTATTTATTTGGATAAGGAGGAGAGGAATGTACACAATGCAAGAGTTCAGAGACAAGAACAACGAGAAGTACGGTCTCGGTGTTGCTAAAGATGAATATTCATCAGCAACAAGCGATTTCTCTGATAGTGTTTTCTACATGGGTAACAGGAAAACAAACGAAGATGGAGATAACAATGAAGGTGGCGAAAAGAAAGAAGGTTTCGGCGACGAACAGCCTGAAAACTTATCTACTTTCTGGCTTCACTAAGTTTATTATATAGATTTTTATAATTTTCATCATGAAGTAAATTATTTTAATTGTCTAGCGTTTGCTCTTTTTAATAATCTACTTGATTTCTTTGTTTGTTGTTATTTCATAAAAAAAAACATCATCGGAACAATTAAATCATCTTACATACATTCAAAAGACTTATATGATATGGACAGCTTCATTCAAATATAAAAAAAGGTAAATGATTTTTTCACAGTTCTCCCTTATTTTATCGTACTGAATATGGATTCCAAAAAGAATTGAATCATTCGATGCGTCTGTGCGCCAATACATCTTTGCAGGCACAATTTTAAAAATTTTATAGATTAATAATGTGAAATTTCAGATTTTACATATTGAATTAAAAATAAAATTTGAAAAGATCATGAATCCATTAATTTCTTTTTAATAATTGCGAAAATATAATTCGGATTCGAAAAATTAGTTTATTTTGAGCTCGCAAGCTAACAACTGCATTCTAAACGCAAAATATAGAAGTTTCATATACTACATAATGAAAATTGATTGAATATGCTACGAAAATAGTTTGAATATTCCATATTACTTGATGATTTTACATTTTATTGATAGCTATAGTAAATACAGTTTCGAAGCAATGTAAAAGGAATTCATCTGAAATATGATATGAAGAATTTGACACCGTCTGACAAATTGACAAAATGGAAGATATTACCTACGAGACTATAGTTTCGCGCAAGAAAAATAGGAAATATATCTTCATTCTGATAGCCCTAATCTTATCTTGCTTTATTGGTTATCTTCTCTATTTCTTATTCTCTAAAAAGATTCAAATTCCTGTCAACTACAAAGATCCATATCTTCCTCCACCAAGGAAATTTATGGTTAACTCAAGTTATTTACTACCAGCCTGGAATCAATTCGATAGAGGCACGTGCTGGGCCTTTTCTTCAATTTATCTTCTCGAATCTCAATACAAGCACAATGGAATCATGAAAGGTTTCTTGAATGATACTGAGTACGTTGGCTTCTCTCAGGATGCACTTGCGAAGTGGATGGTTGATAAATGCAAGAAATATACGAAAGCAGTGCCCTGCTTATCAGGTTTAAGGAGACGTGGACACGCTGATGGTGGATCCATCGAAGAATTTATTACATTCTACGAATACTTTGATGATTTCAAAACTTCAGTTCTTCCGATTTCTGCTTGCCCATACAACGAATTACCAAAGGATGAAATGAAGTGTCCTAAATACGATAAGGCAATGGCATCAAATCCTATCAAATTCAAGCTTAGTGGCGGAGAATTGGGAATTGGCATCGATAGAATCAAAGATTTACTCTACAAGTACAGATACCCTCTTTCATTCTCATTCCCCATGCCTGTGTCTCGATATTACTTCGAATGCGATCAAAATCCAATTATCAAAAATACTTCGATCTGTACAGAGCATTTACTCGAATGCCCACATGATAATACAAAGTACTGCTCATTCCTCGATTACCAGATCTCAAAACCAAACACAGCTGAAATGATAACTCATTATACAGATAATTTGGTTTACGGAGTTGGCCACGCCATGGTTCTCGTTGGTTACAATGATGACCTTGAAGAACCGCTCATGCTTAACATCACACGTCGCAAACCAACGAAAGGAGCCTTCATTTTACGAAATAGTTGGGGATCTCGCGGCCATTCCATCGAATACTTGTACGGACTGATTTCCCATGAACAAGAGCAGATGATTTGTCCAAATCCTGATGATGTTTCCAAATGGACTCCAGTCACAAAATCTTGTTTGGAAAAAACAGGCGATGGAACTAAATGTTCTACAGATATAACACGCCATTTGGGTGGTAGAACATTTACGGGAGGTTCCCTGTTGAAATGCATCAACAAAACCCATTGTTCGGAAGGAGAATATTATTATCTTTTAAGAAATGGAAATTCAAAGTCTCCTGTTATCAAATTCCTTGATTCTGGTGTACCATGCGTTTATATCATCAACGCACGGACACAAGAAGTCAAATTAGTTGATACAATTCCAATTGAGCACTTGTACTACGCAATGAGACTGGTTGATCCGCCAAGTAACTCTGAAAACCACTGTGGATACGTCGGATACTCATACAACTCAATTTCTACGATTGAACAAGGATTATCTGTCAGAACTCCAACATGGAGAGTTTTCCAAGTCAAAGCTGACTTCGAAGACTCAAGTTATGATAAGTCAGGTGCTTCTGGTGACTATTCTTTCGTTAGATCTTCAACAAAGTCACATTCAATATTCAAACCATCAGATCCACTTGAAGACATCGGCCTGTAGTTGTGATATTCTTTCTTGTGTAATAAAATTTGTGTTTTATCTTGATTTATCAATGATTTTTTTTAAATTTAATTTATTCTTTTATTAAGATGCTACATAGAAATGATTGACAGAAAAATGCCAAATATTCCCCATGACTTCCTATTTTCAAGATCATGTTTATCATTATTTAATGAAATTCTCTCTATATAAACGAATGTCCTCTTAGTGTTGCGATCAATGCTAATTCACCAGAAATTGTCCAATTCCTTGTCGAGCATGGTGCTAATGTTAACATGAAACTCATTCTCTTACTCTTCATATTTATCATTGCTTTATAAAATTCTTTTTCATTTCATATTTGTCATTGTTTTATACTATACTCTTTCTTTTCATATTTATCAATGTTTTATGCAATTCTCTTTCTTTTCATCTTTATCAATAATTAATGAAATTCTCTTTCTTTTCATAATGATTATTGTTTTATTGGATTCTCTTTCATTTCATATTTATTATGGTTTTAAAAAATTCTCTTTCTTTTCATATTTATTATTGCATTATGAAATCATCTTTCTCTTCATATTTATCATTGTTTTATGACATTCTCTTTCTCTTCATATTTGTCGTTTTTTTATGCAATACTCTTTCTTTTCATATTTATTATTGTTTTATTACATTCTCATTCTCTTCATATTTATCAATGTTTTATAAAATTCTCTTTTTCTTTATATTTATTATTGTTTTATGACGTTCTTTTTGTTTTCAAATTTATCCATATTTAATGGAATTCTCTTTCTTTTCATATTTATCATTGCTTTATGACATTCTAATTCCTTTCATATATATCATTGTTTTATTGCATTCTCTTTCTTTTCATATTTATCATTGCTTTATATAATTTTCATTTTCTTCATATTTATCAATGTTTTATATAATTCCAATTCTCTTCATATTTATTATTGTTTTATGACATTCTCTTTCTCTTCATATTTGCCATTGTTTTATGATATTCCCATTCTTTTCATATTTATCAATGTTTTATAAAATTCTCTTTCTTGTCATATTAGTCATCGTTTTATGAAATTCTCTTTCATTTCATATTTATCATTATTTTAAAAAATTCTCTTTCTTTTCATATTAGTCATTATTTTATTTAATTCCTTCGATATTAATGAATGTCCTCTTAGTATTGCCACCAAAATTAATGCAACAAAAATTATCAAATTCTTAGTTAAACATGGCGCTAAAGATGTCTCTGGATTCATTTCCTATTAGCATTGTTCTATATCGAAAAAATATAGTAACTTTTGCATTATTTAAGAATAAACATCCCATAGTAATTTAATTTTAATTCACTATATATATTTATTAACTCGGATTTAAGGCCTAACTTACGCCCATCTGACCTTAATTCAAATTTTTTACAACTGGCATGTAGCATAATTGAAAATTAACCTTAAACATCTGAATTGAAAACCATATCATTGGCTACATATTTCGGGATCGACTGGCTTCTCATTATACTGTTCTTCCACTTTCTGAGGCGGTATCTCGACATTCTCTATGCCTTCTGATTCGTGGTTCGAGTACTGGGAGTGAGACTTGTTTAATTTGATGCAGAAATAATATATAGTTACTAAAATGATAAAACAGTTTATTATATTATATATTATAAAACAAATAAAATAATATCTTATAAAGTCATTTACAACAGATCAACATCTGGATCTATTTGAAATTCACTATTAGAAATATCCGAATTTGATTTTTGTGAATCAGATTTGACGATGAAATAGTCAATTATACATTTTGCGTCATCTACCTTTAATAATGCGTGAACAACATCATCGGGTATAGCTGTCTGCAAGCTTGGCATGAGAAGTGATGTCTTTATAATTGACAAAGCGAAAAATTCCGGATCTCCTTTTCCGAAATCTTGGTAAATTATGTCCATGCTTTCATTGATAACTCTTGTGAATCTCTTCATCCAATCTCCTGTACACACACATACAAATGACAAAATAAACTGACTCAATCCAACACAAACAGTCATTGATGTCTCGTATTCATTGATTGACTTCAAACCAATTTCTATTGCTTTGTCAATCATTTTTTCATCTCCATTTACAAGAAGACACAAAACAAAGGCAACAGAACCAAAAAGACTTGATGCATCATCAGGAACATATGCGTGCGCAGTCTTCCAAACAACCTTTTCAATAAGGAAACTACAGAACACGTCAAAACCGAATAAATCACTCCATGCCGACCAAATTGTTAAAATGTCATTAAATTCATCTTGTAAATTGTCATCGTGAGAAATCATGTTCAATTGGTCGATGAGCATTGGAGTAATATCGTTGATAACTTCCGGCCTGTTCTGCATGATAGTGTCATAATCAACGCGTTTCCAAACTAATTGCCGTTTTGTTTGCAAACCGTTTTTTGTCAAAATTTGTCTAAACAAAATGTCAACACAAGGGAAATGCGGAAGCTTCTTCTGTCTGAGGAGGTCAATGATGGGACGTGGATCGTCAACATCAAGGGCTTTGATAAGTATCAATATATAGTTAGGTGAAGTGACGTCATTTAAAGTCAATTCAAATTTTGAATTTTCATTCAATTTTTTCATGAATTTGACCAAAGTGTTAAATCGGTAGTTCTTATCCAAGACTATATAGTTGGGGTGTTCGTGTGGATGCAGGAATTGCGTTAGGAAATGTTTCATGTTCTCAGAATCTTGGCCTTGAATGAAAACTTCGATTTCTTGTCTTAAATTTTTGTTTCCTGTTCCCCAAGCTGTTCTTATCAATGAAAGACCGAAATAAAGGTACATCTCGAAGTCTTCAACAGGATCTCTATCAATCATTGACAAAGATAAGTTAAGAACTGTTTGAAGAAACGTGAAAAATTTGTGTTGTCTGATCATTAAATTTAAAAAGTCGTCAAAGTGGTTCAAAACACTTATAATGAAGGATTTGAAGTCAGTATCGTATTTTCTGACGATTCCAGACACATGGTCAACGATTTCACTTGAAAATGAAGGATTTTTCAAAGTATATTCAATTAAATCAGAATCATTGATGGATATTTCATTATTAATGAGGATACTTGATAAAGTAGAGTAGTCTGTTGATTGGTTGAGGTAGTCGCAGTTCTCTCTGTTTTCACTGAGAAATTCTGATTCATCATGACTTAAATTTTGTAGTTTGGAGAGTAATTCTGGCAGATATACATCAGAATATCTATCTACTGAAAGTTTTTCTGTATCTCCACCAGTGAGTTTTACGTAAACTCTGACAAGTAAATTTGTAACTAAAAAAGCTGAATGAAGAGAAGGATTTGTAAGATAATTAGTAACTGCATGAAGATATAAATGATAAAATGTTGGTAATTCGAGGAATGATAAACAAGTTGGGTCAGGAGAATCGAGAATTATGTTGGAAAGAGTCATTAGAGTAAGATCATGACGAGAAAACAATACTGCTTTTGTTATCTTAGGTGAAAATAGTGCTCTACGTAATAAGTTCATTGGAAAAGGAATAGAAGATTGTACATTTGGATTTAAGATGACGTTTTTAGCTCTATGTGATATTTCTTCGAATTCAGTAGGGAAATACATGCGTGATGAGGCTATTAAAATGCCAAATTTGGAAGTTTCTGTAAGTTTATCAATTATCTCTAAAGATTGCGATTGATCTCCAGTTTCTAAGCATAGAGAAAGCGCGTTTAAGGCACATTTAGCTGCATTTTCTGATCCAACATCAAGGTGGTTGAATAAAATTTGACCTTTGTATTTTAGTAATGATATGAGGCCAGATTTATCATAATCTGAGATATTACAGAACACTTCTTCACATACGCTTGGTTTATGAAGAAGTTTCTCAAGATAATCTAAAAATAACGTGCAAGGTTGAAAATCCGATCCACAAATGCTTAATAAGTGTTTGGAAAATTCAATTTCTTGCTGTTCTGGAATTAGACTAATAAATTGTTCTGGAGTTATCCGCTTGTTCCAGCATTCGCGCAACAACTCCATTTTTATTTTGGGGTGAGATTTTCTAATTCAGGTACCATAATCATTTTTTTAGTGATAAATCATTATCACAAGCAAAATTCATTCATCTGTTGAACAAAAACCGAAAACAAAGCATACGTAGAGATCCGATGAGACTAATTTACGTAGCAAACTAAAAATGAAATACACTTTTATTTAATTCATACAAAAATCAGTGAATAATAAAAATTTCATTCAAAATATGCTTGGTTTCTTTTCTTGTGTGACTTCAATTGCTCACACAAATGTATAACGACATTTGAATCAAATGATTATTCAAGATCCAATGTCTAGCAACAAATTTATTTTAGAGAAATTGAAAGAAATAATAATCTTTCCAATATAATTAAATATTACAAATCAAGTGATTCTTATAACACAAAAATATAAAATTGACATTATAGAAATATTTTATTTATAAGAAAGGAATCATATCATCAAATCTTGCGAGCAACTTATGAGTATCCTCTAACTCAAGCTGAACTTTCTTTCTTCTGTAGAAGATTGGGCAATCTCTTGAGCTGCAGATGTTTTCGTTTGTCAATGAGTTCTGGCAGCGTTGGCAGTAAGTCCACAACTTAGAGAATTCTTCTTCTGTATAGCGAATCAAGTTCATCTTCTCCTGGTAAACTTCTCTGATTCTTGAGTCGCATTGGCTGCATGTTGGCTTCTTTCCATCAGCAACTGCTGCACGTCCACAGACACACTTCTTCGACACTTTGACGAAAGCGAAAAGAGAACCTTTCTTAGCCTTTTCAGACTCATCAATTCTCATTGGTGTCTTTCTCTTATCCAAAGTGTGTTTTCCTTCAAGAAGTCCTTTGACTTTCTCTTCACCGATGATTGGACCGAACAATCTGTTCAATGGACCAGAGAGCTGGTTCTCCAAGTAGTACTTTGTGTCAATAGGAATGGAATGCTCCAGCGCCCAAATTGGATCTTCACTCTTTTCGTATCCTTTCGCTCCATTTCCGACATCGCACATGACGAATGGAATTCTGTCACCCATTCTTGGTGCTGAACCTGGATCTCTCTTCATCATTCTGTCTGCAAGTTCGACGTGAGCTTGTTTGCCTTTGTATTGGTCAGCTTTCTTAGACAAACCCTTTGAAATGACAAGGAAAGATAAATCAATGTGATCTGAAACTAAATCACTGACAATCTTCTTGACAAAGACTTTTGCAGATCCTGGATCTTCTTTAACCAGAAGCAATGTCAAAACCTTTTGGACTAAGCCTTGAACCAATCTACAGTTATCACGACGAACTGCTTCGATACCTTTTGCATCAATTTTGTCGTATTTGATGTGGTTCGTCCAAAGAAGACCTGCATAGTGCTTCTTAGAAATAAGAAGATATGGCTTATAGGCTTTTTCGAAATCAATGTGAATTGGCGGTGGGAAGTGATCTGACACATAATTGGCCGCTTCTTTTCCACGTTTAATTGCTTCTTCCAATGTGATATTTCCGAAATTAACCATGACAGAGTCTGTATCGCCGTAAATGACGTGTGCATCATCAGAATATCCGTTCTGCTTGTTGTACTTGTTCTCGACAAGTTCCTTAGTCATTTCAATCATGGAACGACCGTAAGCAGTGACAGATTCTGAAATTTGCAAACAAGGAAGTTTGCCAACTGTTGCACCAGTGAAACCGTAAACGGAGTTAGCGGAGATCTTAAGGGCGAGCTGTCTCTTATCGAACACTTTCTTCTGCATTGGATCTGTTGCTTCTTCCATGAGTTTCTTCGTTGCTTTTCTTGCTGCGAGCAATTCTTTGAGAATTTCAGGGAGAACGCCAGGAAATTCATCATGTTTCGCGAAGAAACAATGGTTTGGAGATTTTTCATATTGTACATTTGGATCCGGTTTGGTCATAAGTGTTGAATAACAGATATTGTGGCCAATCATAATTGATGGATACAGAGAGTTGAAATCGAGTGTTGGAATTGGTGTTGTATAGTAGCCTGTTGATGGCTCAATGACTGTAGCACCTTGGTATTGGTCATCTGACTTCTGTGAAGTGAGAGCAGGAATTATAAGATTTCTTCTGACAGATTTGTAGAGAATCTGTGAGAAAACACGGATTTGCTGACCTCTGTTGAGAACGTAGTTCACTGGTACATGGCAAACACGTGATAATTCAATGGTTGTAAGAACAGATAACAATTTGTTCATTAATTGCAAAGGAAGATAAGCATCCTTGACACAATAAATGGCCAATCTGTGTCTATCTGTGTCTGAACCATTCTGGAGCTTGCTGATCATTGAATAATGGACATCTTCTTTCTGATCACCAATGAATTGAGCGGAAACAGCGTTAAGAGAGTAAGAACGAAGCTTGAAATCGTTCTTAATAGCAATCATCATATCATATTGGATTCTACCATTGATATCTACATCTTTTGTTTCTCTGTAACCTAATTGTTTTGTGCCTTTTGTGGTTTCCTTGCATGTACTGAACTCTTTGACGTAGCGGCCAAGTTCGCAGAACTCGTTGGCTTTGATGGCAATGGAACGTTCAACTAAATATGGAATATCGAAACCGCAAATGTTATATCCAGTAATAATTTCAGGGTCAACCCATTGAATGAAGCGCTGGAAGTTGATGAGAAGGTCCTTTTCGTTCTCAAACTGGAAAAGAGCGCTACCGACAATGGGTGTACATGTATTTAAGATAAATGCAGCGGAAAACCTGGAATGTTCTTCACCTTGGACGGCCACATAGCAGCAGATTTGAATGACAGGATCGTTGTCTGCTGTTGGGAAGTTCTCTGGAGAACCACCGACTTCGATATCGAAAGATAAGATTCTCATTGGAGGAATCTTCATGTATTCACATTCTGTACCGAGAGGAATGATACTGTTGTAGTTGCAATCGATTTCGAATTGGTTGATTGAACGTCTGTCGTTAACTCTTCTGATATCGTAGTTTTGTGCTTCAAGTTTGAGCCAAGAGCAGCCAGTAATACCAACATCATCCATATAACGGATAATGAAGTCGACATTTGATTCAAATGTTTGGAATGAATAGCTTGGACTGCATGAAAGTTGGATTTGATTAGATTCAAGAACACGGCGGCAAGATGCGACGTGCTTTGGTAATGTTGTGCAAACCTTAACATATCTCGATTTGGCTTCCTTTGTGAAACCATAGATATTTCTCTTCTCAACAAATTCGCAACTGTAAACAACTAAATTTCCTTTGTTGAATGGAGAAAGTGCGCTGTTTAACTTGTTTTTGAGCTCTTCGAGTCCTTCTGCAGTAAAGTTATATGGAATACTTGTATAGAAATAAGGAATAACGCCATGAACATGGCAAAGGATAGAATGTCCTTCGTTATCACAACCATGGATATCAACAACGGCAACTTCACCTTCTTTTCTTGTATCATATTTAAAATTCGGAGTGCTTTGAATACGATAATCAAGATCTATAAGACAAAAATCAAGACCTGGTTTACCCACGATTTGTGGACGCTTCCAGCTATCTGGGAAAACTGGAGGTGGGTCATTTGATCTCATATAATAAGTAGGTAGGGAAGAAACACTCATTTTTCCTGAATTTCCAAACGTATGCAAAAAAATTGTTATCTCAATAAATGAAGAATTATTATTGTACAACTGGTCTAAAAATAAAAACATCAAAATGAAATCGAATTACTCAAAATTTTTGGTATTTTTTGATTTCACATCTTTATTTTGATTAGTTATAGATGCGATAATATATGATGAAAGCTATAGAAGCGATTTAAAAGAATAATGGACAAAAAGAATATTTTTTATAAAATTCATATTGGAGATTCAATGATTTCTAAGAACATTATAGCGAACTTTTTCATTAATATGGTAACTTAAGAACAATGCATTGAATGCCATACATTGAACTCTTTGATGCACGTTTATAAATAATATTTATTTTAGTAAATGAGAATTAAAATAAGCATTTTAGAATTTACTTTAATAAGTATATTAATATCGCAAACTGATATTGAAGTAAACTGTATTTTTAATGAACAGAGCGTGTACCTCCTTCAATGATATCAATAAACTGTGCCTCTGAAATGCGGCCAGTTCCATCTGTATCAAAAGCATCGAACATCTCACGACATTCTTCATCTGTATATTCTAATCCAGTTTCTTTAACAATAGTCTTTAAGTCATCAAGATAGATATATCCGGCCTTTTCTGTACGCTGGAACATCTTGAATATACGTCTAATTTCATCAATTTCATCGCGTGTTTGCATCTTGTATAGAATAACTTTCTCAAATGCCTTTCCATCAAGATAACCAAGACCATTTGGATCGTTTTCTGCCATTAACTGATTGATTTCTTCAGTTGTAATATCAAAGCCCATTGCACGAAGACCAACTTTGAGTTCATGGCGGTCTATTGTACCACTTTTATCTGCATCGAATATATCGAAAACTTCACGAATCTCTGCCTTCATATCTGCATCAAGCATACGCGCTGGATTCCTTCCACGTGACATCAGTTATGAAATTTAGGAGCGATTGTCACTTTTCCAAATGCGTTTTTTGTCGGTTTTGCGATAAAAGTGGCGTTCCTTACATCAATTTGTTTGATAACCTGCATTATGATCTATTATGATATACACATTATAGACTTATCCTTAAAATTACTGTAAAACCAGTTGAAATTAGAGATTTCTAAAGTTATGTCGTATTTACTGAAAATGAAATAAACTATACTAGATAAATCTTCTCCTCCAAATCTAGTTAAATCCAATCGAAGATGATTAAATATAAAATATCGGCTAATAGTTTTTGAGGTGAGAACTTAGTGTTCCATAAATATGTCTGAAAATAAAATTAAAAAAGGAATATCATATATGTTTAATGAAATTGAATATAAAATCTCACTACATATTAGAATTCTATATTAACTAGCTTGTATGGATACACATCATTAATAAAAACACCGTGCAATGCAAAATACTATTAATTAGCGCATGAAAATGTGTAAAGAAGCAAATGAGAGAACTGAATATTTTATATGAGCATTCTACATGTGAAAATCAACTAAACAAATGCAGTTAAAGCATAATCCATGAAGCTATCATTATATATATCTATAACCAATATCAATTGAATCACAATTATCAATTTAGCTTTATTTTGAAAATGACAATAACTTAGTGAAGATGTAGAATTTCGTAGAATGCCAGTTTTGGATGGAAATATAGACTCGATCTCATTCTTTTAGATTCTGGATTCTGACATGTGATATGAAATAATCATAATGTCCTCGTGCTTTGTACTCTTTTCCGATCAGCAAAGCGATTATACAGAATTGCTATCAATGCTAAAGCAAATGGATGACAAAGCTATTGCGGAGACATTAAATTTTATTGTTAAATTTCCATTAACAAATGGAAATTTAGATCAACCATTATCAAAGGAATTCATCTCCTTCTTACAACAAAACGAAAACCAGTTTAACTCATTTAAGATATTATCTGATGAAATTAAAAAGAAAATTAACATAACAAAATCAGATTTCTTACAAATTCTTGCACAGTCAAAAATACCATACGGAATTATCAGTTCATTGTTAAATTTCTATCTTTATCCGAATGAAAGAACATTTAATCATTTATTCAAAATGATCAAAGAAATAGATACTTTTCGTACAATGAGATTCATTGAGGAATTCTGGAAGGTTCCATATTACAAAAAATTCATTCAAGAACCATTCATTTGCAGTTGTTTATTAGATATAGCAGATCATTACCTGAAACAATCAGATATGGACGTTAAAAAGTACGGTATCTTTATTCTACAGTCCGAAGAGAGAATCGATGCCTTACTAACATTCGTTAAACAGCATTGCAGTGAAAAAGATTTTCCTTTATCATCACCAACACTATCGGAAGAAGACATTTCAATAGCAGGAGCCCATAATTGTATCAAGCCATATTATATTTACTACGGCCGCGCTCAGTACTACGATGAAGAATATTCTAAACAAACAGATAAAAAAGTTAAATTCGAAAAACTCAAATTATCCATTAGTAATTACATATCAGCATTGACTTACTCAGTAGATAATCGCTTGCTTGAAAATAAGATTATTCCGCAATTACAAGAATGGATCAAACTAATGATCCAAACATGCTCAGACTTTGCAGAATTAAAAATGTGGACAGATAAATTGAAGTCTAATGATCCATTTATCATTACTTTACAATGTTTGGCAGATTCACTTGATTATCAAAATAAACCTCTTAGAAAAGACCCAAATGTACCTAAAGTGATACAGTTTTTGAAAGAGTCAGACGAAGAACACTATCCTTATTACGTAAAGAGGTTCATTCTTACGTATCTCTTGAAAGGAGAAATTAATCCAAAATATTTGGATGGTTTTGATCAATCTATCATCCCACAAGCATATTATAGAGATGCTCAGTGGAAATGGTCTCATTTTGAGTAGAGATACCTTTTTGTTAGGAAAAAAATATTTTTTATATATAGAAATAAAGTATTATTTTATAACAATGCTATTTTTTGAGGATGAACACTTAGAACTGTTTAAAAGTCTTCATCATTCATTAGAGTTATACAATAATGAACAATAATAAATTTTGCATTAAATCTCAAATATTAAATACAGGATCTGGTTCATTATTTTTGTTCAATGGTAAGAATTGAATCAATCCTATTTAAGATTTTAATACTAAAACATAACGAAAACCCCAAATTTATTAAAGGTAACTAAACTCCTTTCGCCGATCCGATTTGCTCCATATTTAAAATATAGCTTGCATATGTAGAAGAAAAGCTAATTTTGAAGTACGCCCGAAATCCACCAACAGGATTTCGAGCTACTAAAAAGGTACTTTTAAATGTGATTTTTTTTATAAAAAATTAAATTTATTTTAAGATCAGACTAAAAACTAATTTTATGGAAAATCTATATCGACAAATTTATTACTTATTGGGTATATAGATTTTTTGATTATGGCGATTATGTCTGATATGCTTCCAATAAGCCAAAACACATTTCATACTGATTTCTATAAAAGGTATCTTTATTATAGAAGTGTAAGCTATATCTGTTTGTTTTTTTTATTATAACAAATTCAAAATTCTCTTATAAGGACTAGATGAAATCTGTATTATTAAATCATTAGCTAAATGAAGGTTCAAATAGAAAGTAAATATCAATTTATATGATACTGAAACCAAATAGTTCTTTTAATAAAAGATAACACGCTGAAAATTATTGAGTATTTGCAAATCTCAAAAATCTATTGGTGAATTTGGCTCAACTTTTAAAATTATAACATCCATATCAAATCATAAAAGCAGACAAAAATTAAAGCCAAACCTATCGGCCAATTTTTTTTTGATATTTTGATTTTTGAGGTATACTTTTCAAAGTGGATTTAAAGCACTGATGAAAAAACATTAACTTCTGTCGTTATGATTATTGATTTAGACAATAATGATTTTAATCTTTGATTATCAAAACACTAAAGTCATCTTTTTAACATTTGCTTGGTAGCATTAACTCAAGTCTAAAGTACTATTTTATGTGGCACTCTTAGAATTTTTGTATTCATTGTACACGCTGAAATAGTACCATTAAAGTTATGGCGGACTTTCAAAAAATAGTTTGGTCACCTTTAATTTATTCAAAATCAGGATCTTCATTAATGATTTTTAATGGTGGTAAGTCTGGAAAGCCTGGCATTTTGTGATAAGTTCCATCTCTGTAGTTGAAGTAGAACTTTGGCTCACCAAATTTGGTTACAATAAGATTAGAATCGTTTTTACGGAAACATTTTGCAAATGTTTCTATATCTTTAATCACATCTTCATCTGCATTATGAAGCTTTGCATATCTATATATGATTCCTCCAAAGAGATATCCATACTCATTGACACATGGATGAGGGATTAGACCGCAAGGTCTGTCTACATATTGAATGAATTTCTTGATAGCACATTTCCCAATGAATGTAAGATTGTCATCATCTAGCTTTACAAACTTGTTAAAATATAGCATATCTGAAGATGAAAGTGAGATTTGGTCACTATTTTCAAATGTACGTCCCAGTGCTTTCTGCGGTCCTTCCCATGTTGGACATTGAGTTCTCAGATATTGCATTAGCTTACATTTGCGATTAAACTTGATATAATGCCAATAGTGGTGGCCGTTGAAGAGCGTCAGAGATATTGCCCATCTTGGAAGTCTAGAAAGATGCATATAATGGATTATGTAACTGACAAATACAGAAATCAAGTTATATATCAATGCAAAAGTTTCGATAAGCTTCATGTCTTTCTCAATGTCAAAACCGATACAGAAATTTTACCCTAATTTATTGTAATTTTTAATAGGATCACTGCAACGATAGGTAAACTATAGGTCACTTTTATCCACCATCATAACCTAAATTGTTACATAATTGTTATTTTAAAATCTATAGTTGTTATTATTTGTCACATAACTCCAACAGTTTAAAAAAATTGTAAAAAAAATTATAAAAGGATGTCAGCAACAAATACTTTAGATGATAGTGGATTTCAACAACAACTCAATGAAAGTTCACACGAAATATTTGAAAAACGAGGAGCAGCAAATCATTTGCGTGCTCAGTTTGTCAAAGATATCTCAAAAATCGTTATTAACTCAAATAATCCGAATTTAATATCAATTCAACCACATGTTAAACCTATGGATTCTGCAGCTTGGGGCCGCTGCTTATGCTTCGTTGTTGCATACTTAAGAAGATATAAAATGGAACAATCTCTTCAAGCAATGAAGCACGAATGCCAAATATTACCTAAAAATACTGGATTTCATAGGGCATCAGATCTTGAAATATTCTTTAGCACTATTAAGAAAACAGCAATTGTTGTTGCAGATCAGTCTTTTGATGAACGCGTTATCGAATTCAAGGAAAAAATGGATTCTGAAAAACTACTAAAGCGTCCTCCGAAACGAATCAAAAGAAAAGCTCAGGAAGAAGAATAATTTTTAATAATAATCAAATGAACGGACTCCGTTAAATGTATTTCAACTAATATCATTTTGTATTGTTATGTAACTGAAATTAATTTGTAAGATTCAAAAAATAAAACTTTTTTTTTCATGTTTGACTATTAAATTATAAAAATATTCAATGTAGGGCATATATTGAGCTTTATATCAAAATATTTCAGAAAAACATTAACATTATTAGATAGGCGTAAATGCAACCTTAATTCATCATTATTTCAGATATTCAAGAAGGAAAGTATAATGCCTCCGATATTCAAGAAGTAAAATAGAACAACAACTTTCATTTAAAGAATAATTAGCGCGAGTAGTATTACTAAAAACTCATTGCTTTAAATTTTGATAATATACTTTTAACTAGGTGGAACAGTTGACATCAAAATTCTATGCAGCCTTTTCAAATTTGCTTATAATCCAATTATAACAATTATTCTTAAAACGCTTTATCTTCATGATGAATTTGGATGAACAGATATTCATATAACAGCAGAGTAATATATTAAAGAAATATTCGAATTTCTTCCTTTCATACTGTGTAATTATGGATGAAAATGATATAGGTGTGCAAGTAGCTCTTGATATTGCATTTTTTTATCCGAGTTTATTTAGCCATATTTGCTGTTCTTTACATGCAACGCGAATAACAGTGAGTATTTCGTATTATTTTCATCACCATAGAAAGTATAATTCTTATATTGTATCATTTTCTTATTTTTACAAATGATATCAAGGCAAATAAAGTTATAGGGATACTCTCGAAAAGTTCATATTGGCACTTCGGTATTGAATTACATACTTTAGCAGAGGGACGTTTAACTTCAATCCAAAAATTGATGATGGGCTTACCACAAGGATCATCATAATACGATCCATAGAGAAATGATTCGATAACTCCAATGGGGTAACTTATTTTTGTGGTTTTAGTATCTGTTTCCCTTATATCATAACAATCATATAGAGATGTATAATTTACTTGGTTTGGTTCAATATGAAGCCCTTTAAAATTTGGCCAATCCCCGTTTTGTGAAGAAATTTGTGTATTTAATTCTTCATTTGAGTTGCCGAAATAAACAGATTGTTTCCAAGTTATATATTTATCAAATTGGGGATATTCAAGAAGGAAAGTATAATAATTACCAGAAAGTTTATATCTTTCATCAACAGTTCGTAAAATAGAATAACAATCTTGATTTAAAGAATAGTTAGCGTGAGTTGCGTCATTAAAATAACATTTTTAATATCTTGATGAAATACTTTTAACCAAGTCGAACCCTCGAAATCAGTGTATTCAAGATCATTGAGAGAGGGTCAAAGTTGCTATTTGTCACTTTTCCACAAGAATATAATGGGGAAAAAGTTATCATATAGTTGATCTCATTCACTGAGGTGAGAGATGCATGTAGTGTAATGGGATAAACAGTGGGATTGCTGTCCTAGGTTCGAGACACATTGGCTTCATTTTTCTCTTTTTTATTGACGTAAACTATTCAATTTTTGTGTTATCCATTCAAATTTCAGAATTTTTTTTGCAGATTTCACGCTACATTCGAAGTTACCTTTTGTAACAACCACCACTGCCTACGAAAGACGAAAGTGTGTCACGATTTCACCCGGAAATCCGACGGTTGTTTAAGAGTAAGCACTTTTGGCACCTACTCCATTAAAATAACATTTTTAATATCTTGATGAAATACTTTTAACCAAGTCGAACCCTCGAAATCAGTGTATTCAAGATCATTTAATTTGTAAATGTGATCTTGAAAGATGGATGTTGAATTTGTATAACCGCAAGCTAGGGATGCAACTAAGGCACTTACACATGTTTTGCAAAAGAAAAAATAGAATATGAATTTTAAAAATTATGTCACTTTTCATTTGTTATTGCGGATGCAGAGAGTTTTAGCCCGGCGACTTAAAGGCTTAGTTCCGGAAAGCCAAACTGGGTTAGAGCGTCTCATTGATAAGAAACGTGCATCATATGATCTTCAAGTTGAATTAGATCGCAAGAAACAAGAACATGCTATGAAGATGAGGCAATTTAAAGCCAGAGCAGAAGAACTTGAGCAAATGAATCTTGACAATCAAAAAGAAGTTGTATCAAAAGATAAATTTATTAGAGATAACTGCAATAAACGTCAAAGATACGAAGAAAGCTTAATGTCTGAAGAAGTTGCTCTTGCAGGAAAACAAGTCGAATTAAATGATCTAATTGCTGAAATGGAAAAACTTAAACAGCATGAAGTCGAAATCAAAACTAAATTGCAAGCAGCTCTTCCTTATAAGAAATACCTCGACTCTGTATTCGAGCGCTCACCAGAAATAGTTAGTGGCTCGGCTCAGAGTGAAGTTCAAGGCATTGTAAATAAGTATAATACACTCAAAGAATGGAGAGGAACACTCCAAGTCAGATTAGTTAGATCCAAGAGAGAATTGATGAGACTCCGCGATTCAATGTCTGTTTACGATGAATCTTCTACAAATAGCGTTGTAGAAATTGATTATCAAATTAAGCGAATTGCTCAAGAGCAAGAAGCTTCATTTAAAGAATTCGGTCGTGAAAGACACCTCCAAGAAACGATGTCAAACCAGCAGCGCGATAAAGCCAGAGAAGCCGCTTTAATTAGATTAACAATCGAAAACATTTACCAAAAGACATGCAAGTTCTCCGAACTCCTCTTTGGCAGAAAGATTGAACAAGTCAGTAATTTGACTGATAAATTCAGCAAAACAAGAGATTTTATATCAGATCTTTTGTACGTTGATGAAAACATTAAGTCCAGGCAAAATGGCGACAAGGAAAAGACCCAGACACGTAGAGGTCTGCTTCACGGAACATTTTACTAATTTCATAAAATGTTTGTTTATTAACAATTGTATGATTTTAAAACAAGAAATATTATAATTATTTTGGTCTAATTTTTCAATGATATAATGTAATAAAATGAATTTAATAAGAATTTTTATACATCGATTGCTTAATTTTCTTCTCTTAGTTGTGCTTCTTCCTCACCAATTAAACAACTTTCTCATAAAAAGAACAAGCCAATTGATCCTTCTTTCTAAGAAATTGCAGAATCACTCTCGTATTTTATTACAAATAATCATTGTCTGTAAGGATCTCGTTTGGAGAAATAACGGCTGGGATCTCCAAATTCCAAAATATGAGCTTCTCCAATTTTGTAAATTTTAATGTAAATTATACCCTATTTTTGACGAATATTACCCCCTTGTTTCTTATCAAAATGTCAGATTTTAACTTTACAAACCATTAAATTTGTAAAGTTTGAAATGTCAAAACTCCCAATCAGTTCACCTCACATTTTCTCCATGGAGACGTGGAGAAAGTATTCAATTTTGAATTGGTGGAGAAGACAGACTAGTTCAATTTCTCCATGGAGATGGAGAAATGGAGAAGCTTTGGAGACGGGCATTGCCTTCGTTTTCATGGAAACTTCCTATGGACAATATTTTTGGGATTTCAATGATCTACTGATCCCAAGAGATAGTTCCAATATTTATTTAGATATATTATTTGAATTTTTATTTCTTTGAAATTTACTAAGAATTTATGGTGAACTTATATTACATTTCATCTATAGATATTAGTGACTACCACAAAATATCTTATTACACAATTTAAATGCATTTTCAATTTCAAGCAATCTTTATTTGATTATACGAATGAAACTACAATACTTTTCATCTAATATATTAATGATCTCTCTTAGATCATTGATAAAATAAAATCTAAAATATTTTTCATTGATTCCCAATAAAATCAGTTTAGTCTTGTAATAAACAGAAATTCATCAAAAGTGACAGCTCTCAATTTTTTGACATTTGTAAATTCTAAATTGAATGAGAAAAATGAAATAAGCATAATACAATATTCTAGATTTAATTATAATTAGGAAAAAGTTAGTTTTGAGAGTACTTTTCATAGGCATATAGAATGAAATCTTCTGAAAAATAATATCACATAAACTCATATTATTTTCTAATATATAACTATTTTATATAAAAATCAAATTCAATGATCTTAAAAGCGAAGGATAAACCTCAAAATTTACGAATATAATGAGTGGGAATATAATGCTTATCTATCATAAAACCATATGAAATATCAATTTTTGCTTTACGCCTAATTTTTGACGACAATTAGCAAAAAATGTTAAATGTTAACACTCAGTCCATTTGAATATGAAAAATAAAATTGACTTTGATTAAATGTTTTTATTTATCATGCAATTCTTCTTGCGACCAAAGATTTGAATAAAACTTCAAAAAATAAGATAGCTTAAAAAATAATATACGGTAGTGTTTACTAATAGATGAATAGTATATAAATTCTATTAAAATGGATTTGATCCAAAAAAATATATAAAATTTGATCATAAATAAAATCGTTTTAAATTACTTCTTCATTTAAATTATAACAATTATTTTTGGTTTTATATTTTTTGGATCAAATCCATTTTAATAGAATTTATATACTATTCATCTATTAGTAAACACTACCGTATATTATTTTTTAAGCTATCTTATTTTTTGAAGTTTTATTCAAATCTTTGGTCGCAAGAAGAATTGCATGATAAATAAAAACATTTAATCAAAGTCAATTTTATTTTTCATATTCAAATGGACTGAGTGTTAACATTTAACATTTTTTGCTAATTGTCGTCAAAAATTAGGCGTAAAGCAAAAATTGATATTTCATATGGTTTTATGATAGATAAGCATTATATTCCCACTCATTATATTCGTAAATTTTGAGGTTTATCCTTCGCTTTTAAGATCATTGAATTTGATTTTTATATAAAATAGTTATATATTAGAAAATAATATGAGTTTATGTGATATTATTTTTCAGAAGATTTTGTGTTCTTCTTCAAAATTTTATTTTTTTTATTAAAAAGAATCTTTACAAAATATACATTTACTTTAATTAATATTTAAAAACGTGCTCTATCAAAAGTTCCAAAAATTCAATATTTTAGCTTTTCTGAGGTGTCACTTTTGATGAATTTCTGTTTACAACAGTCTAAGGGAGTTTGCTTTCACATTTCTATAATGAATACTTTCATTTATATTATTCATGAATTTACAAAAATATTCTTTGATATAATTTGCCAATTCTTAATTAAATGTTAAGTACTTTCTCTATATTAAGTTTGAGCACAAACGGAGTTAAATTCAAGAATATGACTGATATTTAGACGCATATTTTGCCAATTTGAAGTTTACAATTTGTAAAGTGTCTCCAAACTGAATTTTAGAGTTGGAGAAGATTTTTCTCCAAACGAGATCCTTATTGTCTGAGTTTATCTGAATAAGGGAATTGTTGTTTTAATGGTTGTTTTTGATAAAATTTTGATAAAAATTTTAAGTTATTAATAACAAGAGTAATATAAGAAAAGAGCAAAAAAGAGTTTATTATCAGTTAAATGTAAATTTGTATAGAATCTAAAAATGAATAAAAAAAATTAGAAGAGAAGGTCAGAATCATCTGTAGAATCTTCAAGAAGATTTTGTTTCTCTTCCTTCTTGTCAGCATCGCCATCTGTCTTGAAACGAGCAAGTCTGATTTCTTCTTCCTTAGCAGCTCTAGCTTTGATTGTTTCCTGGACCTTCTTAAGACGGAAGAACTCTTCTCTTTCGTTTTCATCGAGTGTTGAATCGACAAATGCGATAGCGGCCTGGTACTTTGGAATAAGAACGCATTCCATAGCGTTAACACGTCTGTTTGTGATACGAAGAACGTCATCAATGACATTGAAAGCTGTTTGTAACTCGGCAAGGCGAACAAGACTATCAAGGAACTTTGTGAATTCCTCTCTAGCCTTTTGAATCTGTTGACCACCACGAGCGAGACCGAGGAGATCAGTATTTTCAGTGCCTTGGTTTGTACGGTGGAATTGTGGTGTGCGAACACCTGCAATGTTATCGATTGTCATCAAAAGAAGTTGAGGCATGTTTCCAACGGATTGAATAACTGTAGGAGAGATATCACTTGCAACGAACTTAACTTCTGTGTAGGCGAAAAGTGCATCTTTAGCAACATTACCAACTGAAAGTTTGGTATCACGAATCTCACGAAGAAGGCTTCTGAATTTCATTGTAAGAGCATCAGATTTCTTCTTCAAAAGATCATAACCCTTACGAGCTCCTTTCAGTTTCTCTTTAAGATTCTGAAGCTCCATACGGGTTGGGATGATGGCTGCCATTATCGAATGTCACGTTTCATGTTAATCGTCTTGCTTGATCGTGCTTACCTATCGTCATTTATGAAATTAGATAAATATTCGAAAGTATTGAAAATATTCTGTTAGATGATTTTGAATCGTAAAATCTCTTCAATCTCTGAAATTCACACTATTCACGTTGATTTCTTGTATATATTCAAGATCTGTTATGAGAAATATAATCAAATAGCCAATTTTATAAAATATTATTCTATTATTTTTAATCAAAACCATCATAATTATTTGCATATTATTTCATTATCTGAAGTGACAAAAATAGTATACAGGCATTTTAAGAATTTTGAGGTATTGTTTATTTTCAAATGCTCTTGAATAGAATTATCATTTGATATCATGGCCAATGAATTGAGCAAAAACATTAATAGTCAATGTAGAATTTCATCACCTCTATTTGGCACATAATATTGTTATCAAAAAGATCTTGAATATATTGCTATTTCCAGCGAAGTCAAGAAGATTTTTTTATAATAAAAGTGACAATTTTTTCTAAAAAAAATTATGGATAAGATCATTAAAGATATCTCGCGAGATTATATGTCAAAAGACAAGACATATACCGACCTTAACGAAATCATCGAGAAATGCATTTATTGCATGCTTACCGTTGAAGGAATGAAAAATTTAAATTTATTAAAGCAATTTCAATCACAAAATCATCCTGATTCCATGAAGAGATTACTAGAGATTGCATTAAAAACAAATAATTCATTAAAAGAACTTCCATTATACACTGAATTAAAAACAATTGAAATTCCACGATATAGATCAGATATATTATCAGCTCTTTCAAGCTGCGATGCTTTAGATCAGTATTTTACTCCAAAACTTAAGCAAGGATGTTCAGAAGACTTGTTTATGGTTATAATGTTGTTATCTACGTTTCACATGCGTGTTATTGGCAAAATGCCAAAGAACATAAACTGGTCTCTCTTCATGAATGAGATGTCCAATAGAATTAACCAATATATGCCTTTAGAAACCATTTTATCTTTTGTAGATTTTTTAGATTCATGTGTCAACTTTATAGACAATCCAGATGCCGAATTACTTGGTGCGCAGTTTCAATTTGCGCTTCTTAAAAACAGTAATTTCGAAATAAAAAGAAGATTTAGCGAATTCGAACAAGAACAGATCGAATTATACAACGAACAGCTTCCTTTTGAAAAGATTTTTAAGCTTACAATTGAAAATTCAATATATTACATCAGTAATCCATCAAATCCCAACTTTTTACTTCATTTACGAATTGTTTTGAATGTTTTACAGATTTGTGTCAATGTTACATCTCAAAAGAGTGTTGGAAGAGCATTAGCAACATACTTAGCCATGTTTCCTCAGCCAAACAACTCATATTTCAGCATAATAATGAATCATAAGATTCCAAGGAACAGATACACAAGAAGATCAATTGGAATATACAATAGACTATACAGAAATATTATTTTCTGGATGAGTAATGGTGGTTCTGCTTTAGATAATTTTGATAGAAATAATTGTCAAGAATTTATAGAATCTACTGGATTAGACAACCCTTACATTGATGTACAATACATATTAGACCTTCTTTCTGGTAATTTATTCATTCCAAGGATAGTTTTGAGTTTTTTAGATTTTATTACATACGCGACAACGACTTTTATACTGTTTAAAGAGACAGTTGCCTTAGATATATGGGAAGACATCAGGCTCTGTTTGATTCAAGACAATTTGGCCGCAGGACAAATATCAAAATGCAAAATTTCGGGAAATTACGGAAATATTTGGGTAAAAACTGATCTTGATACCGATGAAAAGACTGTACTCCTATTAAATGTTGATGGCGATGTTGTTCGTGAGATTTCTTTCGTTAAAATTCTTCAAAAAAATGGAAATTCATATAAAATTGACTTTTTGTCAAAAAGTGACGATCTTAATTACAACATCATTTATGTTTTAGATCCAGCGAAGAACACTTATTACTCGACACTCCAAAATGCCGTGAATTTATTAAAATTCAGTTCAAATTTACAAAAAACCGTTTTGTCACAAATTTGGATTGGTTCTGAAAATGTTTCCGAAGTCGGACGTCTTCAATCCAGTTTAGAGTACAAATATCTTCCAGACGTAATCAATTTCGGAGGCTGTTTGACACCAGACAAGTTCATGCAAGTTTGTTTGGACATTAAAAATATTTTTGGTAAATCTGTCACTTTTTCTGTAGAAAGTGACATTGAAAATTCTGTCAAAGCTAAGATTCCTATTAATTCCAAGTTAGTAGATTTACAGTATTCGCAGTATCCTTTGAGTTGTGTTGACAAAGACATAAAATTAACGAGAGAGCAGCAATTATCAGTAATTTCTAGTATTTTCTTTCCATTTTCTTTGATTCAAGGACCTCCTGGAACAGGAAAGACACAAACAATGCTTTCTATCACTCGTGTTCTCGCAGCAAACTTAGGAATTGTTGGTTTCGAAGAAAAAAATAATAAAAAAGTGACAAAAACAGGAAAATCAACACAACCGAATTCTAATGATGAAAGAATTCTTATTTGTGCACATTCCAATGCCGCTCTTGATCAAATGCTGACTGAATTAGACAAATCAGATCTCGATGTATTCAGATTCGGAAGAAAAGCAACTGAAGAAGCTAAAAAACTGACCGTTGAAGGCAGAGTTTATTCAATTGTACAAAACATTATTGATTTGTTCCAAAAACATGACATGAATGAAGAAACAGATGTTGTTGGTGATATTGTCACTTTTTGTAAAAATTTGACATACGAAAACATTTTTGATGAGATCCAAGAATGCCAAGAAATTGAAAACTATGCAGATATTGTTACTAGTTATGGAGAAGAATTCGATGATGAAACAAAAACTGGTTTATTCCAGATTTCGAAATTATTAATTTTCATTTCTCAAAAAAGAAGAGATTTAGTTGATTATTATACATCAGAGATAGGTATAATTGGTTGTACAGTGTCTTTTGCAACTCTAAAGGTTGAAATGCTTTCAAAATTAAATATTAAAACTGTAATTGTTGAAGAAGCCGCAAAAATTGTTGAAACAGAAATGATTTCGTTCTTATTACTTAATCCTGTAAGGTTTATTTTGATTGGCGACCAACAACAATTAAGTCCTGTTGTTAAATGCGATGATGTTAGATTGCAAGGTCGTTTTGACATGTCATTCTTCGAAAGACTGTTAAATTCAGGCATTGCGCCAATCCAGTTGACATATCAAGGCCGAGCAAAGTCAGAAATATGCAATTTGTACAGAAATAGATATGCCAGAGAATTGAAAGATCTAAAAAGTGTCAAAAAATTGAGAGAATTTGAATGTTTGGATTATAATTTACAATGGATAGATGTACCTATTAAAAGAGGTGGTGAAATGACTAATGATGCAGAAGCTGAATGTATTTGTTATGTCTTGCAAATGCTCTTTGAAAATGGTGTTGATTTAAATGATGTTTCCGTTATTACACCATATAAAAATCAAAAATTTAATTTGATTGATTACATTCAAGAATCATCGTATGTTCCAAGAGATATATGCACTGTTGATGAATTTCAAGGCCTGCAGAATATCATTGTCATTCTTTCGCTCGTCAGCCAATCTCCAAGTGTTTGGTTGAGAGATGCAAGGAGAATTAATGTTTCATGTTCAAGATCAAGATCTGCTTTCTTGATTTTCGGAAACATGGAAGGATTCAGATCAACAATTGAATGGGAAAGTGTTGTTAATATTGCAAATGCAGTCACTGGAGGAGGTGGCTTCTTATTTGCAAATGGAAGGAAGATATCTTATGATCAGATGTTATTAGAGTAATATTATTTATTTTGTTTGTTAATTTATAAAGTTATTATAATATATTGTCTATTTATCAACGAAGCTCTTATATTTTCCCTTTATTTCATAATGTTAACTTGTGTGTCTTAAAAAAATGATCTTAGTCAAAAAAGCAAATATACCTTTTCAACTTTCTGGAATGTCAATTTTTCTTTGTTTTGAGTGGGAGTTTCCTTATATGAATAATATCTATAATTGTTATTACACTAATTTAGTAATACATCTATAGTTATTTAAATCTTATCATTTTTAGAACTTTAACATATATTTTCATGCATCAAACTGAATTCAATAATTTTTTTGGAAAACGTGGCAAAATGGAAAAATGAATAATTTACATTATTTGATTGAATATTTGATGTATTGTTATTTAGTTCAATCATATTTAGATAGTATTTAAAGTCTACTATCTATCATTTCAACTTTAAGGAATCTACAATGCATACACATTTTATTTGCAAAAATTAAATTTTTAAAAAATCATTTTATTGAGAATTATCTTTCTCTATACTGTAGATAATCAACAATTGATTATACGAATAAATAGTTTACTCAATACATAATATGAATCTTTCATATTGGTGTTTTTAGATGGAGTGATTCAGAATTTATTGTCCACCTTGTATTGTAATGTAAACAACATCATTTATATATATATAAAACTATAAAGAATGAGATGTGTATCCATATCAAAATCATACGAATTTTTGAGGACTTTTCAGAGAATTTAGCGGAAGCTCAATTATCTGAAAAAGTCTGCTAAAATTTGGTATCTTTCAAATATTTCAATATAAGCTCCATTTTTAAATCGATTTCAAAAATCGAGCATTGAACAAAGATGCAAAGGTTAGCAAACTGCAATTTTAAGGAAACAAAGCATAAAATTACCAGAAACTGAAGACAATGATCTCAAATTTTTGTAATGTTTACATGAAAGCAGATCTGGATCGTTTTCGTAAACCACTCTTAAATTCAAAATAAAGAATATAAAATATAAAACTTATCATTCTGATACGAAAACCGCCTTTTTTGTAAATACCGTTGCACTGAAATTCGTATCAGAATGTTTATAGCAAGCTATAAAATTACTTAATTTTTATAAATGATTTCCTTCCATTCATTTCTTGTACTGTCAAATTTTTCAATTCATTTTTAAATGTTACTATTTTCAATTATTTGCTCTGTCTCATGCTCATTCAATGCGAATCCACTAGATGCAAAATGCAATTGTTCTAACAATCAAACTTGTCCATCAAATTTTCGTTGTAAAGTATGTAAACCAGGTATAAAATCATCTTGCTTCTTGCTAATTCCATGCATTCCATCAATGATATTTTTCGCATTAACGCAGGATATTGTATTTTTTTGCAATTTTTATGTCAACTTCCAAATCATTTTGGTATTTATGTCATTATACTGCACAAAGATATCAGATCTTATTTACCCTGGCATATTTTATTTAATATATATACCAGTTTTGATTTATTGTAGAATATCGTCTTTAAAAAGAAAAAGATCAAATGCAATATATATTGGATCTCCTGTTAGTAAGAAGGATGATAGTTTTGCAGAAGTATGTGTTAATTATTATTGTCCCTTTTTTATTGAATCAGAGGGGGATATATGACAATCAATGAACTAATTGATAGAAATAGGACCAATGCAGCTGAGCCAGGCTTTCCAAGAAATAATTACGCAAGTTGGCAGGAAGACGGAGTCTTACCTGAAATTGAAGGCGCAAAGATTATATATAAATGTACTCCGACCTATAAATTAGATGTTTTGGATTTCTCGTATCGGAATCCAAATAACTTTACAATGCATGCTGTTGCTGGAAATTCATGTGTATTCCGATGCTTCCTTACAACTCCATATAAAATTTTTTATTATTTGTTGTGTATCATCGGATACAATGGAATTTCGAATTTCATTTGGAAATATAATGCAACAAGAATTACATTCATATCACATAAAGTTTACTCACGTGATCCAAAGGCATATCGTGCAAAATATGGATGTTTAGATCCAAATTTCGCAAATCAAGCATTAACAAATGATATCATTTAAATATTTAATGTAGGCTGGTCTTAATGATATCGAGTACTTTAGATTTTTTGTTGTCAAAAGTAATAAATCATCTTTTTTTTTGAGCATAAAAAAAATTCCGAGAGTGGGTCAAAGTTGCTCTTTGTCACTTTTCTTTAAGAAAATATTGGGGCATAAGTGATCAATTCCAGCCAATTTGACACTATGTATTTTTCAAATTTCAGATAAACAACATTAATGTTGGAAAATGGAAAATTAATATAATCATGCGATGATTTTTGAAGTTCTGTGATTTGAGGATGTTTTATTGCCATCTGGAAAAATGACAAAATTATTATTGTCATCTAAAAATGCATTTTTTGGTACCTAAAAATAGGAAGAACATCAATACCATCTATGTGTATGGAGTGCAAACACATATTATATATGGGGTGACTCTTCATCTGGCAAAAAAAAATTAGAAATCGAAAATTCGCATTGTCGTCTAAAACCGCCAGACGATAATAATACCCACTGTGACTTTATCACACTTCACTAATTTTAAAAATAAAAATTATTAAGGGTGCACTTACGCCCCTATGACAATACCTTCAATTATAGATCCAAGGTGATGTGATTTTTGCATCCCTGGGATGGACGATACACCCAAAGTGTCACCTTTTTGGGATAACATGAATTTTAAATATCATGAGAGTTCTGCAAACCATATGCACAATATCTATTCAGCCTGACTTCTTGTATATATGAGTTAGACTTCTTAAATATTGTGCTTGGGGCGATATAAGCATTTCCGAGATTACCATCGTGCTCTATAGTATGCTACTTCTCCCTGGTTCTAGCTCAGTTCCAAGGATATTGGCGTTCAAGGATTTGGCAAGGTCCTTCCGAAGTCTCTCATTCGATGAGAGATTTCGGAAGAATCTTGCCTTAAAGTACTCCAACTCTTGTTCTTTTGTTCCTAAATAGTGAGAAAAGTTATTTGACTACTTAAGGTAGAGATTATCCGAGGTCCCTCATTTGATGAGAGGCCTCGGATAATCTCTGCCTTAAAATTGTACACTTGTAGTCCATGAGAGTGTAAGTATACATTGATAGGACAGCTTTCTTCTGAAGTCTTAGATTTGATGAGAACCTCAGAAGAAAACTGTCCTATTTTATAGTAAAAGGAGTTTCAGGAGCTCCAAGGCTCCCTTTCGTAAGGATTAGGAGCTTTGGAGCTCCTGGTTCGTAGATGTGTTTCGCATCTTTCATCAGCAAAGGACATTTACCATCTGGGACTCTGTTGATGGAGACTCAGGAGCTCCAAAGCTCCCTTTAGTAAGGATTAGAAGTTTTGAAGCTCCTGGTTCGTAGACGTGTTTCGCATCTTTCATCAGAAGAGGCCCAAATGCTAAATAGCCTCTGCTGATGAGCTTCAGGAGCTCCAAGGCTCCTCTCGTAACGATTAGGAGCTTTGTAGCTCCTGAAGGTAAGGTAGGATTGCTCTGATCTCTAATCAGTAGATGCCATGCCTCATTATGAACTCTACTGACAAGAGATCAAGAGCTCCAAGGACTCCCTTTTTAGTTAATGGCGTTCTCACCATTTAGTAGGATTGCTGATCCTACTAATGAAGTGATCACTTAGTATACGTTTTGAATAAATTGAATTTTTTTTAGAATTTAGTATTTTTTATAGACATCACATGTATATTATAAATACATAAATATATTCTTTAATTCAAAAAATTCAATTCGGTTTTGGGATGGGTATCCCAGCCCCAAGTATTCAATTTTATTCAATTTTTTAAGAATTTTGGGTTGGGATGCCCAGACCAAAACAAGCTTTATATTTTGATGTGTAGATACGTATGTGTGCATCATTGTTGTGTTATATATTATGTTTTTAATGAAAAAAAAATCTGATTCAAAAAAAATTATCACTAATTAGTTGATAATATAAAGAAAAAATAGATAAATTGTATGTTTTGAGAGTATTTATCCACATTCACTCATATGAATTTCATTAAATAGTGTCTTTTTACTCCCAAATTTATTTTGAATTATTGAAATCAAAGAAAAAAAAATCAGAAAAATTTCTCGAAATTTTTATTTTCAAAAAAAATTTGGATTTTATATTGAAAACTGACACTGGGAGGACGATAGGGCTGGGATTGGAGATACCCCGCTCACTTGGGAAAAATACGGATCTATACACCAGTTGTCAGAAATTTGAATTAAAGTCAGGCGGGCGTAAGGGCAGCCTTAAAAATAAAAATTATAAAGCAAAAAAGTAAATACAACGAAATAATTCTTTATTTACAACAAAATATCTAATGAATAATAGGATTCTTGGCGAATCCAGCAACAAGTTCTACTTTATCTGATTGCAATTCCTTAAGTTTTTCCTCGCAAGCATGTTTAACAGCCGGATTTGTAGTAAAACTGCGTAATTCATTGAGAATCATAACCGCGTTTTGTCTCTTTCTGAAACTTGGAACTGTCATAAGTTCTTTCACGTAAGCCGGGATTGGATTTTCAGTTGAAACAGGGGATGTCTGTGCAATAAACTTTGAAGCGGCCACTTTTACTGGAAGTGTCTCGTCATTCATAAATGTCATTGCTGAGGAATCGATGAAAGAAACGATATCTGGGTTGGAGAAATAGGTTCTAAATAACAAAAGATGCTTGGCCGCTTCTTCCCTGACCCTCCATTTCTTGTCATTCATGAAGGATGGAAGATTTCTCATAAATTTTTCAGAAATCAATGGGGTGATGGCCGAAATATTCTGTTGGGCTGCAACTATGAAGAAATGTAGGCGAACTTGGGAGTTCTGGATGTTAAGTATCGAATCTACAATTGGAGACCAAACAGAATCCTCAAGACGGTTGGCCGAACTGCATATAAGAGAAATAACTACGTCTATGTATGCAATAAGTGTGGATTTCTGTTGAGATTTTTGGAAATTTTTTGAGATATCTTCGAGTAACTTTGAAGTTTCTTGAAATGTAATATCTGGCTTCTTGAATAATATCGATGAGATTGTTCTGAGTGTAATCAAACGTACTTCCCATGAAGGATCTTTCGTAAGACGATATAATGAAGGAAGAACAGGAGTTAAAACAACGCAATTAACCGACTGAGCTGCAATTGATGCTCGAACTCTCCATGATGGATCATTTTCAAGCCTTGGAAGTAAAGATGAAGTCCAAAATGGGAATTTTATTGTTGCTGAAGAAATGAAACTTCTGATTTTATCATCCAAATCATCAAGCATTTGGACGGCAACTAATTTTGCTGTTTCTGGTTCTTGGTTCACTAATGATTCCAAAACGGCTCTTTTAACTGCAAAAGATTTATCTGAAGTGAGGTGTAAAAGAACTGTTTGTATGTCTTTTTGCGACGAAAGAATGTTAACAACCTTTGGAACAAAAGATCTTACAGAGTCATAAACTGATCTTACCATTGCGTTCATAAATTGGAATGCAGTAGCATCATCTTTGAATTTGAGTATCTGTTCTGTTAGTTTGACTCTAACTAATTTGTTTTGTGAAGTCAGCAAGTGCATAATAAGAGGTGAAGCAAATCCAATGCCACCCATTCGTATAGCGAGGTATATGACTTGATTTGCAACTGTGTAGATGATTACTTCATCTGTTAAATCAACCCAATCGATAATAAAAGGTAATAATTGTAATCTAACGGCATCAGGTGCAAGCATTTGACATAATTCGGCTATTTTTCTTGCAAAGGCTAAACGTTCCTTTGAATCTCTGGAAATGGAAAGTTTGATGATGTCTTTTGCTGACAAACTCATTTCTGAATGTAAACTTCAGAAACGAGTTAAATTTTCGCTCCCTGTGTAAAGATAAGTTTTCGTGCTTCTTGAAGCTTCGTAATAAGATATATCCCCTAACACTGAATCATTGACAAGAGAATGCATTGCATTTGGCAAACCATCAGATTAGAATTTTGGTCCTACCTCCGTTTGTTAACATTATACAATTTACATGCTTAACTGCAGAGATATATCCAATTGCAACTATCCAATTCATTCAGCATTAATCTTTAAACAGAATTTTAATCTTTGCATAATAATTGCTTCAATATATGAATTAAGCTAATCTAGATTATAATTTGAGCCATAAAATTGTTTATATTTTAGTATTCTTTTCTATAATATAGTATACTATTGATATAATCTCGGATTTACTGAATCCATGATTGCATTCCATATAACTTATATAAGTCTATTTCTAACTATTAATTCTTTCATATTTGCATAAATTATTCATTGAATGTGAAATTGCTTTCGGCATTAAGAATTCTTGAAATGTATCTCTAGAGTTATTCTAAGCTTAAAAGCTGATTATTTTTATCAAATTTCAATAAAATTAATAATGATGTAAATTTATGCATAAAATTAATACAAAAAAATCATTATTATATGCAATAAAAGACGGTTCATTGATTTTTATATAATATGACGACTTTGACACTTTTCAACAAATAGTATAGTGGTCACGGAAATAAATTCTGTAGGGTCATCAAAAATTAAAGGGTGCTTTTTAAGGGGGCGATGTAAACTATTGAACATCCGACCAAACGCCGATCCTATTTTTGTGGCTCTCAATTCCTTAACGTCTGTTCAGAAAAAAAGTATACGTTTAGATATATTTGAATGGTTTACTTTTAAGGTATAGAAAATCCAATTCCAAGATAGTATTATGTAATGATTCTGTAATGAGAATCTAGTTTTAATAATTTCTTCTTCTAATTTTTTATATAGAAAATTGAATTTTTTTTAATAAGGAGCTATAGCAATTCATGTTAAAGCCAACTTTGAAAATTAACATCTTAATGATTTCCAGCTTCTTCCATGAGTTTTAGTAAGTTGTTGCTAATTTATTGAAATAATTTAGAGAGAAATCAACGGAAAATCAGGGAGCATGCGCAGCAAGCATTACAGTTTCTACCTTTTGAGTTCTATCAGTAGATTTTAAACTAATAATACATTTTGCTGATGACTTGGGAAAAATAAAAATTTTAAACGGGCATTTTTCAAAATTAAAATTAAACATTGTGTTTAATTTATACTCATCATGAAATTTATTATTTCTAAAGAATAATTCGAGTTCTTCAAATTTAATTTATTTTCAAAAAAAATCATATGTATTATTCAGCCAATTATATGGCATTTGCTAATACTTAAAGTGGACCTTATAAATTTCAAACTGGTGCCAAGAAAACAATGATACATTCTAATATCGTCACTATCTAACAAATCATAGAGGTATTACTCAATCAGTGTGAGACAAATCCTATTTACAGCTAATGTGGACCGATATATTCATTATATTTCATAAAAATATACTCAATAATATATCAAATTCCATCAGATAACGATATTTATCAAATTTAACTATTAAACAATATTTGCTTATCAATAACATGTAGATTAACATAAGGACATTGTATAAATATAGATTCTAAAATTTCAGAGAATTTTTATTTTTAAATTTTTCTTGAAAATATTAATGTACTATGAACATATAATATTTTTATAATTAAGTTCTCAAATTATTTGAAAAGGTTCTGAAATCTATTTTTGAGACCACTATAATTAAAATAAATGCTGGATTCACAAGTACCATCCAATGAAAATTATACTGATTTTAAAAATATTAAGCCCATGGAAATATTCAACTACCCCAATCAAGTTTCAAAAATTATTTGGGGCATCAATTCCAATAATATTTTACAAATATCATCGCAAGTCATGGACTTTATTAAAGAAATCAAAATACCTATACAAATGGCACTTTATTTGATTGATGTATTTTCATCAATTAGAGAAAAAGAAATAAAATTGTTTGAAGAACTTTATGAAATGATATCAAACGAGTTTTCTTGCATAATCAAACCAGAAAATGTAAAATTAGCAACATTATTATATCATAAAGGTTTCAGATTTGAAGAGTTCAAACCTCCAATGACAGAAGAAGATATTATCAATATTTATTCAAAAGAATCTCCATTATATTATATCGCATGGGATAAAGTTGATGAGCTTAAAAATAAATTCTCAAATCTTAATTTCGATAAGAAAATTGATGGAAAAATAACACCCTTTGATTGTGCAATTAAATACGGATCAGAATTATGTTTCAATTACATGAAAAATTTAGGAGCTGACTACACAAAAGAATCATCAAATTACGCCGTTTAAGGTGGAAATAACGCCATATTTATGGCAATGATAGAAGATGAAGAGCCATTTGATAAAACAATTAATACGGCATTGAAATATCATAACTCTGAAATTGTTGAGTATCTTCATTTGCATCTAAAGCAGCGTCCTAATTCATTAGCAGAATGTATGTATTACGGAAATTTTGAGTTTGCTTCTTTAATTCTTTCAAATGGTGCAGATGTTAACGACATTTGTAATTCCTTTCTTTTTATGTTTATCATTGTTTTATGTAGTTTTCTTTTTATTCATGTTTCGCATTGTTTAATATATTTTTCTTTCCTTTCATATATATCACTAATTTAGGATATTTTCTTTCTTTTCATATATATTATTGATTTAGGAAATACTCTTTATTTTCAAATCAATAGTTGTTTTATAGGGTTCTCTTTCATTTCATATCTCACAATGTTTTATAGTATTCTTATTCTTTTCAAATACGTCATCATTTTACAACAATCTCTTTCTTTTTATTTTAATCATTAATTTACTACATTCTCTTTCTTTTTATATTTATCATTTGATATTAATGATAGCCCTCTCTGTATTGCAATTAGAATGAATTCATTCGAAATTGTTAAATTCTTGGTTGAACATGGCGCATATGTCAATATGAGACTTTTTCTGCTTCTTTTAATGTTAATTACTGTATTATATAATTCTCTTTCTTCTAATATAAATTATTTTTTTATCATATTACTTTTCTGCTCATTTAAGGGTGCACACGAGAGGATCATGTAAACTTCAGAATTTAGAACCTTATTTTTAGGCATTATCTTGGCTACCTATTTAGGCTCGAAAAGCAAAAAATATCAAAAAATACAACTTGACTCCATTATGACCCTTTCATGGAGGTAGTTTTTATCCGCTAGTATTTTCCCTTTGAATCTCTTTACAATTCGAAATCAAATTCAAAACTCAGTAGAAGAAAGGAAGAATCGACTTACTACGGTTGTAATACGAATAAATACATATATTTAATTATTTTTATTTACATAATAATTGTTTGAAGCTCATATTCCAACAATTTTTTAAATAAAAACATTAAAATGTTGAAAATGTTCATATATTTTAATAGGTTTTTGGCACTTTATTGAGGAATTACTACATACATAGTCGAACTGAACTTGATATTTTGAAATTTAAATTATTTATCAAAATTAAAATTTAACTTGAAATTTATAATTATTTAGTCATATTTTGCATAATTCTAAGTAGATTTTGTAAAAAATCAAGAAAGAAAAATTTTAACGTGCTTTATTTTTTCTTTTTTATAATAATACATATTATTATATAATTAACATATTCATAATGTTTCACCCTTTCAAAAATATAATCCTCCTCCTCTCAAATAAACGTACATACGGGTGGCCTTTTTTTTCAAAAAATTAAAATTTGAAATTTTGGGCTCAAATATTAGAGATTTTTTCAACCTTCAACGATATATGTTGTCTATATCAGACCTCCTTTCTTTTTGATACTTAACATTGTTCCTAAATCTTAGCCGTTAAGTAGGGTTGTTAAAAATATCAAAAATTAGCGTTTTGAAGACACCATGGTGTCTTATAATTTTCCCTTCCTTATTGGCGTGTAGAAATAAATGCGCCAATAGATTGAAGAAGAAGAATTGTTTTTCTCTTAATGAACTTTAATCCTTTTGATATAAGAATATTAAAAACATTAATATAATTTCGATTTCGGAAATTAAATTTCCAAATTTTTTGTCGATTTCGGAAATAAAAAAAAAAAAAAAAAAAAAAAAAAAAAGGTAGTGGGGCTTCCAGGCACTTCGTGCCTTCTAGCCCTGATGTTGATGTTTAGTATAAATGAAGTTTTTATTCGGAGGACTCTTCTTCTTCCTCCATGCTTCTGGGAAGAAGCCTTCTTCTGGGTCGAAAACATTATATAATGTTTCACTTTTCACAAATTATATATGTTTTCATGCTTTGTCACTTTTCTGTCACTTTTCAGGTAAAAACATTTTTATTATTATATATAAATGAATTTTACAAAACCACCGTTACCGTTCTTTGGAAATAAGAGTAGATGTAAAGATATTATATTGAGAGAACTTAAGAAACTACCGAATGGTCTAACATTTGTAGATTTGTTCGGTGGAAGTTTCTATATATCCCATTTGTGCCATATAATATTCCCAGACTCAAAGATTATATGCAATGACTTCGACAACTATATGGACCGTCTCAAACATATTCCAGACACAAACAATATATTGAAAGAGTTAAAAGAAAAGATACCTATAGGTAAGATGGAACGTATACCATTAGATAAGAAAAATATTGTGAGAGAGGTTTTGAAAAAAGCAGAATATATAGACTGGAATAGTATATCTGCTAGACTATTATATAGTGGTGCTATAAGAGTTCATGACATTGAAACACTTATGTCAAAGTTTTATATCTTAACTATACAAAGGTTTTCAAAGAGAACATAGAAAAATATACTGAGGGTATAGAGTTTGTGAGATGTCATTGGACAGAGTTGTATGAAAAAATATAAAGACAAGGAAAATGTTTTCTTATAGTGACCCGCCGTTCTATAACACATGGGATTTTCAATACCAAGTAGACTGGACTTTGAGAGACTCTTTAGAAACTTTAGACGTTTTACATAACCATCCATGCTTTTACTTTACATCCGATAAAAGTGGTTTGGAAACCGTTATGAGATGGTTAGAGGACATACATGACTATGAGTTTATATATGACAAGATAGAATATGAGAGAGGACCTATAAACTGGAGAAAGTGTCATAACAAAGAAATTTTATTAGTAATAAATGTGGTTTGAAATGGGACTACTTGTTTTAGGTTTTTTCCATTGTGTCATTTATTTCTTTGACGTGGCAGAAAAGTACAGAGAATATGAAGATGAACCAATGCCTGCAAATGTTCAGTATATGTACTCGTAAGAGATATTTTATCTAATATTAAATGGACGCACAGAACTTAGCGAATGCACAGCAACCTGGACAACCAAACCAGAGAATATTCCAAATGAAGTTAGAATACAAACTGCAATGGCAAACTATGGTCAAGTGCCAACAGATGTACAAATGCAAACTGCCATGTCAAATGACGCTGCGTTAGGCTTACCACCATGGTATGCAAATATGAGATTGGAAAGAGTTTTATACAAACCCTGAAGTGGGATATAAACAACTCTATGCAGATGACGCGAACACAGGAGTTGACCCAGAATATGTTTCTACCAGAGGAGAAACAGAATGTATGAGCTCCAGTTAAAGAATGCTATGGAACTCAACAGGAAACGTAAGAGACTAGGCGGACATTAGATTTTTACATATAGTAAAATGGGTTTCTTCAGTAGTATTGGAAACTTCTTTCGAAATGTTGGAAGAGGTATATGGAATGGAATAAAATCTGTCGGAAGAGGAGTATGGAACGGTGTCAAAAATATTGGTAAAAGGGTAGTCAGTTTGGTTATTATACCTAAAGACCCTGAACCAGAAGAACAAGCTCCTGTTATACAACAGCCTGAACCTGCACCACAGTCTAGTTGGCAACCAAATCCAACACCTCAACCGTATTAAAAAATTATATTTTTACCGTTCGATAGTATTGTATATGAAACTAAGTTCTAAGTAAAACGCATGGTATAATGGAATTATTCTTTTTCTCCATCTGTAGTAAACCATACTTGAAAGTCTGAAATACTTCCACTTGGTGGTTCGTATAACTTTGTAGGTTTTTCGTAAAAGTCATTTGCCAAGCATAAGAAAGAGTTTTGGGCGCCAGAAAATGAAGCATGAACAATAATAGCATCTTGGTCGAAAACATTTTCATATGTTCCATTAGGGTTTTCGACTTCATAAAAGTCTGGGTGTACTGGATATGCTGCAGGCTGATTTAACATCCTCATAAATCTATACCATGCCAAGTTGTTATATTTTGTAGAAATATAAACGTTTTCTCCAAGGTCTTCTATTCTATTGATTTTAACAGTTGCATTTTTCCTGTCATAAATAATATCGAGATGGTACTCCCCCTCGTCAATGTTATACTGGTTTGCATATTCGATATAGATATCGTTTATTTTTTCTTGAAAAGCTTGAAGAGTTGTTTCTAAATTTACAAGCAAACTAACTTGTAAAAGTTTTCCCTGTTCAAATTTCTCATACATACGTTTTTCTTTGTTATAGTATCGAACTTCAAAACCGACCGTAAATGGGAAACCATGTATGGCTTCTGAAATGAACTTCATTCTACGAAAGCCAATAGCTTTTGTGACAGATGGGTCCTTAGCCATCTTAATGGGTAGTCAAAACGATAGCCTTCATGCTTTACGGTCTCTGTCTCAAACTTTTGACCGACATTAGTAAAAAGTTCATCTAATGGTTTAGTTGTAGCAACTCTTGAATTTTCTTTTTCTATTGGAAGCATATTTTATCTAGAATAAAAATGTCGAAAGATATTGCTTCCATGAGAGAAATACAACACAACCGACAACTCATTATGCAAGCTCTAAATAAGAACACAACAAACTTTTCAAACTATTCTAAGATATCTGAGTCATTGAAAGAAGGAAACTTAAAACTGACATTAAACCCAATGACAGATGAGTTTCTATTTCAAGACAAGAAGAACAATACTGTCTGTATAAATCCAACAAAAGGAACTTTAAACGAGAAACCTATAAATGAACTTCTTTTGAAAGCAGATGTTGACAACAAAGCTGACAAAGAATATGTAGACGATGCAATAGCAAAAGAAGAAGAAAGAGCTAACAATGCTTATGCAACAAAAGAACATACTCATCCTGAACTAGCAGACAAAACATATGTTGACAATAAAATGTCAAGTGAAGTGACAAGAGCTGAAAACGAATATTCTAAAAAGACTCATATACATTCTATATCTGAAATAACAGACTTACAAGAAACCTTAAACAGGAAAAGTGCCGTTGGACATACACATACCATTGCAAATATTACAAACT